TCCATAAGCAGCACTAAACGGACCATAACCACCATACATCGCCCATCCTGCGTAACCCATAGATGGAATAGCTACTAATGGTGTCATTAAGCCTTCTCTGCCCAGTTCACGAGCAAGATCTCCTTGGAGAACACCTCCTCCAATGACTGCAGAATGACGGGTAGATGAAACGCGGATCGATGCGAGACAGCGAAGATCGATTGCTAAAGCGGAGGATGAAAATTCGGAACCAAAATAAGAATAACCGCCACAACGTACTGTAATCGGGATCTGATGGTTTGTGGTAAAAGATATCAATGCGGATACGTCTGCCATCGTTGCCGGTTTCACAATGGCAAGTGGAACGGCAGCATTGGATAAGCAGAATGTTGAGCGTGCAGCTGCATATTCTGGAGATGTGGGAGTCACCAGTCGGATATATGGGAGACGAGTTTGAATGAAATCTTTAAGGATAGAGAGATGGAATGATGATTGCGACATCGCGAAAGTTATCAACAGAAGAAACAGAAGAACCGGGAGATGCCACACTCGGAGAAGAGATTGTCAAACCCATCTTTCCACGAGATTACAAGAGAACATATAGCTTCTTGCACTTTGGATTGACGATCCCATCAATACTACACAGGAGACTATGATGTACACTTTTGGGGGCTTTAAGAGCTCACTTCAAGCTTCAGGCACGCTCCTCGTATCCCACAACTAATCGAACGAAGATCTACCCTATCACGCGGATGCATTCCTATCACATCAACATCAAGATATAACAAGTCCCATAAGAAATAGGATGCAAGTAATCACCAACATTCCTCATTGTTGGAGAGTCATCTAAGATGGTGTTAATTATCAACGGAGAAAATTGTAGGAACGGAAATAACACGTGTCTTACATCAGGTAAGGCTCCATGCTTACTTTTTGGTTTCGAAGATGACGATGTTCGCATGTAGCGCTTCTTCGCTTCTATTAAGATAAATTATTAATACATAGCACCTTTGCCGCGGCGTTGCAGAAAAGTTATGGTTCCATCTTATTGCTGCCCGCTGCTCGGAACCCACTTCATCAGCCTTCAAACTTCCGTGTTGTGGGATCACCTTGGAATAGTAAAGAATGTTTCACATCGTATTGGGTATAAATTTAAGACCCAGCCATGCTACTACTAACTATAGCATGTCCTGAAACCCATTTTTGAACCAACATATCCGCAATATTAGCTATTTTTGATTAGGATAATGTATACGAATATGGGGGATCATGGAGGAAGACATTGAAGTTGGAGATTGTTGCAAAATATCGGTATGAACAGATTGTCTCATAACTTAGACAAACAGACTGGATGCAGACTTTCAATGCCAAAACTAACCAAACATTGGAGTACGCTCGTTATTTTGAGCGATCTGCTTGTTTCCATTAGACTCAGGAATGAGGCCTTTTCATTATCTGTCTAAATCCCGGACTATTGACAAGCTGGGCCCGAAAAGGTTGTTGGCCTCCATTACAATATTTTCGGTTTAGAGCCCAAGTGGATAATTTCTTTACTCTCTGTAGTTGCCATAATCACACCGCCGTCGAGGATTAGATATCAGATATTGTGGCACGATCTGTGCGGAGTCCAAATTCAATCTGATCTTCGATGTTCTGCGATTTCTTTGAGTTGTCTCATTCGAGTCAAGATGTTGACATGTGGAGGTCTCACTTTACCAACAGAAGGAAGCTTAGTAGCAGCTTCTGTTGAAAATTTCGTGACAAATGATATGGATTAGAGGAAGCAAACATCAGTCGGGTACTCTGAATCACCAATCTGGGCATGTCTGGTGAGCACAGAATCTTTTAAATTAATCTTTCATTTCAATTTGTTTCCGCGACAACTTCAATTTCCACTTTTGCGGCTTCCTTCGCCAACCTCACAATCTGCACACAAGTGCTCACCGGGAATGGCTCTTTGACCCATTCACCCCATATTCTCTCTACTGTTCTAGATGATACAAGTTAGCAGAAGGTCCCCGGCCATCATCTTCAATTCTCCAATTGCTCTTCATACGATCATAATCATCAGGACTTCATAATTGGAACTCACTTCAAGTCTCCCATATCCACCAAAAATACACGTCTCTGCACCACCTTATTCAATCCGCTTCCGCTGGCCTCCAAAATAGCTTTCAGATTCCTCATAATCTGCGTAGTTTGCGCTGCTACTCCCCCAGAAATTATCCGCCCATCGCCAGGTAACTCTCCCATCAAACCACAAAGATAGACTGTAGATCTGTTGGATGGAATCGTATTGCTATGAGAATAATTTCCATTCGGAGGAGCGATAGTTGGGATTGTGAGAGCGGTACGAGAGGGTGCTCGCTCGTGGATGTTGCTGGATCTGTAGGAGCCGGTTGTGGACGACATTGTTATTACGATGATAATAATTTATTTTGTGTGAGTATATTTGTTATATTTTCAGATGTTCAATTGAGGTTGACTTGTGAGACCTTGAATGTTCTTGTATGTTCTAGACCCTTGAAATTGCTATGACGTCACATTATAAATTGTGATTCACGGCTTCTTCACACCATCCAATGCTGGCAGTTTCAGCCGCTGACACATGATTTCTTCTCGGGTACATGGGTATGCTCTGTTCCAGTGATTGACATTCTTGATTTATTTCACGGCGAGTTGTTATCACCAACAACATGCCAACTATTGTTGAACACAGAGGTATCAATCTATTGCTGTTCCATCCCATGTCTTTTTCGTGTTTTCCACAATCATCATCCGAATCCAGAGTTGGTCTTAGCAAGGCTGAGATTACGCCTTCAGCACTTAGAATTGCAACCTTGCAATGACATCTAGTCCATGTATCCAAGTGGTGACAAGTGGTGATATGGATTGAAATTGTCTTGAGGAAGAAGAGGCCAAACACAACGAGCGCCTTATGATGCGGTCAGGAAATCAAGAATACTTATATCTCCCCAAACAATCCCGAAATTTGTCCATCAGTATTCCATCAATAGATGCCTAGTACTACCCGAATTGTCACAATAAAATATAGTCGAAGAAGCCACTGTTGGTCCGGGAATGGTCGGAGTACAGAACCGTTTTAATGTCGTGGGCGTCAGATTATTTAGAATCCGGGCCGCTAGTATAAGATTGGAACTAGTTGCTCAAATTGGTGCGATCGTTATTGTCAGTATTGTTGAACTATTAAGTACTTGTAGTATCACACATGCATTCATTGATTGAACAGGCTCGAAAAAGGGCCTTGAATTGAAGCTGTTGGATGAAATCTCCTTGATCATAAAAAGCATTTGAGGGATTTGGATTTGGAGTTGGAGGTATCGATAGAAGGCATTCTTGATCATCTGTAGACAACCAGAACTCTAGTGTTGGAAGCGTTGATGAAGACCCCCTTAATCATGGGGAAAGATCGAACGTCCTATTTTGAGGTTCAAGATGAGCATTACTGCTCGCTTTTCATCCCTTTTTCTCCTGGGATTAATTAATATAATGGTTGTTTGCTGAGAACAGAATCAGAGTCCTATCGAATCGGGGGCATTAGCGCAATATCTTTTACTCAGTGTCTATCTTAATCAATTGGACTTTGTCGATAGTGAGGTCTCGAGAGGGGATATCGAGTTTGCCGTGGAAATATCATCAATTCTGGTAAGTGGCTTGTCAGGACGTCAGATATTTATTGATTCTTAGGTTTTGAAGTCAAATGTTGTAGCAGAGAATAAGTTCATCAAGGCACTAAAGAGCCCCATGCTGCTGGAGCATATTCTGACCTCAGATGAATATTACTTTATGGAAACCTCTGCTGACAAGCATTCATGTCCTCTTTATCGAGAATCTTGTCACTTCAGGAATTTGCGTTGATCTTTGTAACTGTATTGTTGGCATTAAATCATGTTCAATGTTTCCAATTGCCTGGACTGCAGTCCGATATTCTGAGATATTCCAGTATGATTCATTTGGAGCTATAACTCTGTTTAAGATTCTTGATTCTGTTGAAGAGTTAAACTCACATGAAACATTGAATCCATTTTCAGGGTTGAATCGCTATCCAACTTCGGCAAGCCACATTTATTAGTCTACCAATCTGGACTGCTGAATATTCGGTCCCTAATTACTGAAAAAAGTAATTTGTAGTCCTATCATGGAGCCATCAATCATTCCCATCACATCATCGTTAAAATTTGGGACGATTTATTCAATTCTTTCGTGTATAAGCCTAGAAACTTCTGAATTTGACCACGACATACAAGTTGCTGGCGTCACACACACCGAGTATGAAGAGTGTTTTATTCATAACAAAGAAATTTAGAAGGCGACTTCAAGATCGTCAAATTTCTGCAGGTAAATCTCCACATGTATTGTTTGCGTAGTTGCATATATCATATATGTCAATAGGGAGAACTTCTAGCTTCTACTCAGTCATTTTTGAGATTCTATGTAGCCATATTTATGCACATAAGTGAAGCCCCAATTTTTTCCGGATCCGATGTAAGATTGCCATAGGTAGATGATTGAGACAATGACATTGTGAGCAGTATGTTAGCTCCATTACTTTGAATCGAACTCATCCAGTCCTTAATTTCTCTGTCCGCAACGAGGAAGAAGATGCCAGACCCGTCATTGGAAGGTAATCTAGGAACACAATGAACCAAAGAATGCGAGGAAGTTTCTCATAATGCCTATATGAGTACCTTCAAGATTCTCTCCTTCCCTCACATAAGTATACATTATCTCAATCAACTAACACTCGGACTTCAGCGTGTTGTGTAAGGTCCTGCATATTCTCAAATGCCACTCGAAGATTCCCAAGTAGCTGCCTATCCTTCCAGAGGATGCAGAAAGCGAAGGAAATGCGCAATGCAAAGCTTCTACATATCGTCCGGGCTCTGGGGCGACTCTTACAAGTATATGAGCTGCAAGCTTTGAAGGTTCAAGCTGCTTAAGACTTTCAGGTACACTTTTTGAATTCTGGAGTCTCCGCATCGCCCTTTTGTAACATCATAATGGTTGAATCACCTTCAGATAGGCCTCCCTCCATCATCGTTCACCTAATACGCCATGCCTCGGTAATATTTCTACATACCGCTTCCTGTCAAAGGTCTCATTAGCTGACTTTTATTAGTCAAACCACTTGGAAGGAGGACTTGACTTTGGCTTGTCTTCTAAAGGAGAACGCCAATGTGACGAGCTCTACGAAAGTATGCGAAAACACGCAGGCTATATTACTCATATTTTCTGTTCGCCTATGAAACGCTGCTTAGAAACTGCTCGAAAGGGTCTCCTTGAGGCGACGAACAGGGGCACCAGGATCCAAATCATGCCTGCTCTTGCCGGTCGGAATGGCCAAGCACCCTGGAATTTACGAGAGGAAAACCAGGAAAATGATATCAGTGGTCCCTGGGTCAGTGAGGTAGCAGATCCTAGGTCAAAGTCCAAGGATGCTGATTTCGTTATGAAATGGTTGACAGGGAAAGATTTGTCTGTGCAAGCAGCTCAAAAAGTGTTGGAGGTTGTGGTTGTGAGCCAAGCTCAACTATTGAACGATTTATTATGGAAATTGAAAGGAGGTAAGTTACATAACATCACTATCTGAGCTCGACCACCTGAGTTTGTTCACTTACAGTCTGCAGGTAATCATGGCTGGCCCAATGCAACGATCGTCACCTATATTCTAGATCGTGACGGAAAGTGGACTCATTGTCGGCTCCAGAAGACTATTGATAAACAGAGAAATTCTCAACAAGATTGGAAAAAACGAATTGTAGAAGCAGCTCATGAAGAGCAAAGAAAACGAGAGGAAAAAACCAAGAAAGAGCAGGCAGAGAAATTGGACAAACAAAAGCGGGAGTTATTGAAGACACAAGTTAGTTTTTCCTGTTCCATTGACTCTAGGGCTTGCTCACGCAAGTGGCTGATACTAATTTTTCAGGATTTCATGCTCGTGGTTGATCGCGAAACCGATGAAATCGTTACATTCGGGAGGTTCCAAGAACTACTTAAGGAGCGATATGCAAAAGAATTCTCATCAGCAGCGGAGCCTGTTGTAAAGAAAGCGAAGCCGGTTGAAAGGAATGGTAACAAAAAGCCCGTTGGAAAGAAACCGAAGCCTGTTGCGAAGAAATTGAAGCCAGTTAAAGGGAAAGTGAAAGCGAAGGCTGCTTTAGAGAAATCCGAGCCTGTTGCCAAGAAAAGAAAACGAGGATGATAGCAAGAAGGCGTCTGTTGCTGAACTATCTTGATCGCCAGTTAGCCAATGTCTGACCAGACAGATACCAGTTCTTAGTGAGCTCGAGATTGCTCGCGGTTGTCTCAAACACCAGTGAGCTTGAGTTCTATCTATAACTTGGGCCGTTGGCTGAATCCGGGGTAGCTCTTGATCTTTTGCACTCCGGGTGTGGTTTTCAATTGAACTGCATACCTGTTTAGGTTTTCACAATACCTTACCTTCTGTGTCTTTTGGATAAAGTGCCACAGAAATACTAAACGCCATAGTTTTCCCGACATGAGAATCATGAGATTCAGTGATAATCACTTATAATATGTGAACTGATTAGTTGTATAGGTAATTTGTGGGTAAGAGGAAGCAAAGGGTGTCGAGGATGTGTCGTTCAAATTCTTACGAGTCGGCAACTTTTGCTAGCACCAAGCTTAATTTCTAGCCACCAAGCGCTAAAAGGCAAACTCCGGAAGCACTGATTCAAACCCACTGGTGACCCTTAACATTGAACATTCACTCACAAGGGAAGAATTAATCGGAGATTCTACGATCATGGAGCGTATTACAACTACCTACCTACCTACAGAGTTTAGTAGAGTTATCTTATGGTCTTAAATTCACTATACACGCGTTAAGACTCTTGTGCGAATCCTTCAAAAAAGGTTCTCCAAGGATACATATACGGACGGAGTTACATCGACAAGATGTGATGGAAGCAGGCGGTAATATGCATTGGATAGTAACGGGCATCATTATTCGAAAGCTTAGGAGTGGGATCCTGTGCCACGACAGTACCTTGGGGCTGAGTGTGACGGTTTATATTCGTTGGAGGCTGATTCGAGCCTTTGCAATTTCCTAGTGAGTGAATGGTAAGCACTATGTTTCGTGGGAGCGGCTATGCGTAAAGTTTGGTATGCGCTGGGCCTATTCTTGGGGGTCAAAACATTTTTCTTTTCTTTTCCTTTAATATTCCGTTTACAAACTCTCTCATTTCCCTCTAAGTCTCTTGAGCTTTCACACGTTTGTTTGAGCATTCAAAAAAATTATCGTTCAGTATGAACACCAACGCTCGTCGAAGAGGTGCGAAAGTCGCACCATCCCACTATCCCCGCATCGCATTCCATGGATTACGTTTTGCGCAATTGATTTCGGCGACGATTGTGGGAGGTATTATGGCATACTTTATCTATTATTTGCGTACGTAAATATGCAAATATGCATCGCGTTGAGAATCGATGTGAGAGAAGAATGTGTGCTGACAAGCGTCTAGGAGCTGAGCGAATTCCAATCCCATGGACTTTTATTGTGCTCTTGTCGATATCACTTGCGACAGTCGCTGTCCTAATTCTTACGATCATCCTCTATAATTTCACATATTTGTCGCCAAAATTCAATTGTTTGCTGAATGGTACGGCGTCAATTTTTTGGATGTTGGGCTTTGCGTTGTTGAGTTGGAATCTCAGTAATACGTTGAAGAAGAGTTGTGATTTGCAGACTTGGAGGAGTGGTGTAGCAATCAGCGTCTGTAGGGAATATAAGGCTCTATGGACATTTACTTTGGTTGGGACATTGTCTACATTGGCAGCATTAGCTTTGGACATTTGGACACACAGGAAGACTACAGAGAGAGGCGTTTATGTTTTGCCTGAGGATGATAAGAATGCGGCCATGTTGAAGGATATGAATGGTAAAAACAGTCAGACCAAAGGGTATGAACCCAGTCGGGGAGGAGCTTTCGAAGAGGAAATCGATATCGCTTACCACAATCGATATGGTGATGACGCATTGGAGAGTGTGGGATATCATGACAGAGTGCTTCACAAATAGTTGGGGCGAGAATACGATGTAACGAGGATGATCAGATAGGAAAGAGGTTGTGTGACCACTGCGCAACCTATCTCATGAATACTATGTACTAAATTGCATAACTTTGGAATGTAATTCATGTTTGTGAGACTGCGTAGCCTCCTACATAGGGCGACTTATTACAGAATAAGACTGTGTAGTGTATTTTTGGGTAGTGCGTCTACGCGAAAGAATAAGAAAGAAAATAAAGCCAATGTCTATTCACACGAAACGGAAGGCTAACCAGTTCGCCTCTCGAGTTTCCCCAGTACTCAATCCGAGCATCTTCTAAGGCTCATCTAAGCTTTCCCCACATGCGTCTTCATAACGAAAGAATAAAAGCAGCTTATATTCCACGACATATCTCAGGAAATGAACTTCTCCATGGGAATATGGATGCTTTTCACCTATCGCTAGCCGCGGGATCGTAAACCTTCAACCAACAACCTCTTTCACAGTGAAATTCTACCCGAGTGTGAAAATCGTTCCGGAAGGCTTGTGTTGAACAAAACCTTAATTTTCCCATGGCCATACCCAGGTGCCTTTTCCTGAATACCGCAAATACGAATTACCAATCCCGGTATCTTACCTGCAGGTGAAGGATGCGATATCTGTCAAGCATCAATAGCAAGCCTCATCGATTTAAGATCTACCTTGCAATGAGCAGTTGGGATCTTTGATTGATGTCACGGGCAAGAGCGGGAGGCGTGCCGAGAGCGCTCCATTTTGCTGTTCTAGGCCTGCAATTATCAGAATGAGACCAACAAGTGTCGGCACTTGATTGGAATTTGGAAATATGCAGATGAGATTGATATATTGGAAAGATAGAATAGTGAGATTGGCACCCGATTCACGTCGTATTATTATGGAGGCATCCATCGAATGTAAGAGTTCTGGAACCTACTTACCGCACCCCTGTGACAAATATAACAAAATCCTCGCAAAAATAAGGTTTTCCTATATAAATTATTATATTAAATTTTCTATTCAAATCTTTATAATTTCTTTTAAAAAAAATCAAAAATAATAAATAATTATAATTAAAATATAAAAAATTATTTGGAATATTTTTTACTATTTTTGTTGAATAATTATATAATATTGAAATTGAATTTTTTCAAAAATTCTAACATATAACATTTTTCCCATACAAAATAAGCGAATTTTCATAAAAAATTTGAATTTTCAACTTTAACTTCTTCAAATCATATTTAAAAAATTATAAAAAAATATTCTATTCATTTTTTTATAAGATTTGATTAATTAAATAATATTTCCTAAAAGAATCTCTAATTTTATCTTTTATTTTAATAAATAAATCAGGGTATAAAAAGCTGAATAATCTTATGTTTGAGCCGGAAAAGTGTTACATGTGCGGTGAGCAGGGGCCAGAACTCTTACCATGTTATCGGCCAAAGGGAGGCTCTAAAACACAAGACAGGTCACATTGAAAGCGAAAATTCATATGATTCGCTGGTGGAAATCTCACGGAGAAGGATGAGACTGCCGGCGGAGAGCTTCTACATTTCCTATAGGGCTGCGACGTAGCGACAGAACAGGATTGTTCTCGGTGGTCACTAAAATCAATTTCTCTTCTGTGATTGGGCTGTTCGGGGTACGAAGGCAAAAGAGAAATTGGCATTACTACGGGAATACATGCGCCATATTAGATCCACCACTCACGAGTCTTCAAAAACGGGTGATGTTTGACAATAGGGTACCAAGATATCGGATCATGTTGAAGAATGGATAATTGAGCCGTCTTACATTAGTAAAAACGGTAAGCCATGGTCGCAATTAAGCTTTCCATCAGGTGAGTGGATTCGAAGCGTGGGTACCGGGTATGTTGATCAAAGTAGCATTATATATGCTTAATTGCGCCTGTGTAGCTTTTTTCTGACAACCTGATGGCAAGATTGACGATTTACTTTGACTACACATAGCATGGGGGGCGAAGAAGCCCTAGTATTATATGGTGGTCAGCATTACCTGCAAACCCTTGGAAGCCTATCTAGGTATTCAGAGTGACGAATTAACACGAATGGCAATAGATAAACAATAACTTCAGGACTCCAGTTGCTGCAAAATTGTTCATACCTAACAGAGATTATACTCGCTCTATATTCTTGGGGAAATAGGGTTTCATACTGCAACATCAGACCTTCATTCATAGATCCCCTCTTTTTGCCAAGCACGGACAAGCTCATACTCTACAACAATTCATCCCGATCAAGCATCTATGTCCGATTACTCCTCATCATCAGGGCCTGGAATGGCAAAGTCGTCGAAGGAGGCTAAAGCAAAATCACCTCATCGATATAGAATATGCGGAACACCTGTTCGAACGGGTTGCAGGACTTGCAAGTAAGTGAACTCATTATGGAGCTTCCTTGAGAATTCCACTCACATGCAGAACAGAATTCGTCGAGTCAAATGTGGAGAGGAAAAGCCATTTTGTAAGAGGTGTACTTCCACTGGACGGCATTGTGATGGATATGAGATTATCACAGACTTGAAAAAACGAAATACCACAAAGAGAAGAACTTCCATACCGGCAGGTGTGCAGTCTAATACGTCTCAAGACCCTTTAGAGGCGACTATGCTGGATTTCTTTCGTACGTATACAGTAGCCGAGTTTGCCGGAGACTTCTCTACTGAGTTCTGGGAAAGGAGGATTTTTCAAGCTGCTACCATCGAGCCGTCAATCCGTCACGGTATTCTCGCACTGGGTGCCATCCACAGAAATTACACCGAAACCTACCAGCAACCTCAGACCATAGCAGAAAAGCCAACTCCGGCACAGGCTTTTGCTTTCCGTCAGTACACAAAAGCCATTCAAATTTTACGTCAATCAATAGTACGCGAGCCTCACTCACTAGACATGACATTGATTTCATGCATTTTGTTTATCTGTTTCGATTGTCTCGTAGGCGATCAAGCCGCAGCACTGGTTCATCTCAAATCAGGACTGAAGATCCTCGACGATATACATGCCACAAATGCCCCCTCCTCAACTGCAGCACAATGTGCACGGGATTATTCCCCGCTATTGTTAGTACTAGGGGGACAAATTGCCGCATTCATCAATCCCAAAGCTGGAGTAGACAGAGGAGCATTCTGGGCAGCGATGAAACGAGCCGGTTGCTCAACCTCCCAATTTACCCCTTTCCAGTCATTGGAAGAGGCTCGCTATTCATTGCGAACGCTTGGTGCAGATATACTGCATGCGCGTCATACAAATTGGAACTACGTTACCGAAGAAATAGTCACGAGTGAATTTGGCCCCATGGCACGAAGCCACTACATGGCGTTAGAGAATTGGTCAAATCGCCTAAACGCATTCATCGAAAGAACTTCAAGCAATCAAGAAAACACAGCCGTTGCCTCGGCAAGACCAATCCGCATTCACGGCGTATCATTACTCAGAGCCCATCATCTCTTATTCTCCATGAACGCTGCAGAATCGCATACGCCCAGGTCCAAGTTCGAAGAAATGCTCGATTTATCCGAGGCCCTGATTCTAGAAGATAAAGCTTATTGGAAATCGCAATCCATGCCAAGGTTTATGGTTGATACTGGATTAATTGTTCCACTGGTGTATACAGCGGTTCGCAGTGCTGATATCCAACATAAAAGAAGAGCAATCAAAATCTTGTCACAGGCGCCTGGAAGAGAGGGGTTATGGGATACGCAGTGTGCGATTGATATTGTAGAGGGAGAGTTGGCCGCTGCAAGAGGCCAGAGTCCGAGATTGCAGATTCCATATTTTCATGATTAAGAAGGGAAGAAATGCAATAGTAATAGGTCATGTTTTCTGTGTGGGTTACAGAGCAGGTCAGGTCAATCTTTCATATCACATGGATGATTGGTCGATCGGCCAATAGGCCACAGGTGCTTTTTTCAGGTGCGTGATGTCTGTCACTGAACATGTTCGTCTCAATTGAGATACATGTATTGATCTGAATATGGGTGGAAGGATTACAGGGTGCATCTCCGTAGCCCTCTGCATTTTTCTTTGTGTTTGTAAAATACCAGTGTTATATTATAGATTTCACTTGAAATGTAGATTCAAACAATCTTTTCTTCGTCATATATCAAGAAAAATTTACCATGTGAGATAAATCTCGATTTGAAGTATATACTCGTGATAGGGTGTCTGAGGGTGTTTAAGTGTCATACTGAGCTCTTACGAAGTATAACACCAAACTGAAGCCAAGCGATAAAGCCCCTAAGCCACCCCAACCACCAGGATTTCCACCACATCTTGGCAGCGATACACAAATTCCTATTTTCGAATCCTCTTAAACTCAAACCCCCATGAAGACAACAGTACACTACTCTGTAGACTAACAGAAGGACCCTTGGACCTGTGTACTCATCTGCCTACAACGATCTCCATCCAAACCACAACTCGCTAACTCACCAAGAACGATTTTACGTAGGGTTGCTGAGTTTCCAACAGGGGGATGGATGACAGAATGGTGGGATTGGTAGATAAGCTGAAAGAATCTGCAAGGTGATATATACTCCGTAGGGGGTGTTCCTTGATATAGCCCGTAACTACAAGCTACCGGTATGTAGATGACAAGCAGGGCAGCACGCTTGAGCTTTCGAATTTCCAGCTTATGGAATTTGAACCATCAGTTGAAAAGTGCACAGTGCACAGTGCACAGTAGGTGACTTATGTGCGACTTTCTTGGTGCCGTTAGAGAAGAGTATCTCGGACATAGCTATAGATAGCTAAAGGAAAAATGAAGAACGATAGTTATCGAGTGCGAATACTGTACTTTGCACCTCAAAAGAGAGCTATCACATTGTTTTCTTTTAGATACACAATCTACTTCGTACAGCTGCGATATGCCTCACCGTCAATCAATTTCCCAATTGAACCAATCGAAAGAAGATGACGATCCAATCATCGGGAATATATGGCGGGGGTCCTGGTTTCAGTGTGGAGCTACGCCGCACAGCACCCTCGCTATAACGTGTTTTGGGCCCTTGGCATGGTATCTGCAGATGCAAATTTCCAACAATAGCACAGAAAAGGGTTTCTAGGTCGCTGGCCCTCCATCTGTTACCAGCAAGAGTGGAATTTTGTGAGGACAAAATTGAGAGAGAGGAAGAAAGAAAGATGGAAGGATTCGATTGTTTTCTTGTTTAGCTACCATGTACTTGATTTTGACCGGGAAGCTTTTCATAGCCTGCGAAATTAAGAAGCCTGTTTCATCATGGAGTATACCACTCTCAGCCTTCAGCCTTATCGCAATCGTAGAGTTGCGTTGCCATTTTGATGTTGCTGATAAAGATCTAGAAGTGTGATTGACATTTGGACGCGAATTGGCAGCTCTAGAACTACGCATCTCTCGAAATGGAAGCGAGGTTTTCGAGATTGTTTGATGATTGGGATCAGGATCATAGGGACATAACTATGCTAGAGTATGGGTAAGAGAAGCTTAAATGTTTTCTTAGTTTTAGCTTTCGGCGCATTGACTGAGGGAAACATATTGTCATCGGATGAACATTAGATTGAATATTTGTTTGCTAACACTTCAATTGGTGTTTTGACAGCTCTAGTGTTAACGACTCACCACCGAGATATCATTCTCGGCACAACAGCAGCACAGAATATATATCTCCATCAGCAGATCTATCCGAGAGGCCAGACCTACCAGAACCAGTCCTCGAATCTACAACTCCTTTCTCACCCTTCGACGATGGAATCTCAACTCGACGTTTACTGGATGGTAGAGGAAGTTATGCCTCTAGTTACAGCCCATCTTTTCCATCCGCACACGACTACCAAGCTTTGAAAGATGTAGGCCGAGATAGTATTATAGATGATCCATCTCCAAGCGAAGCACGTCTACGAAATGGCTCTGGCGTGACTTCGAATATGAAGAGGATGTGGACGAAATCGACAGCTTTCACAAAACCCCGTCCTCAATCTTCATTTGATGGACATTTTGCGCAGGGAAAAGATGGGTGGTGGAAAAAACAAATGTTGGTGGATCGAAGTTTAAGATCAATGGCGGGGTTTACACTTCTTTGTGCGATTGTTATGTTTATCATAATGATTGTGTACTTACCTGCGTTTAATTCTCGGTTGAATAAACAAAGTACGAGTGTCGGCGGAAAGGAAGGGGAAAGCTGTGAGAGTATGGAGAGGAGGAATATTGTGAGTGGGATTGTTAGATACAAGGGCTTGGGGAGCTTGCTAATGGGTCATTTGAATAGGCTGTTCATCTGTTCATAAACATTGCAGCGACGATGATTCTGGGTTGTTCGAATACCTATCAGCAGTTGGTAACTGCTCCGCTAGTTGAGGAGATTCCATTCATTCTCTCGAAAAATGGTGATGCAAAATGCGGTACGAACTCACCCTGGAATATCAATGTTAAGAAATCAGGAAAATTAAAGGCTTGGGGATCATGGTTATTACTTATTTGCACTTCAATTGTATGTTTCAAGCGAGCTCTCGAGGAAGGGGTACTTTTGTTGATTGTTTTACAGCCAATTCATTTCCTCGCAAATTCGGTCATTGGACCTTCGTTTTATGTTGAGATGCCAACGAATGTTACGTATCTGTACAATCAAACTTTCTCTCTGAATTCTTATCAAGCGTACTACTACGATACGTCTTCCCACTTGGCATCGTATGACTCTGCATGCGTAAGTCGAACTTCTCTTTCGGAGCTTATTGGGGAGTATTAGGCTTTTGGAACCTGGGGATTTTGACAGTCTGGATTGCGACCCTACAAAGGATAGTCTCTCACCTGAGGAGCCAGTCAGAATGTTCGCATCAGTGATACGTGATCTAGCTCCCCCCCCCCCCTTTTCCTTCCGATATTGCAATTTGACATCCAGTCTGTTGATTCTAGCCGTGGCACTTCCGGAACTAAATCTACGGCTAAGCTTTCCCGGATTTTCGGTTGCCAAACTAACGAAAATCACAAATAGTGGACTGCTTTTAGAGCTGGGTTATATGTTTTGCCTAGCAACATGTCTCAATTGAGTGACCAATACAATACTAATGCGCTCGGAAACTCGAGTGAGTACTCTCAATTCTGTTCTTAGACTGATGCGCGATACTGAGAAATGACTTGTAGCATCTTTCGAAACCGTTTTGGTCACCTACAATCAGAATTGTACAGAATATAAAGGAACAGGGACTGTCGATGAAGCCCTGGCAGAGGTCAATTACACCGGCTCGTATGCTTGGTCGGGGCAGTATTCCAAAGGGAACTGTGCCTTGCGACGAGGTGTTTATTGTGAACTCCAAGACCAGCTACCTAAGAAATGTCGATTGAATGTTCGGATGCAAGCTTGTTTCAGTACGTACTCACTTTTGTCGTGAATATATGGAGTCATTATTCTGACGATTGTTAGCACTTTTCGGGTGTCTCCTAATTAAAGCCATGTACATGATCGGACTGAATTATCGAGCGAGACACAGGGTTAAGAATCACTGCTTGACGTATGGAGATGTGATAGTTGCATCTGTCATAAATCCGGATTTGAAAATTCATAATGAATGCTTACTCAATTCTGGAGATGGTTATCGACATAAGGTGTCACACCAATGCCATAAGCATTGTAAAGATCTCATTCCTTCGACGACGGGTGATGATATTGGTCACTGTCAGGTAATGTGATCTTGCCATTGCCTCCTGAATCTTACTAATCTCCCATGCTCTCATAGAAATGCAAGAAGTTCAATGAGACTGACAAAGCTGCCGGTGAGCTCTAACAAGTTCGTCGGTATGAATTTGTATCTGACACATCTAGACTTACCGCATCCAAGCATAGCAATCAAATACAAGCGCTCACTCCTCTCCAATCTTGGTTCCACCGCCATCACTCAGATGATTATCCTGATGTTTTGCTCCTTCGCCATGGCTGGCGTGTCCATCATGCTCATTACTCTCATGGTCAGCAAGACAACAAATTACAACCATTACTGTCGCAATCCCGATTATAACCGCGAGTACTACAGAGAGTGTGATATTTCGCTCTCGCAAACTCTCAAGGAAAGCTTTGGAACCTGGGGGGGCTTCTCTTCTAGCGTCACGTTGGCAGCGCTTCCTTCTGACAAAATCAGTAGTGAATTGATTGCCTTTGCTATCTCCAACGGCGCACAGTTTCTTTTCAGCTTGCTTTATTTATTGCTCATCTACAACATCACTCTCATATCCATGGAACACGAATGGGGCACCTTTGAGACCGAACGCAAAAAGCCCAGAGCTACCATCGTATCGGGAACCCCCTTTGAGCAATCATATTTTCTGCAACTGCCCTCCAAAATTCTCCTCCCTCTCATGACCTTTGCAGCAGCCATGCACTGGCTCCTCGGCGAATCAATAGCAACCTTCGAATCCATCTACACGGATCCAGCATATGGGGTTGAACACTCGGTCTACTATGTCACGTATGCCGCGTACCCAATCTTCCTGAGTACGGTGTTGATGATTGGCCAGACGGCGATTTGTTGGTGGGCTTTTACCTATCGGCGAGAGGGATTCATTCCGCAGATGTATGGGAGTATTCGGGCTTGTTGTGCGAGTACGAGTGAACTTGAAGATTTTGGGAGGGGGGGCATTCAGTGGGGAGATTGTGAGTTTTTTTCTTCTTCTCTCTCATGGTTTCGTGATTATCCTGGATTTTTAACTAATTCGTTTGCGTGTGATAGTGGGAATGGGTGAAAGATTTAGACATGCTGGTTTCTCGGCTGATGGTTCGTATCTCCACCCCTTCATTCCTCATTTCTCTCTAACCTTATTCTCCCTCCTTCACCTTCACCTATTCTCTCCCCATCATACTGACTCTCCCCCCCTCTAGAACCGGGTAAAATTATCCCTGCAGAACTCTACTGCGGTCGTGGGTAACAATCAATACCCAGTCCAGTTCCTATTTCCCAATTCTCATTTCCCGATACCCATGTGTAAATATAAACAAACAAACAAACAAACCTACAAATTTAATACCCAATTACGAAGTCACGATTTGGAAATTACATATAGGCGTTTGTTTTATTTTTTATTTAATCGAGGGTTTATATTTATTTATTTTTTTATCTATAATAAAAGAGCCTTAGTAATTTATCAACTTTTTAGTAATTTATGAATTTTAATAATAATTCTTATAGTTTTTATTTTTATAATAATATAAATAGATATTTATAATTAGATTAAATTAATAAATATTTTTATTTTTTGTAAATACAAAGTTAGAAAAAATTAATTCTATTTATTAGAAAGATTTTATATAAAAAAAAAAAGTTAATAAATTACTGAAAAATTAATAAATTGCTAAGACCCCCTTATTAGTATAATAGGGAGTGAAAGGAAATATAATCCCCGATTAGTTGTAGATTTGTGAATTGAGATGAATTGAGTTGAGTTACCTATATACCTAGGTCGGGACTTTATATTTCTATGTATATGGATGTATATGTATATGTATTTATATGTATATTTCACACCTATATATAATAATCATAGATAGAATAGATACCTAGACAACAAGCAACAGACAAAACAATAAGAAGGAGAATAAATATCCATTCTATTCTATTCATTCTATTAATAATATCAAAGTAATCTTACCTACCTACTAGTACTAAATATAACAGATATACCTGTAGACTTTTGAGATCGCGAGGGTGAGAGAAATATAAAGAGTATTTAAGATTGATTTAATAAGAATTCTTTTCTTTTCATATTTAGGTAGGTAGGTATCGATGGTTCTTGTGGTGAGTGAGTATTGGGATTATTTGCTGTTGGAGGGATAATGGGATAATGGGATAATGGGATAATGGGATAATGGGATAATGGGATAATGGGATAATGGGATAATGGGATAATGGGATAATGGGATAATGGGATAATGGGATAATGGGATAATGGGATAATGGGATAATGGGATAATTGATAATGAGTGCTTAGATAAGAGTTCGATTCTATCTACATCTACTAGGTATTCATGTGTACTAATGATTCGAGTTTTCTACGATACACTTATTAGTGAGTGGATATGAATGGATTATCAAGACGAGATGAGGAAATTCTGAAGAATATCTATTTGCTGTGTTTTTTTTATAGCTTTTTTTTTGTTTTTTTTTTTAGAAAGTTTAGGAGATGCGGGTGCCACGGGATATCCATGGATACTTTTTATGAGTATAAATGTGAGGAGGTGTTTGGATAGATATTGGAGATTGGAGATTGGAGAATGGAGATTTGATTATGAGTATGAGTATGAATATGAGTATGAGTATGAGTATGAATATGAGTATAAGTATAAGTATGAGTATGAGTATGAGTATGAGTATGAGTATGAGTATGAGTATGAATATGAGTATGAATATGAGTATGAGTATGAGTATGAGTATGAGTATGAGTATGAGTATGAGTATGAATATAAGTATAAGTATGAGTATGAGTATGAATATGAATATGAGTATAAGTATAAGTATAAGTATAAATATAAATATAAGTATAAGTATAAGTATGAGTATAAGTATGAGTATAAATATGGGTATAAATATAAACATAAATATAAATATAAATATAAATATAAATATAAATATAAATATAAATATAAATATAAATATAAATATAAATATAAATATAAATATAAATATAAATATAAATATAAATATAAATATAAATATAAATATAAATATAAATATAAATATAAATATAAATATAAATATAAATATAAATATGAGTATGAGTATAAGTATAAGTATGAGTATAAATATAAGTATGAATATAAGTATGAGTATGAGTATAAATGATTTGATAAAGAGGAAAGCCAAATCATAATAGAGATACAAATACAAATTCAAATACAAATACAAATACAAATTCAAATTTATAGAAAATGTTTATTATTACGGCGATCTATATCGCTGCTATGAAACGTACGCAAGTAAACTAGAGTACACCAAAGCGCCAATGTGTAGTATGGTATCTCTCGCTTGAAAAGTACAGATGGTATAAAGGAAATGGAATGTCGTAGCGGTCGTATCATTATGTAAGTCGTTCCTCTCCTCTCCTCTCCTCTCCTTTCATTACCAGATTCAGTTTCATCTAGTCCATCGATTCTCTTCCCCAGCTATGCACTTCCCCATCTTCCCTTCCTTTCATCAAACTCCACTCCCATCCATCTCAGAACCAGAATATCCCCTAGTATCTGCTGCGTCGCTGCCAAAAGTGTCTCTTAGCAGGTCTCACACCTCCAACATAACCCTTCTCTCCAATCGCACTCCTCGTCTTCTTCTTATGCATTCTCTTACTCAAACACGTAACAAACACGACGACGGCGCCCAAAAATCCCGCAATCATAGCCGCCAAGATACACCAGATACCCACGCTGAAATACGCATGACTTCCACTTCCATCTCCATTGACATGGTTTTTGATGATTCCAAAGAGCGCAAAATCGCACGCCATCGCTACCAAAGCAATGATGAATGCGATGCTAGAGACGAGAGCCGCGAGGAAAGAACCAATGAGACCGGCGCCGAGTGCGAGGAGAAATGCGATAAACATGACTCCGCATGCGACGGGGTGGAGGATCATCACGCGGGTGAGGGCTTTGGTGGTGTCTTCGCTGGCGGTGCTGAAATCGGTGGATTCGATTTGGGACATGATGGCGGCGGGGTTGTAGCCGATGTGTTTTTTAGTGCAGTAGTCGTTTCCATTTCTGTTTTTGAAAAGAGTTGTTAGTTTGGTGTTTTTTTATTGGGTCGAGATCTTGTCGTGTTCTCAATGAGATGAGATGGGATGGAAGGGAAGAGAAGGAAAGGAAAGGATACTCACGAATCAACATCCAAAACACAATATCCAAAAGTACCAAATGAAACCACGGAATTGTGGGAATCGGTTCCGTTTGTCAATTTGACCTTCATGATTCCGATATCATTGATGACGGGAGCGGAAATGGTGGTTATGAGGAGGAGGATGGAAGATGCGAAGAGCAGGAATGTACCGATGTGGTGGAGGAAACCGGTCGCCATTTTGAAGGTTGGGTATTGAGTTGATGTTTGGGTGTTTATTTGAAGATGTAGAAGCGTATGAGAAAGAGAGAGAGAGAGAGAGAGAGAGTAAAATCAAGTCCAAAGTCAACTAACTTTGACTTTATTCAAGTCTAGATAGATAGATAGATGGATAGATGGAAAGTTACTTTGTGTGTAGATATTCTATCTCAGAAAGAAGAAAAAGAAAGGGTCTCTTAAGCTTTTAATATAACCACCTATTATATTCTTGTAACCAACCCAAGCTACTCCAGAAGTCCAGAAGTCAAGAGAAAGTGACATATGAAAGTGGTGCGTTGGTCGCATATCTTGATTCTTGATTTGAGACGTCCCTATTGGAAAGAGAAGGGAAAAAAAAGGTTCACAAACAAGGAAATCCAATATTTACATGGGTTGGTCAGCAGGGTGGTGGTGAGATTGATTGATTGATTGATTGATTGATTGGGCGTCTTTTTCTTGGGTGGCCTATCGTCATAGCTTTGGCCTTGGTGTGGATGGGATTGCATGTACCGGGAAGGATGTGGTGAGAATACTACGTAGGTACCGAGGATAAGAATCATGGGAGTGAAGACTGATTACTTCCGTGGAAGGGATGATAGATAGAGTGAAGTGAAAGTGAAAGTGAAGTCTGATATTGATTTTGTTAAGGTTATTCCTGAGTTGCTTAGTAGCTTGTTTTGAGTGAAGTGAAGTTTCATATCATCCGAACCTTTTTTGGACCAGACACCAGTTATGTCATCATGTCATGGTCATACCTACCTACCAAGGCGTCAAAACGTCAACCATTTTAGCCGATACTGGGGAAAACTAGGTAAACAACGGGCGAGTGCACTAGGTAAAGACTTGGTAGTGGTAGCGTGAGTGTAAGAAAATAATTGAACTTCATGTCTACAGCCATTAACATCAATTATCTAACGAGCACCTACATACTCCAGGTAGGTTCACAAAGTACTCCAAAAACATTTATGTTTATTCTACGAAACCAAAGTATATCTATCTTCATTTCATCATTCATTCATTCATTACCAGGTACTTGCCCGTCCGTCCGTCCGACCAAGTGTCACCTAATAAAATAAAATAAAAGAATAAAAAAACTTGCCGGTCCCCCTGTAAGGCTGTGCGACCCTTTATCAATAAAGTATAAAGTGATAAATGATAAATGACGTCGTAAATTCAGGGGTTCATCCAGTGGCGTGGTCCCTACAGAATACCTAGAACCTAGTAAGCACTCTTGTCGATTTATTACGATTCGGGAAAGTCTACGATATGAATGGTTTCAGATGAGAAAGATCTGGAATATATCAAATACTTTCTTAACATTGATGATATGCTTACCTAATCAAGAATCTAAACCATACACATGTACACGTGTTTGACGGGTATTTGAGATTCAATTGAAACCTTCGATAGTACTACCTAGGTATTATTTGTTTGGGATACTCTGGGCGGCACTCAGTATTGTCCTGGCTCCTGGGTAGAAATTGGCAAACAGGTGCCACATTAAGTTCCATCTGCCGTGTGTCTAGTAATATCGGAGCCAAAAAGATTAGCTTAGTCATGTGATAGCAATGATAGCATCTAAAGCCACACCTCAGTAATCGCTAAGATCAATTCGCAATTAACATTCCTGCTCAATCAATCAACTACCTACATCATCATAGAAAAGGGATCAAGGAAGAAATTGTCACATTCTCTCCATCGCCCACACGGTTATCATGCATTCTATGAATCATGCAGAATCGTATCAGCACGCTATCGTACTCGAATCTCATTCACAACATTGCGACTCAAACCCAAAGCAAGAGAAGTTGGTGAAGCTTTGGTTTTTTGGGTCCAAAGAGAAAGACGATACCATTTCTACTGTTCGCGATACTAATCAGTATTTCCTACTTTGAGTACTAGCGGGCAGCAATGAAGACTTTGCGAACGAGTGGGACAGTACTAACAAGCAATTGTTCACTCACTCCGCATGATTCCAAAGAATACCATCCCTATACGACCAGACCCTCAAACTCATCACCAAATCCCCATCAAAACCCATAATAAATCAGCATGACCCGCAAGGCTTAGATCAATCTATGAATCAAAGCTTGAATCCAAAGCCAAGACTGAGGACCCATCAAAATGAGAAGTTTGATAGTATCAACCTCAATGGGAGTTTCCAGCCAATATCACTCCATTTCATAGTGTTTGTGAGAGACCAGTGGATGAGGATTCGTGTGCAGGGTAGGTGAGTATGTTAATAACTTTTATGTACTGCTCGCTGAAAGCGTTGTTGTCGTTTGTTATCACATGGCACCCATTTCATAACAAGACTTTCATGAGCAATTATACATTTTCTATTCTATCATGCCTCAAATACTATCAACAGTGTCGAGTACTGTCAAATATCGCTTCAAAGTTTTATGTACAGAATGAAAACTCTTCATTGGAATCTGTCGAGCACCACTTCGACTACAACCAATCGTCAGATGACTCGAACTACATCACAGTATCGCCCACTAAATATTCAACCACACGCCAACCTCCACCAACTTTTCTCAACTCAAAAGACACAACATGAATATTAACTACAACAATACCCCCGAGGTTTATTCCCTAAGTCAATTTAAGAAGCGCCTTCGCATTCTCGTATGCCAACTTCGTCTTGGTAAGTGTGTTCATCTCCAAACGGTCAAACCATCCCGCAATCTCCACCGTATCCTCAAATGGATAATCAACACTGAACATTACTCTATCCTCTCCTGTTCTCTTAATGGTATCCACCACAGTTCCTGCATCTTGTACGCCCGCAGTTGTAACCCAGAAATTGCGGAGCCAGTACTCTTCCATCGTAAGGGTGCTGTTGAACAAATCTTTATTGAAATGTCTCAATCGCTGATCAATCCGTGGAAGGAAAAATGGAAGTCCCTCTCCACAATGTCCGAGCACTATTTTAAGAGTAGGATATTTATCTAGAGTTCCTGATACCATAAGACGCAGAGCATGAGCACCTGTCTCGGAGGAAAATCCCCAAGGAGATGAACCCAAGAATTCATAGCCTTTGACACTGAGAAGTTGGCTAGGGGCTGGCATACGAGGATGCAAGTAGATGGGGACATCTAGCTCGACTACTTTTTCGAGGAAAGGCTCCATGCTTGGGTCGTCGAGATAGACGATATCGTTTGCGGTACCGTTGATACCTCCATTGTTGGTGTAGCCTCCGACAAAGGACCCGACGCCTCCGAGTTCTTTGACACAGCGTTCGAGTTCGGTGGCGGCGTTGGCGGGTTCTTGAAGTGCATTGCTGCCTATTGATCTTGTTAGTCTCGTTGCAAGTACAAGGCAGGCAGATGCATGTTACTTACACCAAAACTCAAATCTCCCCGTGTAATTCGCATTATTCTTATAATTCTTATACAAATAATCGTTCACATATCCGGCGGCATAAGTCGCATAGGTAGCATTGAATACTCCTTGGATACCCGGGCCTCCAAATGTTAAAACGGAAATGCTAATGTTTGCAGCATCCATATTCGCAATGCGCGAAGGAATATCGAGCATTTTCTCACCTACATCGGCGATGTAGACGGAATCAGAGTATTGAGGTTCGTTGGTGTTGGGATAGTAAGGCACGGTATAGAGACCGTTCAGGAGATCATTGCCAACATGTTCTTCGAGGGCAATTTTACCAGGAATGGATGTTGAGGCATCGTAGAAAGTTGGACGACCAGAATTCAAGACGGTTTCTTGAGGTGTGTAGTCTGCAGCTGATATGGAAGAAGGAGTGAGAAGAAGGGTTGCCAAAGCAGCTTTTCCAAGAGTACGAACGAACGACATTGTTGCAAAGTATTGAACAAAAAACACACTTAAACTCAAACTCAAACGCTATTCACAAACACACATTCTCTCAAACCCAAGACCTCTAGAAAATCCTCATCTATTTATCTCTCTCCCTCTCTCTCGCCATCTATCTCGCCTCCCAAACCCTAAAATTACAACGCGGAACCACATTACTCCATCCGGACGCGTCCACCCGCATCCCTACTCCCACCACGCCCCGCATTTCCCCATACGCATCTTTTGCACCGCCCTTTCCGCACCTATTTCTACAAAAGCTTCTTTCCCCGGCTGCCCCTCCGATACCCGAACTAGCATCTTCATCCTTCCCCCTCTCTGATTTGAGGAATTGCAAATTACTCAATCTTATTGATTTCGTGTTTGCCACACGTTCTATGCAGATGCAGATCGGAAATCAGTATTTATAATATATATATAGTATCTGGTCCCCCTAGATAGGAGTGCATGCATGTTTTTGATACTAGGCCACGGAAACGAAAATAATCTGATCCACATCTAAGAAAAGAAGCTTTGGTCCGAGTGGACGGATTCGTTATTTACGGCGGCGTAGTTCGATTCATTGGGTCTGTTTGGCATTGATCGAGAATAGGCCGGTTCTGGTTCGGTTTTGCGGGTCTGGTCTGGACCTCTCTCTCTCTCTCTCTGAGTATTTGTATTTGTGTTTGTATTAATTATGGTATGGCATAGAGAAAGTGTTGATATCTTGAAATGCATGATTAAATTATTCTGATATGGTATATATTGTGTTTTGTATCCGGGTTTCCCGAAAAGTGGACGGCGCTTATTTTTAGAAATTGATTAATATCTGAGGAGATTGTTTGAAGGGGAATAATTTTTTGTATTCCTAGGTAGGTAGCTGTCGCTTTTGATTGATGTGGTACAAGCAACAGAATTTTTGAATTGTCGCATTAATCTTTTCCCATCGTTGTATGTACTGAGTAGTGCTATGAATTTATAATGATTGCAATGATTGTTTGATTGGGATATATCTTTCATTTCTACTTATGTCTTCGGGATTAAGAAGCTCAAGGAGTGTTTAATGATGAGAAAGATATCTCGAATACACAGGATAAGAGTTAATAATTAGGAAGGAATGAAATCGACAATTTTGGGGGGAGAAAATACCTTTTGGTCACAAGTGTGACTGTCGTTGCCCTTTCATGCGAGTTGCCCTCGGATGGATGTTAGCATACTGCTGTCTTGTTAAGCGCCAACGCATTTGTGCTCGGCCAATCCTCTTTGATGAGTAGGTATGCTACGCAAATTTTCATATGCGTAGAGGGTTGCATTCATGGGACTGTATCACGTATCTACGAATTTATCTAGGCTTTTTCTTTGACTTCATCTCCAGCAACAGATATACTTCTCGAGTAAAGGATCGAATTGCGAGTGCACGAACATGTCGAGCTCTGTGCCTGAACCAATGTACTCTATTCAAGAGGTCTCAGATAAGGGAAAAGGACTTATCGCCACACGAACAATCCCCATGGGCACATGCATCCTTGCCTAAGAGCCCATCATCAGGATCCCGGAGGACGCTTCTGATACAGCAGTCTTGCGAGCATCTATACGTACACAAGTCGAAGCGCTCACTACAAACAAGCGACAAGCCTTTCTCTCCATGCACAATATCTATGCCAACGACGCTACTCGCCGCACCTAGGAATCATCCGAAAACACGCTCTACCGTTCGGAGATTCTGTAAGAGAGGCTGGAATATTCACAAATGCATGTCGCATCAATCATGCCTGCGATAACAATGCCCTAAAAGGCTGGAACGAGAATAGCAAGCGCCACACCATCTATGCATGCGAAACGAGACATGGAATCGGGTGAAGAAATCACAATCTTCTATCTCGGGGTCCTCAACAAGCGCGAAACTCGACAACAGGGATTGCGCAGGAAATTCGCATTTGCGTGTTCATGTCATCTCTGCTGCTCGAGGAAATTCTCAAACTCGACGACCTCATTAGCCCGGATGGCATGAGGGGAATCCTCTCTGCCCCTTTACTTAAACTCCGCTACGTGGATCAGCAGGTTCGTCTGTACAACGAACTAGGACCCCATGATACCGGACTCCCCCGAGCCGTTTACGACGCGGCGCAAATCTCCATCGCGAATGGCGATCTAGCGCGCGCGAGAATTTTTGTTGAGAAAGCGGTAGCGGGATGGACGGTCCTGCAGGGTGCGCATAGTCCGCGTGTGTTGCAGTATACAGCGCTGCTGCGAAATCTGGAGAAGCGCGAGCTGTATGGGATGTCGCAGAAGTGGAAGATGGCTGTGCATGAGGTTCCGACGGCGCTTGCGGAGGAAACGTGGGAGAAGTGGTTGTGGAGGAGGAGGAAGAAGAAGAAGAAGAAGAAGAAGACTAGGAGGCCGGGGAAATCCCTTAATTGTGGCCCTGGAGGAGAGTAACTAGAGAGAATTCCGGGGGTCAGGCTTCTGAAGTCAAGAGGTTATGCTTGTGTAGCTATTTCCGCATCTGTGGGTTTCGAGCTGTCGCTGTGATTAAGATTTGGCCCCAAGTGAAGTTTTGTTCAGCATCACTCTGTCATTCGTCGCCATGAAACCAAAAGATCAAATAGCAGAGATTTCAATATACGATGCTTCGAAATTGATGCCAGTCTCATCTCGTAGATTCATAATCCCAACGCGATGAATATAATCCGTGCTGTATATTCCGAACTATCGATGCAAATCTTATTCGTGAATTCTTCATTTCCTACACTATTGTATCTGGGAAACTACTAGCCTAGTTTACACCGGTCGTTTTCTCGAAGTCGCTCGTCGTAAAGTCTTGAGGGCGGAGTTGATACGTAGAAGTTCAGATTGCCGAGAGCACGGTATTATCCACCGAAATTGCAGTCTCTGTGTAACGTGTGGATTGAGACTTGAGTTCTCGAAACGTTCCGGAGAATATGATAGTGTTTCTTTGTATTCATCCTTTAGGAATGGAGCAAAAGCAAGCATATTTCTAGAGCTAGAACTAAACGCTTGCTGTGCATGCTTGAGAAGACTTCTAACATCAGGTAATCCAAAACATTTCGCTCTTCTCTCTCCATTGTGGTTCAGCGACCTCGTTATTCATAAATCCATGGAGATAGCATTCTCCTAAGAGTTCCCACTGCTCATCTGGTACAAATACTTGCTCTTTATTAGGTGAGTACATGGGTGGCCTCGAAGGCTGATCCGGTAGGACTGGTCGGAGTACGATAGGCGTCCTGAGCCCATCGAATATAGCCACGATATCTCCTCTCTTCACAAGTAATGGACCAGTACCCATATGCCCTGTTTTAGTTATGACAAAATTCCCACTTCTCCGAAAAGACTCTCTTGGCATTTTGAGGGATCCCAAATTGACCGGAATGTTCGAGCTATCAGTCTTTTTTGCGTGGGCGTTTTCAAAATTCATCCACCAAGTATATAAACCTTCCAAACCATTTTCCACTTGTGGAATCCCCTGTAATGACCCCACGAATGCCATTTCCGAAAGTATCGTTCCTACGAAATTCTTTGTCGCGTCCTCAATAGGAAGGGATTTGTCAGTCGGCAAATGCTTTAACAGAAAATCTTTCAGATTTATAAGCCGTGCGGGATGAGACTTCCAAATATCCTCTAAAGAGTGCAAATCATCTCTATCAGGGAAAATTGTCGATAAATCGTCGGCGATAATATCAACCCTTACACCTCCAAGCCTAATAAAGGGTAGGGTTTCCTTCTCATAGGAGAGACATTCCGGAAGAGTTGTGGCTGATTGGAAACGTTCGAGTGAAAGTCTACCCCCCGATTTAGTGCACCTCCAGTCAGGAACCCAACTAGGCAGTCTGACAGGTATACCCTCACGAAGATGACTCGTACTATCACGTATCCTAAAAGCTTCTTGGAGAAAATTTTCAAGGTCTATTGATTCCAAGGCTTTGAGTGCAAATTCGAAGTAGACGCTTTCCACAGTGCCTTCATAGTTCACCTCGAACCCGAAATCGTCATTGGATTGTAACCCCAGTAAGCCAAAGATTCTATCCATGTCATTATAACAAGCTTTCAGAGGCGAGAAGTTGGCCACGATATCGAATAGATTGCATTCGATTATACGAGTCTTGTTTCCTCCATGACCAGTCAAAATACTGTGGAAGTTTTCTCGGAGATCACTCAGAAAAATCAGAGGTACCCAAATATTTGAGAACTCAATTGTAGAGCTTTTGCGAGCTAGCGCAAGGTAAACCTTCATAGCCAGTATTAATGTATCTAAATTCAGTGTTTCATGTCCCCAGAATACTTGGACTTTTCCCGGAAGCACAGCCTCTTGGATAACCCAAAGGCGTTCAAACCACGATACCTGGAGTAGATTAATAATTGATGGGCTAATAGAATGGGCGAAGTGCGGGATTTCAGACTCGGCTTCATCCTCAGGAAATAGAACACGAAGTTTCTGAAAAACTTCGAAAAAGCTGTCATCTCGATTGATTCCAAAGAGTTGATGTTCAGCAGCGAATCTTTCGAGTAAACCGAAAATAGCCTGGGTGTTGCTGTACTCTTCCCCTAGCCAAACCAATGCACGCTCGGTATTCCTATACAACTGAGACATCAATTGGACTTGATGCCCTTTCTCAATATCATTCTGCTGGTTGATACATACAGCATCGACCCATAATTGCCGCTGACGATCAGGATATCTGAATTGGCGTAGAGCAGCAGCAAGGTTCGTAGTGATGTTCAAGTAACCGGACGGAAGATGTAGTCGTTCAGGGAATACTGGCGGGCCCCAAACATACGATACAGCTTCGTATAAAGGTTTATCCTCCGGCTTTGCAACACTCAGCGTGCAGTGTAATGCGTCGGGGTTGGAGTTTATAGGTGGCAGCAGGTTGAGGATCCTGATTTCTGTCCTTGATCTGATTTGGCAATCAGAATATTTAAATTTGTTACTCTCTTCAACCTCAGATATTTGTTTGGGAATTTCTTCTTCCATGGTCTATTGGTTTCTGAAGAGATGCAATCTCGCTGTTCGGAAAGTGTTGACAATTAAGAATATAGGGATGTCTTGACCGGACCTAATTTAAGCCAGCAATGTGTGTTATTTAAGAGATGATGCGTCGTAGTAGTACTGAGTAATTGTACTTCTCTGCATCGGCTCTTTGCCCCGCTTCGAGCTGAGCTGCACAGCCCTGTACAGCCACCACCACTGTACTCTCACTATCGTTTCGACGTAACATTGCTTCAACATAGTTTCAGGCGCTTTCCTTTCCATGTTGGCCGCAGGTGAGGACATGCTCAAGATAGTCTTGGGGTCTGCCTACACACCTACACAGCTATCGAGAGTGTTCATATTATGTAGGCCATCTCCATTTTTTCCGATGTCACTCTCGCTTAATTTTTATCTCGATCAGATCTCGTCTTTTTGATTGGGCCTACCGAATTGTCAAAGATTCATACTTGATCAAATTATCCCCTGATCGAAGATCCGATGGCACAAAGACGTGGAGAGGTCGAGGATCGAGTTAAATGGATTATATCTCTCCAGATGGAAATCACCCACATACCTTTGATTAAGGCAAAACTGTCATCTGATCGAGGACAGATCTCATTATCGAGTATGTTTCTGAAATTTCATCTGTCTTCAAGGTACAGGTCAAATTGAGATACTTCGAATGTGGCCGAAGAACCCCCCCGCACGCAGCAACGAAGAATTTAGATGTCATTCCACCAGGATGTAGTGCACTCACTAGGTAGGCTACATTAACTTTTCCGACGAACGGATGGTGAGCAATATTCAATGTTCCAATGAATGCCATGTGATATACGGGACTGATTACTTACTACTCGTATAGCGACGTAGAGCCAAACATTCTCCGGAAGGTACGTATGGTTCGCCAGATAATTTCAATCAAGAAGCAAGGGACGAATACCGTGAGCGAATCTGGAAAGAGATTGGAGAGGGATACGAGCGTTTGGCTCGCGAAGAGCTGAAGTGTTAAGATTTTGGTGATCTTCCCAATAGGGGTTTTAAAGATGCATCACCGAATTAGTTGAATGCCAAATAACATTAATAGATTATTTTTTGGAACTCTTGCCATCAATCGACTTTCGTATCCAGCTAGACTCCGGCCATCTCATCAAAGTCAATGAAGTGGAGATTACACAAGGCTTGAAGACCAAAAACAATTACTGTCTCTATTTACACACGTGATCACAATGTGTGCAGCTGTGCAAGCTAAATTCCACGACTAAAAGGGCAAGTACGATATATGGGATGATAGGCGCGACTCAAAATGATCACCGCCCACGGAAATTATCATCCCGCTCTCATCACGCTGTTACTCATATAAACGATTAAATATCAGAATACGACACCTCAGCTACTCTAACGTAGATATTGATCGCCGAATAAACGGATTTTTTCGAGGTTGGAAAATAGCCAACTGCTACAGACGTAGAAAGTGCTCGACAACATACGTGATACTTATCGTGGAAGCAAGACTAGCGTATCCCAGAAGTGGCCTGCGGCTACAACGAGGTGATCTCTAGATTGTGGTTGCAATTCGTAAGTCACAGGACTCTATGGAGATTGTTGGTTCTTTTGTCACATGACTAAGCCATATATTCGACTGATGCATCACCTTTGAGATAAGATCCTCCATAGCTAACTATCACGGCTTTTTGTACCATCTCTCGCAGTCATTCTGGTTGTAAACGAGATGGCTTTCTCGATGGGTGTTCGTTTGCTCGCCCATCCCCGAAGTTTGCGAAATAAGTCACAATATATACCAACAACTCTAGTTTTGAGTCTTCTCTTGCCAATAGCTCTAATACTTGCATCGACAATAGGACTCTCAAAGCTCTGGTCCCAAGGGTCATAGGAAATCATTTCTCTATTGTGTTCGAGTCGGACAAAATTGTCGCACATGCTTTAAGAACCTAAAGTTACGCCCAGTTTTAGGTCTGCAGAGGACCCGGGTTTGACACTTTCGAGTTTAGAATCGGAGATCAAAACCACAGCACCTACTTGTGCGACCAATTTCAAGGTTTGCTTCACTGTAGGCAACTATGGTGTGGTGCCCAAAACAAGCATGACAACTGTGGCTGCTGAAACTTCTGCTGCCTCTGGAGTTCCGGTTTCGATCTAATCGCGAGCTGTAGACAATTCTACCGATACGAAAGATTTTTTTTAATCAAAAATGCGCCTCTTAGGACAAAATCAGTATGGGCGTCGGTAGTTTTTCAGTTTGGTTCGCGCGTCTGTTCTTTCTCCGGAAATCTACTCATTATGAAATTGAAATCAGATCGAAGGGGCTCGCATACTATGCTAGAGGCATATGAAAACTTGCTCGGAGGGGAATAGTACGAGCAGCTGTGAGTTCCTTCATATCCAGCAAAGTAAAGCACTGGATCAATCTCAGTGAGCTTTCAGGCATGCATTATGGTTATTCATAATGCATGAAGATCAAGCTTTGTACTCCGAATCCGAAGGAAATCAATTTATGCTCTGCTCCGTACACTGCTTACTTTTCGCTACCCCCATTGCTGACCCAATGAGCTAACATTCCGCCTTACAATAACCAACTAACTAATACACGCTAACCGCTTAAGGCGATACTCACGATGTGCTCCGTAATCACCCCATATTTATGGAATTGAAGCCGCTTTGCTTGGTAATTGATTTTGAATCTCACCCTTCTCATCCTTCACATACCATTCATTATAGACAGTTTTTCAAAAAAGGAATCAAGTGATTTGTCAAACCGAAAGACTTCACAGTGATAAGCATGCATAAATTCATGCTCGGATCGTCAAGATACCGGCTCCGTTTGCATAACTTCTTCGGAACTTGTTCATAATTACTTTAACGAGGTCAGGGGAAGTATCATACACAATACCTCATGGCAGCAGCCACGACTATATAAGGAGGCCAGTCGCCTTGAGCAAGTGTTCATTCAAACGCTCAGAAATCACTCAAGTATCATCAACATCAACAGAATTCAATTCTCGCATCTCAAACATCAATCTCTTAAAAACAAATCACCTCACAAAATGGGTCTCAAACTCTACGGTATGCGTCAAGCAACTTGCACTCAGCGAGTACTCACTACACTCGCCGAGAAAGGTGTTGACTGCGAGTTCATTCTTATCAACCTTATGACAGGAGAGCAGAAGTCACCTTCGCATCTTGAGAAGCAGCCTTTTGGAAAGGTTCCCGTCCTCGACGATGACGGTTTCTTGATCTACGAGAGTAGGGCTATCTGCAAGTACCTTGCTCGAAAGTATGCCGACAAGGGTACTAAACTCATCCCCGCAGAGGGGGATGTAAAAGGCTATGGTTTATTTGAACAAGTAAGTCTCCAGTCAATGTTTTTTCCAATAAAGTAAACTAATACTCCGTTAGGCTTGCTCAATGGAACAGGCTTACTTTGATACCGAAACCTTCGGTCTCTGGTTCGAGAACTTCATCAAACCGTAAGTTCTCGCGTCGCATTTCAAACCAAAACAATACTGACAAAATAACAGTGCCAGAGGATGGGGTGCCACTAGCCCGGAATTAGTTCAAAAACATCTCCAAACACTTGACAACAATCTCGCTGTCTACGACCAGATCCTCTCGAAGCAGAAGTATCTTGCGGGAGATGAATTCACCTTGGCTGATTTGTACCATTTACCACACGGTACACAGGCATTGAAGTATGGATTTCAAGACCTACTCGCAAAGTATCCTCATGTGAACAAGTGGTGGAAAGGAATTCAAGCTAGAGACAGCTGGAAAGAAGTAGTTGCTGCGGCTGCTTAGGTTTATCATGTGTCTCTGCTGTGGTACACAGTTGTTGAGAGCCTACCAATCATCCTCATGCGTTGCGGTTTACTGCACTCGAGTTGTACGAAAAGATAGCACTGCCACTATTGAAACACTTATTATCATCTTCCCAAGCTCTCTTCATCATTATGCGTGTTTAATAATTGATCTGGCTTTTGACCATTCGAGATTCTAATTACTTGAACCTTTTGATATATATCTATTTGATTGATTGTTAACGAACATTGAACTTGATAATGGCCGAGGCTGCTGTTGCTGCCGTCAGCCTTGGTGCGTCGGTTATAAGCTTCATTGGACTGACAGGCCAAATTCTTCAAGGCTGTCAGTTTATTTGCGACTGTTTCGATGACATTAATGGCGCACCGAAAGAGATACTATACATACTTGAGCAGCTGAAATGTTTCGAGAAAGGGCTTCGAAACTTTCAATGTACCCTTGAAAAGGTGAAGCAGTCCACAGACATATCAGAATCAGAAGACGAGATCAAACTAGCCCTGGAGCTTAGTGAGCTTACTGTCAAAGAACTTCAAGAATTCGTCAATAAATATAAGCGTAATGGGAGGAATGATTGGTGGAAAGGCTTTAGATTCGCCAAAAAGAAGAATGTATTCACCAAATATGCCAGCAGACTCCACCAGGCGAAGATCGATATTATTGGCATACAATCCAGATTGAATCTGTATGACAACACTTCATCCTCCCAAAGAAGTATAACTGCTTACGATGTTTAGTATTGTTACCACAGACATACAACAAATGGTACTTGCAGCTGCCACCACACAATCTACGCCCAGTGCCTCGACAACCATAATAACTACACAAACCACCCAAGCTTCGAACAGAAAAGAAGTTCTTATTAGCGATCGGACCTACGAAGATGTCACATATGCCATCCATGAAGGTGTTTATGCTGGACTTGACCCAATTTTGGCGCAAATGGTCAAGAACAGTGTCAACGTTGCTCTAAAAGACTTCAATCTCAACAATCGATCTGATATTGGAGCTGAAACCGTGAGCAAACACTTGCTTAAGAAAAACGAACAGTTGCCGGCAGCCAGGGATTGTGGCGACAACGTCTTAATAAATGGGCTCAGCAATCCTAGGGTTGTTCAACAAACCACCACGAAAAGCACAATTAATGCTTGGCTCGCGACAATAATTATTCGATCAACAACGACAATCTTACAACAAAGATTTTGCGACGATACAAGCGATTCAGAAGAGCCCTTAGTAACCTCAAAAACTACCCACAAGATTGATATTCGTCCCAATTATCTTATACAAGCCCGGTATCTTGTGTTCATCGATCAGCAAAGGAGGGGTTCAATTTTTGGATGTTCTGATATGCGATTAAGATGCTATAATAACGTCCCATTGGATGCTCCAATTGCCAAAGCTTGTCGTATGGGTGACTTATCCATGGTGCGTAGATTATTTGCGGAGGGAAAAGCTACCATTCATGATATGACAATATCCCCCAGGGAGAGATGGCCCATGTCCTCACTACTTTTCCATGTTTGGGAGGAATGTTATTGTACCATCTTCATATTCAACGCAATCACCGACGAATATGGTATTTCTGAAACCGTCGTCCGCCTCAGTAAGCTTTTCAAGGTTATGGAGTACTTGATAGAAGCAGGAACAGACCTAAGTGATTCTACGCCAAATCATGGGACAGGAATCACACCGTGGTTCTGGCGAGTTATACACACACTATTTGGGTGCCATCGTCTGATAATTCCTTATCTCGAAAAGCTTATAAGGCTCATTCTTAGTAAATCGATTCATGACCCATTTGAATGCGATGGGGTCCTAGGAGCCCGACTTCAAGATGGTCTTTGGTACTCAATGGTTGCTCAATTCATTCCTTGTGTTCAAACCCAAGAGATCTGGCCATTGACAGCTATAGAGTCCATAAAAGATGAGTTAGAGTCGTCAAAACAATTATCTGGGTGTCACCTTGAAGAGCCTCCGTGGGCCCTTCTTCGCGACCCTCAAGGCCTGTATATCCAGAGAGTTCTTCGGTCTTTCAAATTTGAGGACTCGACTTTGGAATCCTACTGCATTAAAATCTTTAAATCTTTCATCATAATGAGCAAGGAACACGACCATCTTTATCCGAGGGTCAGGGAAAGAATCATTCAATGCTTGAAAGCTGGTATGAAACTCAATCACACCAGTCAGCGCAAACGTATACCGTATGGCGCGACACTTTACGCAGTATATAGAGACATGGGTGAAGTGAAATTATTGAGATCAATACTAAACGACGTGGGTTATAAAAACCTCGAGATAGATGAATTGTTTGAACAAGCAAGCAGCATCATGCTTGAGGCATCACTCAATTCAATCCGACCTTCTAGAATCATGGAAGAGTGTATAGCTAGTTTTAACACTGTGGAAATGGCAAATCCACAGCTCTTTTTGAGCAGAAAATCGTTGATGCTCGACCCTGGATACCAGAAGTTTTTCCCTGATGAAGCAATACCGGACAGAATTCTCGGAGCTATTGCGTTGCGTTCATTGCGCAACAGAATTCAACTACTACACGATTACATAGGAGACAGAAGATGTTTACATACCAAGCTAGACCCAGGCTATCTTGTGCAATTTATTTGAACTTTATGACTAACTCAAACTACGGAGACTCATGTTAGAGATTGTATCATAAATCACTCTTAGTCTAATCGTCGCAAAATTCGACGTAGCGATATTATTTTTCTTTTGAAGACGAGGAGACCTCAGAATGATGATAAATGGCCAAAAGATAAGCATAATAAATGCAATTTCAGTTGGCATCTTACACAAATGCCATATTTCGATTCGTTGCAAAGCAAGTCCCCTGCTGATCATCGGCGGATGATCCGCGAGAAACACGACTTCATTATCATCCAGTGTTGTAATTAGTATTTTCCGTATTTCAGTTACGCCCCACTTTAGTGGTACGTATTGATATTTATAATAATATTTCAATAATTATTATTGAATTATATATTACTAAAAGTATTCTATATTTTAATAATATTGAATATTACTAACAATATACCGAAATACAGGAATCTGCATATTCCTATTCAAATATTACATATTTTGAATAATCTCTTTCCTTATTAGACTTAAAGTCAATCAAAATATACAATATTCGAATAAAAATATGTGAATTCCCGTATTTTAGTATATCTTCAGTATAGCTCTGTTTGTATGATACATACGGACGTGGATATAATTGGCTATTATACATACTAGCGTGTATATTATATCCTCTATATCAGCCACAGTAATACTACCATATACTAATTACAACACTGTTATCATCTGTTTATAATAACAGGGAGCTTCTCATACAGATTTTGGTAAATAGACTGCTCATTTCCAGAATCAATCGAGGGGTTATCATCTGACAATATCAGGATAAATCACTTTTAGCTCTACCTCTTTTCATCTATCTATCAACTTTCGGGTGGTTTCTCTAGAGCTAGTAACCTACTATTTCACATTTCGCTCGCGCAGCGTTGTTCCGTCTGATTCCTTCAAAGCAAATTACGTATTTATTTTATCACATCAGCGATTTTGCACATTTTTTTCGGGATTCTGTTCTTTTCGTAGATTCGCTTATATCTAAATCAATATTGATTGAGGTATGCATCTCATTGCGTCTATTATCTTGGAGTATCTAGTATATTGTAATCTATTGTAGTGTAATATACTGGGGATTAATATACTGCTTTTTCATCAAGTAAAATTCTGAGCCTGAGGTCCTTGAGCTGATACATGAGTTGAGTAATTACAAGTAAATCCAATCATGAGGAGAAGTAATTGGACTATGAGAACAAGTAATGTAAACAATAAACAAAATTATAAAATTAATCCATAAATCAAACGCTATAGCAATCTAAACGTAATATAAAAGCAAATACAATACTGACTTTTTATAGTCCCTGAGCACTTCAGGGGGCTATAGTCGATTTAATATCTCTGAATTTCTTGAGATTCTTTTGAGTAATATCAAGCTGCTGTTTATACCTTAATAGATCAGTATGGAGATCACCAGAGCTCGTCTCTGACTCCTCTCTCAAAGACAACAGCTCCTCTGTTGTCAAAATCTGCCGTTCTAAGTTTGACTTTATCTGTGATGATTTGAGTAGTACTTCATCGAAGTTTCGCCTGAGCTCCTCGTCAATCCTCATCATTTCTTTGTTATCATCTTTCAAAGATGCACCTAGGACTTTTGTGTTTTTCTTGTTAAGATCCACGATTCTGGGTCGCGTTTTTACAGATGTATGCTCATTTCTGGGATAGTCTGCGTATCTCTCCCTGGACGGGCGTTTGACAGGACCATCTAGGTCTCTGAGTTTAGTCTTTGTCATATCTGGACCATATTTAAGATTTTCTCTTGAGCTGCCTGTGTGCCTTTCTCTTTCCTTGGATTGGGGTTTGGAGAAGGCTTCGAGATTCTTGGGGTTTTCCCCTGGCGATATGTGTCGTTTTGACTCAGGATGCCTTTGAAGAATACTCCTTGCATCCGAAGATAATATTATGGTAATGGGAGTTCTAAATTGATCGAACTGCTGAGAAGAAATGCAGAGATTCATGCTGAAATTGAATAGCTTGTGATGGCTTTTCGATGATTGTATTAAAATGGTAATTGTCGCTGAATAAAATGGGGAAAATATATGTGGCACTCAATCTGCTATTTAAATGTAAAAACTGCGCCGACAGATACCTAGTCCCTGTAATAACAATTGTCATTTTTGATTGTCAGGCAACCTCTTTATCAGCGTTCTACCTATATGTTATTGCTGACTATAGCCACAACACAGAGCGGCTATCTGGTTACGCACATGCGAGTCGCCTAGATACCTACCTACTTTAAGTATTTTCTGTTTTCAAGATAATCAAATCATAAGATTAAAGAAACAAATCCAAGTAGGTAGCTTTAGATTATAGATACTTATCTTATCAAACATATTATCAATATTAGAATATTGTAAGATTACATTATATCTAGATAGTTGAACTACTCAGTGTAAAAGAAGAAGCAATTCTTGCATGAGCATTGCTGTGAGACTAACGCCCTCGATAAATCTATGGATACCTATAAGGTAGAACTATAAAGATCCTTGTATTAATAAACCAGGCGCTAATTATATTGTTTATATCACGTGATTACGAACTAGTCCCCCCTCTCGCTACACCTCTTCGATGCTTTCGATTATATGCTCGGAGCTTTAGCCAATCAAATTCACTATAATGGATTATCAGCTTGCTTGAGCTCAAGTCATTTGATGTGATTTGGAACTCAGGTAGATTTTCGATCTTATGAACTGCGCCCTGAAACCCTCTCACTGCTACTTGTATAGTACTACGTTCTAATTTTAGCCCTTAAGTCATAAGCTTTATGATCAAACCTATAGGAGAATTTTGTACTCTATTTAAACCTGAACAGTCTGGACTCGTATGTCATGGGGCTAGTGGGCTAGACAAGAATATTTGTAATGTATTTAAATTCGTTAGAAAGTACAAATCTCTGAAGTCCGAATCAAATCATCAGTCAATGAACTCTTCCCTCATATTAGATCAACCGGAAGCCCCTGGGCCTTAGACCTCTGCCTTTTCAGCTTAACGAACTTGGATGAATATGTATCTTTCTTCTCATCGGTAGTACCATCCTTCATAGATTCATCAATTTTTTTGCGCATCCTTGGTCTCTTCTGCTTGAGACTCGCTAGTCTTATCTCCGCCAATTTCGGACTCTTGCTTTTGTGGTTTCTCGTCACCATCTTCGCCGGTTGAATCTCCGCCACTTTCCGGTTAATGTTACAAGACTACACTGTAATGTACACGGTATTCTCACAGGATTCTATCATTTCTCCAGGTCAGCATTTCTCATCTGGTCGAATCATGAAAAAATTAGACGACAGTATAACTGTACTTGAAATGAATTCTCAACCAGTTCCACATATCCAAACAAACATTCTCCTTTTGATCACCCAATCCACTTCACACAACAAAACGATTATCATCAGACTATACTCCCATATGAAACAACAATTACTTCAAGAATTTCCAAACTTACGATAACTCTCCTCCAATTATAAGTTCAAATATAAATTCAAGTATTCTTCGATTCCTTGGTCCTCCGATCGTAGCTTGCCAGACAAGGAAGATTCGCGTAATCAATCTCGCGTAATTATCTCCTCTTGCCCCGCCGCCATCACCTGTACACTGGTACCGATGCACGACATTAAATTCTCCGATGAAACACTTTCTTATCTTATCATTATCACTCAATCCCCTCGCCTCCAGATTTAATGAGCGGTTTATCACTAGGTGCCAACTATCTTGAGCTGGTAATGTTTAGCGCTCAGACTGATTTTGCCTCCCAGGCTTGTCGTGTTGTACTACAACACTCCTGGCAACGCAACACCTGTGATACTAAATATCAGCACCATAATGAGAATGAGGTTTAATAAATCTGCATTCCTATACAAGTAGGTATTTACTAGGCTCTAAGTAGGTAGGTAAAATTCATAGGATTCAATAACGCTCGCTTCCACTGCCACATCTGTCTGTTGTTTCACAAATTCAGAATTGCTTTTTATCTTCCGCTCTACCTTGAGGACGTATCATCCACAATCCTGAATCTGCAGTCTGCCACATTCACACCGATCCCTTGCCATTCCATGCTATCCCATGCCGATTTCAAGCAACGAGTCCCGCCCAACTTGTCTAAACAATCTGTACATAATTTGCCGGCACACTCTTGATATGCCCCCCTTTCTCAACCTCCATCCATCCATCTCCAGGATCATCCTTGATAAGAACAAAGCGCTCGCCTTCCACCATATTATGTTCCGCATCAGTCCGCGCCGTATACTCATAAAGCGCTTCTACATATTTCAACTTTTTGGCTCCTCTTTTTGGTGCCACAACTGGGCCCTGTTTTTTACCAGTGGAGATGGAGGAACCAGAGTTGGAGATTATAGAGACGGGTCTATTTGTAGGGTTTGGAGGGGAAGAAGGAGGTAGAACTTCGAGGTAGGCGGTAGGGACTAGACCTTCCTTGGAGCCATGCTTGATTTTGGTCCAGCCGCCATCTAGCATTGGTTAGTAATTAGTTCGAGAAATTGTAGCGGGGCCACTAACCATCTGGTTCCAGTATTGTAATTTCTTCGCCTTCGCTAACTGTGACTTCTTCGCCACCATTAGCGTCATACGCATATAACATTTTCCCTCTCGGTTCTTTTGATGCCGATCCATCAGCTACACTGCTACCTGGTAATTCGCTAACATATGCTGTCGGCGGAGGAGCCACAACTCTGTTTTTCTTTAAAAGTCCGCCGGGCTTAAGACTCGAAGAAATGCTTCTCCTTCGATCAACCGCCGCATCTGGAGGTGATTCCTCGGTTGGAGATTTTGCCGAGATAGATCTATGTGCACTAGCAGCATAACCTGAACTTAACGAATTCATAGTATTAGATCGACTCATGGTTGGAAGTTCCGCAACACTATCTGCAAGACCTGTACCTGGAGCTTTAACCGCATTGGCCGCTTCTTGACGTTCTGCTTTCAGTTTCTTCTTCTCGTCTTTGGTCTGCTCTCCTGGACACTCAGCTGGAACCTTCATCTCACATTTGCTGTGACACGTATAACCACAATCTCTACAATCAAAACCCTTCGCTGAAAGTCCCCAAATACGTTCACCGCACAAATCGCAGTTAGTGGGTATTTTGAAGGTTTGAGATTTGAAGTTGTGACTCTTCGAGCCTAACGTAACATCTCCCACAGCTTCCGTAATTGTTGATGTTTCAACCTCTGCAGTCAGCCTCTTGTGATCAACCTGATGTAGTTCTTCTTGTAAAGCAAAAATGGCTCTAACAACTTCAACTTCGTCCCTCTTATCTTTACCCTCTCTAATTTGCTGCTTTACACGTTTCGTGCTCTCAACTTCCCGTCGTTTCAAATCCACTTCTCTTCTCAAATCCCCAAGTTGATTTTTAGATTTACTGAGAACGTTTCGAAGAAAGACCTTAGCAGTATCTCCCACCATCATCGCATCATCGTCGTGCCACACAGGACTTGGTTCAAATGGCTTATCCGGAGGCTCTTGCCAAGTTCCTACGTTATGTCTGACAAACATCATGCAATCTAAAGAAGGCTGATTTCTTGGAATCTCAACCAATACGTGATTGACAAACTCTGTGCTACGTTCCAGCATCCCCTTTTCTAATTGCGCCGCTAGCGACCATATAGCATTGAGTTTAATTGTGCGCGATTCGTAAAGGTCTTGTAAGCTGTCGAGAAGATCCGGAATGTACTCATGATAGTATTTCTCCTTTTGTTTATTCGTCACATTTATGGCGATCAAGTAGCTGTTCTTAACGTTGTGCATCTCGAGGATTTGCTGTTGGTATGCGTTTTGTGCTTTTGTCTTTGAATAATCAAATGAAGATTCTGCCTTCTTCCGTTTGTTTTCGACTTCCTGACATGCAGCATCATATTTCCCTTTCATCTTGCGAAGATCCGCATACGTAGCATCTCTCTCCTTTTCCAATTTATCCGCATATTCAACGTGGCGTTTCCTTATCTCGTCGTAACGTCCTCCAAGTACCTTCAGTGGTTCTGCCACTTGCGTTATCAATTCCCCTCCAAAGCGATCGTGTTCCGCTGCGCGAGATTCGAGAGTGGTGAGTTGTGTAGTCCATGTTGTTAATGATGCACTACATGCGGTTGGTTAACAGTTGCACGCCGATTTCTAGGTATAGCATCTCAAACCTCTCTAGTGACCCAGGGGTCATAACAGGTGTGTCGCCGACACTTAAACTGCTCGACTTCTTCGTCTTCTTCTCATAATACTTCTTAGCCAAAGCCGCAAGCTTTGCGCTGTATTCCTTCTCAATGACGCTCCTCTCGCGATAGAATCCTTCTATGTCGCTGCCTATCCAGTTGATACCGTTGGTTACCCAAGCATTTGCCGATTTGAATCCATCCTGTGAAAGCGCCAAAAGTCAGAAAAGGCATTGGCCTAGAAAGCATGCGAACATGCGTGTCTACTAACCTTCAACTCAAGGCCGAATTGGGGAGCAATGTCAACCTCCGCCATGATTTGTACCGCAATAATACGTCAGTAATCTAAGTATCATGGACAACGTGAAAGAGGGAAAAGATTCATGTTAGATTAGAGAAGCAAAGAATGAGAGAATGAACATAAAGGTTGGATCTTGGACATATGTCATCAGGACAATAACCGTAATGAATAACTCGTACGCATAAATGCCCCGCCAAATTACGGAGCATTTAATAATATCCAGGTAGGTACCTTATTATTATTATTATGATTATTATTATTAGTTGGGCTGGCTGGGCAGATTGGGAGATTATCAGATTCGGGCGGAACACACGGGGGTGACCTAAACGTTTTCTAAAGCAGCGAAACATACCCAACTAGGGACTAGGGAAGGTAGGAGGTGATCAATTGTGGCTGTAAGGCTGTGTACGTGTGGCTGTTTGCTCGCACGACCTCGGGATAATACGATTTGCCCAGGTGCTTGTTGGAGGTTTGATCTTGAATCACGTGTAGATTAACACATCTCAATATGCACTAGGCGTTTATAAGTTAGTTCAACCCTTATCGTCTTCTCAATATCTCAATATCTCTACTAGGCAATCCTTCACAACAAATCAATCAAACATCTTCAGAACAAAACAGTTTACCCCTCCCCCGCACTGAAATCATTTTTAAAGAAGAAACATCATATTCCCAGCATTTCAATCTACTACACCAACACAATATTCTAAAATGTCTGAATCCAAGAGCACATCTTGGGCAGATGAGGTTGCATCACCCACTACTGAAAAAAATGAGGGAAACCCTTTGGAGGAGGCGCAACTTGATGGTGCTACTGAGCCTTTGGGAGGTGGTGCTCTCCAGGACGGCCAATATGAGGTCGAGGTTAAACTCAGCGATATTCAAGGCGATCAAACAAGTCCCTTGTATTCTGTAGAGACTTTTGAGCAGTTGGGAATGTAAGTGTGAGCTTCACTTTTGCAGAGTCTGAGCTGATCTATCCTACTAGTGATGCCTCAATTCTCAAAGGTCTTTATGCGATGAATTTCAAAAAGCCTTCCAAGATCCAAGAAAAAGCCCTTCCACTCTTACTTCGCAACCCACCAACAAATATGATTGCGCAGTCACAATCAGGCACAGGAAAGACTGCTGCGTTCGTTATCACTATTTTATCACGTCTCGACTTTTCGAAGCCAACTACTCCCCAAGCATTATGTTTAGCACCAAGTCGCGAACTTGCCCGCCAAATCGAGGGCGTCATCAGAAGCATTGGGCAATTTGTTGATGGCTTGACTGTACAAGCAGCCATTCCAGGTGCGGTGGAGCGAAATGCCAAAGTAAATGCAATGGTTATTGTAGGGACACCTGGTACAGTAATGGACTTGATCAAGAGAAGATCGATCGACGCATCTCAGATGAAAATACTATGTTTGGATGAGGCAGACAACATGTTGGATCAGCAAGGTCTTGGAGATCAGTGCATGCGAGTCAAATCGTAAGTTCGGTCTTTTCGAAGTTTGAGTGACATATCCTAATCGGTTTTAGGATGATTCGAGTCGAGCAGATCCTACTCTTTTCCGCGACTTTTCCCGATGAGGTCTACGGCTTTGCTCAGGATTTTTCGCCTCGTGCAAACGAGATTAAGTTGAAGCGCGATGAACTTACTGTGTCTGGAATTAAGCAGATGTTCATGGATTGTCCCAACGAGATCGGGAAATATGAGATTCTGGTCAAGCTTTATGGTTTAATGACAATCGGTTCCTCGATCATTTTTGTCAAGGTATTTGATGCTGAATGTACTTTCTCGATAATGATACTAACCAAGATTACAGCGAAGAGATACAGCCAGTAACATTGCTGAACGTTTGACAAAGGAAGGACACAAGGTTGTTGCAGTTCATGGTGCTTTTGAAGGTTCAGAACGTGATCAAGTACTTGAAGATTTCCGTCAAGGGAAGGCCAAGGTTCTCATCACTACAAATGTTCTTGCCCGAGGTATCGATGTTCAATCTGTCTCTATGGTCATCAACTATGACGTCCCTATGAAGGGCCGATCAGATTCAGAGCCAGACCCAGAAACCTACCTTCACCGTATCGGTCGAACCGGAAGATTCGGACGTGTCGGTGTCAGTATCAGCTTTGTCTTCGACAGAAAGAGTTATGATGCACTCAACCAAATCGCAAATCATTATAATATTGATCTTATTAAGCTCAACCAAGATGATTGGGATGAAACGGAAGAGATTGTGAAGAAGGTCATTAAGTCAAGCCGTGCTGGTACCAATTTACAGTCTTAGTTCTTTTCAAGTTGAGCTTTCATATGAATCCCTCAATTATCCACATCTTTTTTTGAAATTCACTTTGCACAATATTGGGAGAAAAAGCAGGCGTTTGCACATATGCATAAGCTCATGTTGAAAGGGGAGGCTCAAATTGCTTACGAGGATATTTTTCAACAATGGATTCGCTACAGCGGGGTTATTCTGGGTTGCATACACAGCCGCGAAACATGCTTTTAAAATCTAATCGTGGATGGATCACGAGGAAATGACCATAATGAATGATTTCATGAACAAAAATAGCTGCAATAAAATGGATCTAGAACGCAGTGAAGACAAACTCGAACCAACTTAGAGATAATCAAAATTTGACACGTATAATAAATGCAATGAATCGTTGAACGATCAATATTACTAACGTTGTGTCTCTATCTCAGGCTCGAATGATGATTCGAATAATCGAACGTGAAATTGTTGGACGTTTTCCATGACACTCGGTAGCTTACATACTATGTACCAACCTATTATGAACTGAGACTACGGAGTAGGCAGGTCTGCGTTGGGGTCTCCAGTCATAACCTAAGTGGGTAAAGTAGTTCGGTATAATTTTGATGATTATATATAGCAAACGGCCTCGAGGCTGGCGTAGCAACTATCTCGGATGCGAAACGTTATTGTCTCCGGTAAAATATTGATCTGCTTACTTCCTTTCTTGAAAGAGATCCACTCATATCGATGAAAAGGTATAGAGATCAGAGACGACAATGGAACGAACATGTTTCTGCTGTACACACCTACCTACCCACAATTACAATCATCGGTTTCGATCCGGTCTACGTCAGGTCACGTGGGAAATTAACCTTGTAACCGCCAGGGTTAATTTCTTCAGCGCTTACTTGCAGAGCTAGACAACCACCACCATACAGGTAACGAGGCTTATCATCACATCAAACATGGGGTCAACTATTGTGGCAGCGGCTATGTATCTTGAGTCCAGCGGTAGTATCATGCAGTCTCACACATCGTACCTGAAGAAATGTGACGCCATGTATATGGCCCATGAGCCGGCTGTTGGAGAGACTCTATTGGTTTTCAAGGTAACATTGCGGGGGTCGTCGGGTGTTGTGTGAGCATATCGCTGATTTCTCTTGATGGAAACTTTCTACATCATTGTTTCTTTTTTTCCTTCAGTTTTCTCACGTATTTCCTTACCGTCGAGTTTTTTCCTTGATTTTTTCTATTTCATTTCTTCGATCAGTATCATCAGTACCATGGGTTTCTTTGAAGTTTATCTTAGATTCGTATTATAATGATGTATGAGACGCTGGACGACTCGGAAAGTGATTTGTTTCCATCTTCGAGGTCAGTAGAATCTATTTCTGGTTCTTTTACTTCTCATACATATGCCACCTGAATCGAGACCATGACTTAGAGCTTTGGTGTCCAACAGTTTGAGTGACTCGAAGAACTATGACCTCAACTCTTCTATCATCACAAGCATCATGAAGTTTCAAAATGCTCAGAACAACTTGGAAAATGTATATACACAAACAATGCTGACATCCCCATTCCTACAGTGTTTCCCAGAATGGCAATGTTACCATTGAGCCTCCTCATACTCATATACGCATTCTCAACTTGTGTTAATGCTGAATTTTCTTTGCCATCTCAAGTAAAAAGTTTTGTTCCTTCGTGCGCTCAAGTTTGCTTTGAGTCCTTCGTACAAGACAACTATCCAACAAATGTTTGTGGCGACACACCTACATTTGACTGCTTATGTGAAAATGGTAGCAAGTCTACATACACGGTGGGAGAGGGGGCAGTACAATGTATAATGTCAGAAGCAAGCGTGGGCTTCTGTAATGGAGATGACTCCTCTAGTAAGTCATTGTCGAAGTTTGCTCGACGGAAGTTTCTAATTTGTCTTGCAGATGATACAGTACTAAAAGCATACAATATGTGTAATTCCGACAAGAATGCACTGCCAAACACACATAGCACCCTTACAGCAACTCTCGTTTTACAATCAGGCTCCGCAAGTATCGTCCAAATTGCTCCAGTGGCAACGACAAGTGCTAGTGATTCTGTAGCTACAACTTTACTCACAACTGTACCTACCGCTACAGCTACCGCTACAGCTACTCCAAGTTCAACCACGAGTTCAAAATCATCGACAGGGGTGACACAACCGGCAGCTGCCACGAGTGCCTATTCATCACCGGAGAAGAGTAAGCCAGTACTATCGACTGCGCAAATAGCTGGAATTGTGGTAGCAGGAGTTGGTGGTGTCGTTTTGGTAGTTGGAGCTATATTGCTGTGTGCCTGTATGAGACGAAAAAGGCAAGCAAATCGAGATAGTGGATATCTCCCATTCCAGCAAGAGCCTTCTTTGAGCATCAAATCACAATCTCACTTCGGTATTACGAAGCCAATGGCGCCATCACCAGCTTCCATTTCAACCCGAGGACCAACACCAATAGGTCCATTTTTGGGGGCTCGAATGCCTCCGAGGGGGGGCCAGCTAAGCCCCGATCCTTTCTCTCAAAGGAACGCTAGTCCAGAGAATATCGGTCTTGCCATGACTTCCGAGAGCCCCCAAAACAATTTGTTAACCCCTATGGGTTACACTGAAGAAATATTCCAACGTGGCCCGTCTCCACTTTTGCCCGAAAGACCAGCTCTCACCCTGCAGGTTCCTTTCCAGCGAAACCCCAACGAGATCCACACTGCTGCCTACCAGCAACCATCAAAATTCACGGGCAACAATCGGCAATCTATGGATACACAATTCGAAGATGAAGATTCATGCAGCACAGCTGTAGCATCCGAAGCACCATGGAATGCGGCGTCCTATGGGTCCATATCAAAAGACAAGGTTCTCCGAAATCCTGATCCCGCATATTATCAATCACCTCGTCTCCAAGGTGAGCTCTCGCCAAATGAAACAGAGCATATTATCGATTCCTACAAGGATGCTTCAGTAGAGCCTGACTTCTACGTACGCCCCCTTAATCTTCAAAGAAACTTTTCACAACCTCGTCGGCCTGAAAATGCAATGAAACCTTCTGTTCAACGCAATCCATCTGCCAAGGATCCTCTTAGAGCAACCTCATCTGTGTACTCGGCAAAATCTCACAATCGTCGACCCTCTTCAAATGAAGTCGAGAAGCTAAACTCACTCATGCAATCTAACCCCTCATTTCGCCGCGTGCTAGGGAAATCCGCATACAATCCCGTAGGACCATATGATCAAAATCGTACCTCTAGAGCTTCGATAGGGTCTATGACATCCTTCGAAACCATGGATTCTATCAATCCTGAGCCCCAAGAGCTTTCTGGCGACACTAATCTCAGCCCTGTCGTCGAATCACCCACTGACAAATCAAACGTCATCGGTAAATCACCAGTCAAATACCCCAAAATCAAGGGAAACCCAAGCAAACGCCATTCTCGTACTCGTACCCGCACATCGATCGTAACAAATTTCCCCGCACCACCGCCAATATCTATTGAGTCACCCATCCGCCCCCCTACAGCATATAGTAATAAACCATGGCAAGAAGCCGAGATAGCCGCTCAGAAAACGCGCATGGCATCTCTAGGACTATCGCCCGGAAAATTTCTCTCGCCAGGCTCTCACAACTCTGGCATCACTATTCGAAAAAGTAATGACTTTTTCAGTCCCACTGATTTAGCTTCAAGAAGTCCTCCACCGCCAATACCATTACCCTTACCACCAACTTCTAAACAGAGGGATATGAGTCCAAGAACTGCCAATGGAAGTGGGAGTAAAAGAAGCGCTCCGCCCCCTTCTTTAAGTCTCGCCACTTCTCCAGATTCAATACAAAAATGGAGAGTCCTTCCCGACACCAACACTAATATTAACACTACCAACCCCACCACTACTTCTTCCCACCAACCGACCTCACCAACCGTCGTATCTCCACACTGGCGGCCACAAATACTCACCGGTATATTAAGAAAAGATAGCGTCCAGTCCTTACACAAACCCGCCACCAACGTCTCATCCTCCAACATTAATCCCTCCCAACCACTCTCCGTCCCCCTCCACGCCTCCATGGACCCCGAAGTATCCTCAATCTACAGCCAAGAAACACGCAATTTCACATTCGATCCACGTCTTACACAAATGACTACCATGTCTGAAATAAAAGCTCAGGGACAAGCTCCTGTTGATTCTTCGAACGAAGATATCAGTACAGTTAAAGATACAAATTTGAACGGTCGATCCGTCGTATATACCAAAGACGATGGATCAGGTGAAACGATCACTATCAACATCGATGGAGATAATCCCAGTGGTTTACCAAAGACGCCGGGTTGGCTACCGAGATTGACGCCCACGAGACGGGGAAATGATTTATTTTTGAATGTGCAATAGTGTGGCACATATACTATTCGAAGAAGTGGGGATGCGATAATGTAAGCGTGAAGGGCAAGTAAGAGGAGAGCGTGGGTTCATTATTTTAAACTATATCAGTAGATATTCTCCTTTTATGCTCAATTTCTTTTCCTTTTGTGGTTAATCTTGTATGATTATGAGTATGAGTATGAGGTTATGCGTCGTAGGACGAATAGGATGGAATGGGACAGGATCGATGCTGGATCAGGCATTGTCAGGAACGGATCTCACGTTCTTAATTTCTTTTGTTAAAGAAAATACCCAAGTCAGGAATTCAGGATATGGAGTTACAGAAACATTGCAGGAGTTAAAGCTGTTACAGGGAGGGGCGTTACTTTTGGTGTTACAATGTACTTGTAGGAAAAGGGCCTAGGGATTCTTTGCATGTATTCAAAGCGAAGTCAAGCCATGAGACTTGGGGGAAATATTTGGGGTCTACTGTATTAGTAGTAGCTATTTAAATCTTGATCTACCAATGTGGTTACACTTCTTATATTAATGGTATTGCTATCGATGTAGCTGTGGCTCGACGACAAAAGTAAGGCGAAGACATGAATGAATGAGAAACAAATTAAAATAGTTCCAATAAAGGAATGACAGGAATTCTGATTATGATCCCACGTGAAAACATGAATTAGAGAAAAACAGAATGGGAACGATTAGAAAGGGGTCAAGTTGAAGTCGGATGACGACTTCGTGAGAAAAACACAAACGCAAATTTGAATATACCGACCGAATGCATTTACCGTCCCAGGGTATCTCGTAGCTTCGTTAAAGTCGGTACATCCATACCAGAACCCCAGACTCCTGTATATTCGCGAAATACACCAATTTCCCTGGTTTAACAGCCCGCTTGTGTGCGAAAAGAGAAGAAATTATAACATCCATATTTCGATCAACTCGCTGAGTACATGGGGAACGCAATAGAGACGTATGATCGGAATTGCTTGGTCGACGAGTTAATCCTGCCAGTGAGTAGGAACCACTGGCTCGACAGCCTGTGTTTCCAGATATCTTATCAGCCTATCCATTCAGTTTTCGTTTGTCCGTTCGAATGGGCTTACATATTGGTCTGATTCGAAGAGGTCATCGGTAAATGATAGCTCATTCATGATGCTAGGAATTGGTCTGGGTTTCTCGTCTGTGCCATGAGATTAGCTATGTGCAACAAGTAATACGGCGAATACTGGTAACTTACCAAGAGAGGATGAAGGACGAAGTTCTTGGATCTTCGATTGCAGGGTTTGTGTGTCAACTTTAATCTCTGGAGAGGAAATGGTGAGACGGGATTCAGCCTGTAGATGTAAGTGTTCGGGAGATTCATTTGGCGAAGAGGAGGTTTGGAGAAGAAATTGTCTCTCTGGATGCATGCCTTGATTGAGAGCCGACACATTAATCTCGCTTTGTGGATAAACATCCTGTACCGTTGAGAACGTAGACTTTTTGGAAGAGATGCTTGAACGTTGGCTAGATGGGATAGGCATTGGGGAATTATCGACGAAGCCTTGTCTCTCTGGGTGTATGCCTTGGTCTGAAGCAGATAAAAGGGCCTCGCTTTGTGAGTGCATTTCTTGTAATGCTATAGGCAATGGAGGAGTGCTTGAATTCTGGGCAGATGATTCAAATAATTCAGCAACGCCAACACCTTTCTCCACATCGGTCGTAACATTCATCTTAGATTCAGTCGGCGGGATTTGTAGAGCTTTTCTCTTGCGAGGGTACAGGAGGGAGGATATTTGGTTCTGGATATCTAAGCCCTCCGCTTTGCTCTGCTTTTTCCTCTTAAACAACAAAGATCTCTCACCTCTGACAGGGCTGACGGGGGTACCTTTTACCACTGATTCCCATTTCTCCAAATTTACTGCTTTCTTAAGGGGTTTGGATTCTCCTACGGAAGTAGCGAGTGAAGCATGTTTCGAAGTGGTCATGTTAGCTGCTCTGTTTGCCATTGATTCTTTATGCTTACGACTAGCAATTTCCGCCCATGATTCTTCAATTGGACTTGATGGCTCAGGGTAGTTGTAGGCAGGGACCATGAATTCTCCGCGCTTGCGACTGGAAGGTTTCGTACACGACACTGTAGTCAGTGTCTTGAAATGGTTAGAAGCAGGAACTTTCAATTGCATATAAATGGGGGCGGGTAAAAGCTACCTCTTCGTCATCTAATGATTCTCTAAGACTATAACTTGATGCAAGAGAAAAAGCTCGGCTTTTGGACTCAGAAAACATACTCGCGTTTCGAATGGAATACGATGGTCTATAGTAGGAACTATTTTGAACGCCCCGATCCATAGGAGTATCTGTGTAAGGAGACGGTCTGTAATAGAACCCTCTTGAGGCGCCTTCATCAGTAGGAGAGCCTCCACGAGGAGATTTTCCATCGTAGGAGCCCTTTGTAGTGTCTTGGTCTCTATGACGTGGAGATCGAGATCTATAGGAACTGGAGCTTGATACCTTTTGAGCCGAAATAGAGGAAATAGAGCGGCGGGACTGACGGGACTTGTGCGGGCTTTGGTTGATATAGGAGCTTTTGGGGCTTCTGGAACGCGATCGATAGTGATTGGAATACCGGAGGGTTCTAGGAATGGAACGATGGTGGTCGTCAGGGCTTCTGGAGCGGGACCGAGAGCGAATTCGACGGGGGGACCGACGAGTTTCCAATGGGGAGCGGGAACGGAAACGATACTCATTGTCTCCTTCTTGCTTGATTGGTCCAAATATGTAAGACGAGCCTTCGGCACGAAAGTGAGGAGGGTCCTCATCGTTCTTTTCCTGCTTGAGTGGACTTGAATCATAAGTTGGAACTTTGGTGCGAGAACCCAGAGGCTCTAGATTGGCGTTTCCAGCCATCTTCTTTCCCCTGCGCATTATAACTAGATTCGATTAATAATTAATTTTCTGTTAAACGCAAAACTGCTATTAGTAGGTAGGTAAAGTAATGGTGATCGAAGTGGCAGAAAGCAACTTGAATTTAGCACTGTATCTCCTGGGAGAAGAGAGAGTCAAGACAGATGATCTTGGAATGATATTGGTTATGAAAGATTGTTTTAATAATTTTCAAAGGATTCGAAGATGCTGTGGAAATATTGTGTTTATTGTTGTTTACAAATGTTGTGGAAGAGATCTTGGTGTAGATATCGGAGGTACCTCGGGAAAACAAGGGTGATTGTGTCTGTCCCGACTCTCTCTGGAGAGAAATAGTCCTCCTGTGGCTGAATAAAGTTTTCCTATCAAAACTTATTACTACTGAGCTATTCACCAACATGAACATGAACATGAAAATTTGTATCAAGCATTATTATCCATCTCATCACTATCTAACAATGTCATGGCTTTCAAAAGGTTTGGTCAAGAACTAATTGCACACTGAGCGACGACAAACATCTAGGCCTCGTTTACCTACCTATAGGGGAAAGGGAAGATTGCCATGGAGCCTCAACTCATGTGTCTAATAGAGTACCTGAGAGTACCTAGCACCTGCCTACAAAGTGGAATCTGATATAATATCCTGTCCAAATCTAAATCACATTCCACCAATCAATGTATTCTTTGGCAAGACTCTACCTAGGTCAACCTAGGCTACGGAAGCGACTTGCATGAATGATCAATGATCAACATTTTATGTCTTCAGCCTTACAATAAATTTGGCAAGACACCGACAGCTGTCACAACCTGCTCGCAAACCATCCAATAGGATTTGCATACCCCATTCCATTATAGAACTTTGGTATTTTGGATTGTTTTCATTATGGATTTTTTTTTCGTTGCCCCCATTGTTACCTCTATCGCTCGCCCCCAATGATATTCATGGATATGAAGGACGCAAGGCTTGTTTTCAAGTAATCTTCATTTGGCAACGTTACCATCCTCTGTGGCCCTTAGGATCTTCCTATTCTGCTCTCCGAAGACGAACTATATTTGTGGTTGTCCAGTGCTGCCTTTCCTTTCGCATGTTCACTTCTACTCGGGCATGTGTCTGACCTGCATATGCCCCTCGTAAATGCCTCTGCAAGCCTCACAAGTATGCTTAATGGCAGAGATGATGCGTAGATTGCGTATCTCTCATTTCTTGTGACCAAGAACGGCCAATGATAGTAGCAGCTTTGTCTTGGTTTGAGTTTGGGGCATCCGACAGGCTTCTCAGATTCAACGAGGCCGGCGGTCAGTGATCCGTCATAAATCCGGATTAACTTCCTAAATTTACCAAGATGGATTGTACCAAGCGATACTTTCTACAGGCTTTCGATGGCTGATTTGGCTGAAACCTGGTCACTCCTACATCCCAGCGATTCTTCCTCGTGGGTGATCGCACTTTTGGCAGGAAAGAAAAAGCCGGAGCTGTCCCAGACTCTTTGAGTTTGGGTGTCATGATTGCATTCAGCCCTTGACAGCCGGTATTTACCTGGTTAATCTTTGCCGGCATGCAGATAAGGATCAGAAATCAAGATCTATGGGAGTTTTTTACGTAGATGCCTTTACCAATTGTACTATAAATTGCTTTTCGAGCCGAATTTAATGATTGCGGTCACATCTGTGGTAAGATGTGTCCTTCTTATGGAGTTATTCCGGCTGATTCTACATCCAAGTGTCATCATATTCAAGTCTTCCCGCTCCTCTTATGCCTGTGGTCACAGATTCATGGTATCTCACCAACTGCAGATTCTTGGAACGGATTCTATTAGGCCTAAGGACAATTTGTTATGCGAGCAAAATCCTTTCATTCTGAGAATTGACCCTTGAAATTGAACTACCGCTCTTATTCCTGGACGGCTAACTTACCCAAGATCCCGGTGTACCAACTTGCCACCTGCATCACCCTAGTGGTCAACTCTTCTCTCATCCTATAATGCTTTCTTAGCTAACAGCATTGAACTCCTTTTGCAAATTCTGGGTAAATTACAAAGTGACCTTGAGTTATCACAATTCCATCCAGTTATATCATAGATACTTCTTTGATTCATTAAGCGACCTAGTACTCTCTCTATCATCATGGCTAGTCACCTCTTCTGGCTACAGGATTGCCTGGTCTTCCGTTTGTACCACTTTTAATACATTTGACAATTTAGAATCCTGTTAAAAACTCGAGTTTCTTCTGGGTACTTAAACATGGTGATGATTGACAATGAGATGGCAAACAACATGATGAGAATTGCAATAGCAGGCTCAGGCGGATTGGCACAGATTATCGCTCATGAGATCAGCAAAACTGTACATCCATTCATTATCTTATCGAGACAGGTCAGTTGACTTCGGCACATCGATATCTCTGAACAAATCTAACCAGTATCTTTAGGGTCGACCAGATCTAGAAACACACGGCTATCAAGTGGCTGTAGTCAATTATGACGACCAAGATGATCTTCGCTTTAATCTTCGAGGAATAGATATAGTCATTTCCACGGTATCTGGGAACCCTCAAATCAACCTCATTGATGCCGCCGCGCATTCCCGCGTTCAACGTTTTATCCCTGCAGAATACAAAGATAAGCTAGGCGGGCGACCAACGAATGACCCCTCAGATCGTGGAAGGGCTGCAAGCATTGAGAGACTTCTACATTGGGCTCACCACCCCCGTCATCGAATGCAATATACTGTTTTTGGATGTGGGGTCTTCTATGAACGATTCGCTCCAGGAGGCCTAGCTTCAATGGACATCAGCACTTCAACTGCACTCGGCTATCAAGGTTCTTATCTCATGAATATGGAGACTAACACAGCAGAAATAGTGGAATATAATACTATGGGCCAGGCCATTTCAGTATCAATGACATCTGTAAATGATGTGGCACGGTTCCTCGCGGCAGCTCTGTATATAGATCAGCGGATATGGCCGACAGAGTTCAGAATGCAGGGAGACCGGAAAACTGTAACTGAAATTGTGCAGTATGCAGAAGCTATCAAAGGACGTAAGTGCTCTTCTGTTTATCTTTGATAGCACCTCTGAAGCAAATGCTAACAAGAAGAGCAGAGCAATTTGCAAGGACAATAATTGTAGCTCCAGAACTAGCGGCAAATATTCAGGAAGCAGCTTATTACCAAGACAGTGCTAGAGTTAGCCGCTTGCAGGAGCTGTCTGCTACTGAGGAGAGAAGATACGACTTCTCGCAAGTCAATCTGAATTCATTGGTCAACGTCCAGACAATTTCATTTTGGGACTGGCTGCGAACCCACTGGGCACCTCAGTGAACTTTACACTAGCTTGTGATGCAGGACGTATACACAGCATCAAGATCCCAAGGACTTCAGCCTCAGAAATGAGATTATATGGCCCGATATGTAGGTTAATTACTGCATGGGGACTTCACTCAATCTTGGAGTACTGGACCTAAACGGATATAACCCACGAAGACAGAGGGAGTGGATGCAGGATCACGAGGACCGAAGAAGCAGGCAATATCATCGCAAGCGAGGATTATCAACTGACTCACACTTATGTTATGGACTTATTTCCTTGATTCTTACCTACTCAAATTGTATTTAGACATGTTACTTATCTAGACAAATCTTCTCTTGTGAATGCGACGAATATGATCAGGCTTTTTGCCCTTGCACTTTGATATGCACTGTGTTGCACATAGACAAAGCTCTTGAACTAATTTTCTATCACCAGTATCTGGCTAATTGAAAAATCACCCCAAAATACAAGTACCACAATAATAATGAGATAGCTGAATAGAATTGATGGGATATTGATGTTGTATCAATGGAATGATCCCTTTTACGCCTTTCTCCAGAAAATATTGACCTTGAGAATTGTTCTTGAGTGTTTAAATCGAGGTGGATGGGGCTGTGAGCATTTACACAGGCCCACTGGTGGCCCTCTTTTGATGGATCATGACTGTTTGGCGGATAGATCATAAGAAACGGGAAAAAGAGATCATTAAATTTGTTTTCTTGTGGCAGCAAAAGGAGCAAAGTTCAACGACCGTACTATTCTAGTAGCAAAAATAGGTTTATGTACATACACAGACAGATGCATCAACTTACTGTGGTATTGTTCAAGAACATCAGCACCAGACTTCTATATATGTCGTGTCGTGAAAGATTTTGAGCGAGGCATCGGATTGGCTATGTGTCACATGATTTGTATAATTCCGACGCTAGCGAAACGTAAACATTGAAACCCCCATGATATTGCCAACCAAACCAACGCATTCAATCACTCAACCCAGCAACCCGCGATCCCCCACGAATTCCCCTCTCGAACAATCCTAACTCGAATACCAATATTCATCAATTAACGCGACGATACACGAGATAATCACGCGAAGTCTACCTCGATCTCCAGTTCTAAGGCGACAATCGCCCCGACAACAAGAAATTCAAGAAAGCAAATGCGCTACTAGGACATCAATGACTACCCTCGTACGAGCTCGGAACCCTCTAGAAACTCTGAAAATGAGCCAACAACCTGCGACGCGAAGAAGGAGTAAAAGATTGGCTGGTGGGTTGCGATATTTCTTACTTTTGGGGTTTGCGATTATGGGAGGGGAATGTTGGAAGCGGGATTTTTTTGGGAGTGCATTGGCCAGAAAGTTACTGACAGAAGTACAGGTTATGAGGAAGAAGATGGAGATTTTCAATTCACGCGTGTATCCAAGAAGGCCAAAACTACTGTATCTGTACCGGATCCAATACCAGAGGCACCGCCTGTAACGACGACGGTTCCTAGGAGAACTAAAAAGGTAGCCCGCGAGCGCGAAAGCCACAATGTTGCTCCGGCGTCATCACCGCCTGTCAAGAAAACGAGAGCAGCACCCAGAACAAACCTTTCAACGCCGAAAGAATCGAGGGTAGAGATGGTACAGAAACCCAAGAATGAAGTCGAACCGAAACGAGCAACCAGGAAAAGTACGCGTTTATCGACTGAGAAATTTCAAAATGGGGCCAGTGGTTCAATGAATGGAAGCAGGGATTATGACAACAGTATTGATATGATTGGCGGTGCACCTTTACCAGAGGAGTCGAACAGGTCAACTATAGAAGCTCCGAATAACACACACTCTACGGTCATTGCCTTGCCATTTAGCGATACACCAATTATAAATCGAAATAAGGAACTACGAAAGAAAGGCGGGACGGGCCAGAGGAGGAGTAGTTTGGGTATGCGTGGGAGGAGGGCAAGTTCACTCATTGACAGTGGATATAGCGCAATACCCCACAAAGAGGTCGAAACCTCGCAATTTTACAAACATATTGAGGACGGATTACCTGAGCCGAGAAGGATGAAACAGCTCTTAACTTGGACCGGCGAAAGAGCTTTGCCGGAAAAACCTGCGCATGGCGATCCGGATAGTGGTGCAAAATTGGCAGGTGAGTACTTTCATCACATACAAGGTCTAGAGACAGGACTAACGAATACAGCGAGAGCAATATCTGAAGCTCTTCTCAAAGACTTCGGGACTAATAACACATTTTCGAACTGGTTCGATCGAGAAGAAAAACAGCCGACCAGGATAACGAAAGTGGTCAAGAAACCCAATCCTAAGAACATCGAAGCAGAAGAAAACATACAGGCTTTAGAAGCACGAGTGAAACAGTATGGGTTATCTTTCCACTACCCAATATATGGGCTAACAATCACTAGACTAGAAATCGAAAAATCGCAATGGATATCCTACAAAAGGCCCACTGCTCCTCTTCCGCCCCTCTTCCCAGATACGCATGGCGAAACAAACCCACTCTCCCCCACTCGGATAGATCCTACTCTCCTCGACCCCGAACAATCTGCCATTCTCTCCCTAATAACGTCCTCGTCATCTCTCTCCCTACGCGAAAACGCCTCTGAAAGACTCAAAACTATTCATCAAGAAATCGAAGGGAAAGTAGATTGTTTCTTGGACGGCATACACAAAATCGAACGATATGCGGAAACAGTAGGAAGAGTCGCGGATAAGATATTGGCGTTGAGTGCGGTGAGGCTGGAGGAGAGAGAGAGGAGGGAGAGGGAGGTAGTGGGGACGAGGGATGTGCCAATGGTAGAGGTGCTGAGGAGTTTGAGTAGGATTCTTCCCGAGGGGAGTACGAGATAATCTTGCCCGTGTCTATCGATGCAAGTCTCGATCAATTTGCTGTGTAGTGGAAGATTCCATAATTACAGGGGACTCAGTTCCGCTTCACTAGAAATTTAAGGCTTGACAAAATATGTGGGTTCAATGGCCAATCCCGGAGAAGGCCTTTGCGATGGAGATTCTAAGAGGGATGGGAAATGAGTAGAGCGAAGATGGAATGTTCAATGAATGATGATAAAGCGACTTTTGGCAAATAATTTGTTTTCTTTTTCACCCGTTTTTGGCTATTTTGGTCATTGTGAAATGGAAGAGTAGATAGTGGGCTTACTTCCTTGTTGAGTTTTTTTGTACAAATGGATGGATTAGGGTGTGGAGAACGCAGTTTTCATGGAGTAAAGGGAATATTTTGGGGCATAGGGGTGTTTGTGGACAATGCCTGACATTGGCATTGGCATTTGCATGTTGCGATGGTGACAGTTGTAACGGTGGATTTGATAGATCAAATTAATCAACCATCAAGACATATGACGGTCTTGATAAAATTGACGCTGTATGGTCTCTTTGTTTCATAAATGTGGAATGTGCAGGGTATGTAGTTACTAAGGCCGATTTGAATCATTTGACATAAACCCCAAAAATAGATTTTGCCTAATAAAAAAAGAAATTTTAGAATCTATATGATGTGTTTATAGAAATCTTATAAAGAAAGATTGAATTCAATCTCATTGAAGACTTTTTATATAATAAATCATATTATTCAATAATCTTTAGGGTTAGCTTTATTTATTTGTTTTTAAAATTCATTTCAATATTTTCTATAAGAAGTATATTAATATTTAAAATCTATTTTCAAATAGTTTTTCTTATAATGTATAGACTATTTCATAATAAGCGAATTAAGCTTAATAAGAATTCCTTATTTTAAACTTAAGCTCGAGCTTATCTTGCTTAAACTATATAACCTCGATAACTAATAAAAGCTTATCTCGCTTAAACTATATGACTAATATAACTTCCAATTAATATATATAATATTAATATAAGTATTCAATTTAGTATGTAATCTTAAAGAAATTGATAAAATAAAAGAAAAAAAGAAAAACCTATTAATTAGAACTCAAGGAATCGATTGATATAATTCTTTTTGAATTACCTCAAAAATTGAAATTTCTATTCAATTTAATAGTATTTAAAGAATAAGAAATTGAATATTGAAATTTAATCTTTTTTGAAATTCATTAGAATATTTCTATATTGGATATAAATTTCAATTTTTTGAGATAATTCAAAAATAATTATATCAATCGATTCCTTGAATTCTAATTAATAGGATTTCCTCTTTTTCTTCTATTTTATCAATTCCTTTGAGGTTATATGCTGAATTGAATACTTTAGTATAAAAATACACTACTAAATTCTAAATACGATTTAAGCTCAGGCAAAAATCTATTTTTGGGGTTTATGTCAAATGATTCAAATCGGCCTCAGTATAGTGCGAAGCTAGATAGCGGCTCGCTTTTGGCCTTTACCTCTTCACCGTCTATAAATCGACAATCGATTTTTAGTTTCGCTGATAAGTGCCAGGAAACAAAATTGAAGAATTGTTTCTTTATTGCAATGAATGTAGTTTTGTCGGGTTCTAAACCCGGATCGTATATGCTGGAGAAATATGATGGTAGGAGTATTAATAAGGAGATGGTATCGGAGGCTGCAAAACTGTTTAGTCGAGAGTATGGTGTATGGGGTTCGTTAGCGAGCGAGAAAATGGGGGGTAAAAAAGAGAAAGGTAGGTGAATGTTTGGTGATGTGTTACTTAAGTGGTTGTGGTTATGTTTCTGCACGATTTGATTTAATGGATTTGAAGTATTGATTTCAGTTGGGAAATTCAACTGCTTTGAAATATTCAACTCACTCGTGCATTCAATTTGCTGGAAAGCTTGAACTTACTGAAGTTGTCAATTCCATCCAGACATTTGCTATATTCAAATATTAAACACGCAGTACTGACCAAAATTCAAACCCCCACAGGCTCACGAATCAAAATGTCAAGTCAAAGACTCATCACCCAAATTTTACCCCTCGAGGCACAAAACATATACGTTCGCCTCCTAATCGACGCTAAGTTAGTAGGCAACGTTTTTGCTACTCGCTGGCAGCACAAAAATCTTTCTATTCTGTGGATTACACAACTTTGCGTGGATAGCAAAGATAGAAATCAGGGGATGGCTAAAAGGATGCTTAGACATTTAGGAGGGGAAGAAAGAATGGTGGGGATTTTATCAAGCCATCCTTTTGCGTTGATGGCTGTTTTGAGGGTTTGGGGAAGAGGAGTAGAGGATATTAGGAGGTATTTGGAGACGATGAAAGGAAGTGTGAAGGAGGTGATGGAGGGGTGTCCGGTGGGGTATGTAAGGGAGGCGAGATTGAGAAGTTCGCTGTTTGGAGAGGGGGACGGAGGAGCAGTGGCGTGTGCCGATACGCAATTTTGGGTCGATCATTAGGAGCCCCTTGAGGCGTTGAGGAGAGTCGAGGAGAGAGGTATTGTTTGGCCTTTTGGAGAGTTGCCTGATGGTTGTGAATTTGTGGCGTTCGTGGATGCTAAGGTAGGGTAAATAGACTTTCTAAACACTTCTTGTGTGTTTTCAAGGTTCAATTCATATCAAAACAATCATTTTGCTAATACTGATTACTTTGTTACGAATTGTCTCTTCAATGCTAGTTGGCAATTTTAGCTCACCGGGTGCTGAAAGATTCGAGAGCATTTAGCAAAATCTCGTTGGAATACCCAATTCGAACACGGGATGGCAGCTCTACTCGGTAATGCAAAGATGAAGTACACACTTAACACTGTACCATAATGAAAATATCTGAACGCGGCTCGGCCACTAGCGTAGGGTATACACTTGTGTATTTGTGTCAGGAGTATATCAATTTGCCATTAGGAGCCGAAACTGGAATTGAAATTTGAACATGAAAAAAAAAGATAGGTAGGAAGAGTTTCGAAAGAAAATCGTAAACGTTGCGCAACATAGCTCACCAGGCAGGGAAAGCCCCCTTAAAATTGGATTTTGTTCCGTATCCGAAGAGGTCAAGAGGATTCATGAAATGGGGTATCAAGACTTCTATTCCTATTCAATTTCTTTTTCACAGGCCACACCGCTCTTTATGCGATGTGATATAACGCTATTATATGCATAGCGCGTTCCGCTCTATTGCATCGAATCACCCAACAACTAATATCTCCAGAATCATATTATTCCCATACACATGATGAACGCCTCTAACCACCCCAGAATTCCCACGCACGCATTTTCGATTCTTACGTGCCGTCCTTCGTCTCATTCAATCTCACAACATTTCATCCGACTCCCTCAACCACGCCCTCGCCAAATCCTTCGCCAACCCTAACCTCAATACCCTCAAGATATCCACATCTGTCATCCCCGCATTGATTCCTTTCCTCCAATCCCACCCCCTCTTGATACCCCCCTTGTTCATCAGAATTCCACTCGTCATAACCGATTTATGGAATTGCGACGCCATCATTGAACTTCCTACCATTGAGAAGCTCCCAGAGGTACCCGATGACGATTGACTTAATAAGTCCATGGGATTAGACCCCTTTAGACCTGAAGCGTTTTTAATGACTGTTTCGAGAAAAGCGTTGCAGATGGCATAAATACGTGGACCGATACCCTGGATATCTTCGATCGTGCGGAGGAGGATATCGATTTGAGAGGTGCTGAGGAGGGAGTCGGGCTGGTTAACGAAGGGCATGGCTTCGCCTAAGAGCGCAAGAATGTAGTGAACAGGGATGACGGCCCCACGATCTTCATCGTAGATACCACCACGAATGTTGTCGTCGGAACTGATTATCAATGCTAGTAGAGCATTGGCTGCTTCCGACCTTCGGGTGATTGCACCCATTGCTGGTTTAGAACCTGGTGATAACATGACTTCTTGGTCTCTCAGGGTATAAAACCTACGGAGCGTTGCGTATCCGCTTAATGAAGTATGAACAAGTTCTGCGGCTTCGAGGTCCATGCTAGACATTTCATTTAAAGCGTTCTTTGGAGATGAGATTAATCGCCGCAAATGGTCATCAAGATTGGCCTCTGGAGGATAGGCTGTTGAGTATACCAAACATAATTGAATTAGAGTATCAAGGACATCCTTAACCTTAGCGGAATTATGAGCTAAAGCATAATACCACAAGGCTTCGCCAGGTGAAATGTTGTCTCGGGCAAGTGAATCGGCATATGACTATAGATTATTAGCTAACGGTGTATATTGATAGCGAAAGGCCATGTAACACTTACCATTGCGATGGCTTCAGCTTGAGAACTCATATCAAGATCATTGAGTAATCGCCAAAGCTTATCGACAATCCCAGCACTATCTAGCTTAACTGTTCTCATGATTTCACCCACCATCTCTTCAGATCTCTTTTCCGAGTCAAGTCGGCCCAACACAGCAATCGCTAGTTCCCATCCTTCTTTTGTTATCTCGGCGTGTCCAATCATTGCAGTCAACTCCGGTAGCTCTTGTAACGACCTTGCATATGTAATGAGAGTAAGGTCTTTGACGCCATCCTGTACTGTTGGTGCGCCAAGATTGATAAGATCAAGGTCTTCTTGGTCAAGTTCGCCATTTGCAAGTAGACCTTGAGGTTCGGTACGAGGAAGCCACCCGGCCAACGATGCTACTTCAGCTAAAGCGGAAGATACAGGGCCAGACCAAGCACGCAAAATACAAATGAGGGATTCAGTATCACCTTGAAATAGGCAAGCTAATCCCACTTCAACCATATCATTGCTATTGACATGAAAGTCGGTATTGCTTGCAGCTACAACCTCAAACGCTCGTTGAAGTTTGCGAAGATCATTTTCTGACTCATAATTGATGGCAGAAGCGCGAAGACTATTGATTGATCGCCCAGGAGCTAAACGTCTGTCGTCTTTCTCCTCATCATGCCATACAAGCAAACCGATAGTTGCTTCACACCAATCCTGGGAATTCTCAATGATAGGGATAGACTCTCCCATAACCAAACTATAAAGTGTAAGCAGGTTCTGGTAGATATTCCATGGTACCCTACTTGCAGCCCTCTTTGCAAGCTTACTATAATCTCCACCTAGACTACTCCTCGTGGAAGACTTTCCAAATCGATTTGATTCATGGCGAGAACCACCTTCTGCGAATTGTTTTAGATCCTCCGTAGCCTGTGATATCCGAAGTCGAAACAGTTTCCAATCATTTCCATAGATATTCCAGTCTCCATTTATTGCCGGACATAGAGAGAGAACATTGGTCGCATCCTCTACTACCTTTTCAACATTAGTCAGGGCTACTCCAGTAAAGCCGTCCGCCCCGCCTTGAGCATTGATATCGTCTGCATCGGACCACGAGTACCTCCAACCAGCACTCTTGAGGCAGTTGATAACAGCTACAAGTCGCCCACGAACGACATTGTTAAGTATAGTAGTCCAGAATAAGTGATGAGAAGCAGGGCTCGGTCTGGTAGCCTGAACTTCCTCAAGTTGCTGTGGAAAAGGATCATGAAACTCCTCCAGCCAATCTAGCATAATTTTGGGAAGAGGCTTAACCACAGTTGTAAATCCCTTTTCCACCGGTTTTGAGTGATGGATTTGCATTGCAAGATGAGCCAGGTAATTAGCCTTTGCAAATTCTGAGGCTGCTGGACCTGGGCCAATGATCGAAGCGTACTCCTGCTCATTGTAGACTCCACTTCGTTCACTGTACTCCTGCCAAAGTGCCGTTAACTCGCTTGGTATGAGTGCCAAAGCACGTTTAAGTTTCTCTTCGTTGTCTGCCTTTCCCACACCCTGTTCGTAAAGTCTTGTAATTATTGCCTCCGTCTTCATTATTAGATCGTCTTCTTCATCTACGGCTGGTATTCCCTGGCTTTCAGACAGGGTTTTCGCAATTCCAGCGAAATCCGAAGCGGGCACCCTTTTACTTTGTGATTGCGCCAAAGATGCCTGAAAGTCTATCGAATCGTTCCCCATACTCTGTCGCATTTGTCCGCCAGATGTGCTTGCAAACCGAACCGAATTACTGTGCTGATTGAAGATGTTGCGGTTCATTGCCTTTGTTCCGCGATAGTCGTCCATGTCATCGTCCTCGTAGCTGGCATCTTCACTCTCCATATCTTGTTCGTCGTCATAAGAATCTGCGAAGCGATTGCGAGCCTTTGTATTAAATCCAGCATCTTCTTCATCCTCATAATCCTCTTCCTCCTCGCTTCCCGATGGCGATCGTAAATTCCTTTGCGACTTTTGAGATTTGTTGCCAAATACCGCTCTCTGTGGTTTTGATGCCGGTCGTGTGAAGAGAGGAGAGGAGAACTGTGGGCTCTGGAGCTCGAAATGACCGAAGTCTGATTGGGAGTGACCAAATTCCGATTGCTGAGAGTACTCTGAGTATCCAAAAGCCGACTTGTTTGGTGTTGGGCTTCGCATAGTGCTCTCCAAAAATGACGATGGCGCAGGTCCAGCGGGAGTATAAGAGCCGGCCGATGATGGAGGGGCTCCAGCAGGTGTAGTCGATGGATTGTTTGAAGTTCCAAAACTGAATCGACTATTGGTGCTTCTATTTGGTGTTGAGGGAGGGCTTGAGGAATACTCAAAGCCAGGCATCTTGCATTTAGCTGAACGTGTTCGACAATGGTAAAAGGTTGTACTTATTATGCAATTTTTTTTACTCAAAGCTGTATCCTTTAATTAACCAATTTGAGCTTTGTCGGCAATGTCAATGGAGTTTTTGTATACAATTAATACCTAGGTACTCATTTATAAAAGTTCATCTACAAACCCCTGTCCAACCATTTTCAAAGAGCTACAATATCGCGATAACTAGCGCAGAACCTTATTTCACGCGTCGACAATAAACAATTTCCAGAACGTCAATAATTGAGATATTTTGGAGTCTAATTGCAAAATATTGCGCTTCACAACTGTGTTGTTTCTTTTATGCTTCAGTAATGCCAAGGTAACCAATTTTTCCTTCCTCTATACATCACAGCTGCTAACATTGTTTTGTTAACAGAGAAATAATTACGGTTCAGGCCGGCCAGTGCGGCAACAGCAGTCAGTATACCCCTCGTCTGGCTATACGAAATGGAGGAAATTCTAATTGGGAGTCTGGGTAGTTGGTAGTCAGTTCTGGCAGCAGTTATGTCAGGAACATGGCATAAGTCAAGATGGTAATCTTGAGGAATTTGCGACGGAGGGAGGAGACAGAAAAGATGTATTTTTCTACCAGTCGGACGACACACGATATATCCCCCGAGCCATTTTGATCGACTTAGAGCCCCGTGTATGTGCTTCTTGAGCTTCTATGCTATGTGTTGGTATATTTAGGGTGTTAATTTGTGGCTATCCAGGTCCTCAATGGTATCCAAACCGGTCCGTACAAGAATATCTACAATCCCGAGAACTTTTTTGTTGGAAAGAATGGTTCAGGTGCCGCAAACAATTGGGGAGATGGATACCAAACGGGTGAATCTGTGCATGAGGAAATTATGGAAATGCTTGATCGAGAGGCCGACGGTAGTGACTCGCTTGAGGTAGGTAATCGACCAATTTACACGAACGATGAAGCTAATCTAAGCAGGGCTTTATGATGTTACACTCTATAGCAGGTGGTACTGGTTCAGGATTGGGATCTTTTCTGCTCGAAAGACTGAATGATCGCTTCCCTAAGAAGATTATACAAACATACTCCGTATTCCCAGACACTACCAATTCTGGCGACGTTGTTGTACATCCATACAACAGTTTACTATCCATGCGAAGATTAACACAGAATGCCGACTCAGTTGTTGTGCTTGATAATGGAGCACTGTCTAGGATCGCTGCGGATAGATTACATGTCCAGGAACCTTCGTTCCAACAAACTAATCAGCTGGTCGGTTTTCCCCCTCTTGGAGCCAGAGCTTGCTTTATTAATATGTACAGGTTTCTACCGTTATGTCAGCTAGTACCACTACACTCAGATACCCAGGATATATGCACAATGATCTCGTTAGCATAGTTGCCTCACTCATTCCAACTCCTCGTTGTCATTTCTTAATGACGGCCTATACCCCATTCACAGGAAACAATGTTGAACAGGCGAAGACGGTACGGAAAACTACAGTTTTAGATGTCATGCGAAGACTGTTGCAGCCAAAGAACCGCATGGTCTCTACAATTCCTGGCAAGAAGAGTTGCTACATATCCATATTGAACGTCATTCAAGGAGACGTTGATCCAACTGATGTTCACAAAAGTCTTCTTCGAATTCGGGAGCGACGGCTTGCGACATTCATTCCATGGGGTCCAGCAAGTATTCAAGTTGCGTTGACCAAGAAGAGTCCATATATACCCATGAATCACAGGGTCAGTGGTCTTATGCTGGCAAATCACACAAGTATAGCAACAGTAAGTGTCTTTAGAGCTATTTGGCCCCAAAATATTGACATCTTATAGCTGTTTAAACGTATCGTGAGACAATACGATGGAATGCGCAAGCGTAATGCCTTCATGGAGGGTTACAAGAAAACTGCACCCTTTGCTGACAATCTCAATGAATTTGATGAAGCCAGGGAAGTAGTAACAGATCTTATCGCAGAGTATGAAGCTGCAGAAGACGCAGATTATCTGAGCCCTGATGCTGGAAATGCTGCTCCAGCGGGAGAAACAAGTGATAGAAGGCTTCCTTAATTGTCTGCACATTTACAGCAGATGCGTATGTTAGCATTGTTGGAGTCGAGGATTAGGATTTAGGATGGGATGAAAGGTGTGCCTAGGAGCTGAGGGTACATCGAGTGTCCCATCTACTGGCGCCTAGATATTGAGGACATTGCAATTGGCGTTTTTTACAAGGATGATTAATGATACCAAATTATGAAGAAGTTTCTAGTATTTTTTTATAACCCTTTTTTACCATCGAGATTTCCATCTGAGATCGAATTCTACCGAATCAAATAATTCAAATTGACGTTGGTTTCGGTTTGTTCCCGGCGGTACCTAGTATCTTAGTCATGTCATAGGAGTTTTTGCCCCACCAAAGTTTGATGCTTGACATGATCGACATCATAATTACATCACATCTTTTAGAGCCCCTCAATTTCTCAATTATCTGATGTTCCGGAGCGAAATCTCCAAACTCAACAAGGAATAATTTAGCTATGCCTTGGTACAGTACCTGAGTAAGGTGGAGTATGATTTTGTCATAGAACATGACTTCGAGAGTTCCAACGCCTTTTTAATCCCCCGTTTTCCCCCTCGTTTTTCATTCCTTCTTCATACTACAAACAAACACCACACACAAGATACTAATCAGCAACGAATACACTCACAAGTAACTACTCTACCTCAGAACCAAACAGTGAGCTTTCCTTCAAAACCTTTCACTCGGTCTCATCTAACAACTCTAGAACACATACAACCTCACACACGTATATCAACATGCCAGAACAACAATCCAAAGCCGACCTCATCGCTGAGCGTCAAGCCAACCTCCCTCTCCCAGAGGATCCTCCTGTCGCCAGCGACTGGAACTCTGCCGATGCTACCAAAGTCAACGTTGGATCAGGAAGAGATGTAACTAGCCAAACCTCAACTGGCAATGCTCAACAATCTGGATTGGAGGGTGCTGCTACTGGAGGAAGCGGTGTTAGAGAAGCTGGTGGCGTTGACATGAGCAACATTGGACGCGAAGGTGTTGAGAAGAAGAACTAAGTGTTGGACCATTATGAGAATGGGTGTATTATATTTTTTAATCATTGGAATGATTGATGACGGTTATGAACGAAAATAGCATTGATGGACGGGATGGGTGGGATGAGATGCTGTATTACACGCATCGTGTATGAAATAGACATGAACTACTAGGTAGCTCTGGAAAGGCTCCGAAAATACAAAAACTTCACCAAACCTTTTAGGCGTACTAATTGGAAGTTGCATTGTGTCTAACTCGCATTTCTAGACGAATTGTCGATTCATCAAAATCCCTTATTGTTCCCCGACTACTCGAATTTTTTAATTTTCTGGATGATTCGGAAGCTGGTTGCCAGAATTACATATACATCTGGGAAGGACTCGAGAGTATTCATCTCCATGTGAATACCCCTCTTTCAAGGGCGTGTATTCCTGCCTTGATAATAAGTCTTCTGAGTTAGATAGAGATCAATTAACCATTATATTTCCTCCACTACAGCTGGTACTGAAACCTCAACCTCATCGCCTCTTCATCACTCGACAACAGCCACAACAGGTAGTAAGTATATGGGAACAGCCAACCGCGAAGCAGATAGACTGCTTGCTAATCTGATATCAGCTGATAAAACACTATGATTCTTACAATGCAATGGCCATTGTGAATAAGCTTCTTCAAAGCTCGGGGCCCTTAAAACCTGGGGAAGGATTCCGATGTTTGACATGCAATCAAATGCTCAATCGGATGAAATCATATTTAGTTAGACATTCAGCATCAATTTTTAAACATTCATAGATCCCTCTGCTTAAATCAACCCTTCCGTTTCACACTAGAGATTTTCGAAAGCATGTGGAAAGTATGTCACCAAGAAATACGAGGGGGCATCATTCTTACATGAAGCACGTGATGAATTACCCCTCAATTTCCAGACGCTTATCGCTGACGTCGTCCAAAATGTGCAGAAGTGCCACCACTATCTTTAGAATCTCCACAAGTCTAACATTCCTATGAGTTGATTGACGGGAACGTGCCCGGCGCCATACTTATGTAGTAAAAGTAATAATCAGTAGAAACAGGAAAAGATTTGATTAATGTGATTCTTTGAGTTTAAGAATGATGTCATGAGATCGCCAGCTGTATATCTTAGATTTGAACAAAGCACTTCCAGGAATGAATTAAACAATCAAACAACTTGTCTGTATCTTCGAATTGCGAAGAAATAATTGCTTGAATCTTCTAATATCAAGTTTTATAATCATCAATTCACATTCAAAATGTCTGGAGCTGGTACAAAGGTAAATGCTTGCTTACAACATTTCATGTTCGACTCCCTGTAGCTGCACCTCGGACTGCAAGTCAATCATGTAATTTCTATTCGATGAGGGTCGTGTTGGGGATTCTTCGCCTCACACGACTCGAGTTCTATGATAATTGCTAACACAACTTGTAACAGGTCAAAGATCCACACTCAATCATCAAAGAGGGTGCCGGAGCAATAGCATCAGATTCTCTTGCAGCCGAATCTACAAGAGCTGGCGGAGGCTTCGCTGGAAATCGCGACGGCGAACCATTAGGCGTTGCAGGCGCAAACTCCACATTTGCAAATACCAATACATCTGGAGCTACTCGTCTAGATCCTGCTTCCGATGCTGAAGCACGAATGGCGACTGAAGATTGGGCGGAAGAGAAGAAACTTGGAGCTACTGGTTCATACCAGAAAGATGCCGGTAACCCCAATGTAAAGAATAGCACAAGTAATGCGGGGGTCGCACCGAGTTATGTCTCCAATCAATACCAGTCTGGCGGCAACCCGAAAGGAAAGAATTTGACGGAAGGGGGATTTGAGAGTAATGATGCAAAGAATGCCAGTTTTACTTCAGAAATTGGATCAAAGAATGATCCGAGTCGACTTGCTGAGCAGAAGATGCAGAGAGAGAATGCTCAATCAGCGAATGATGCAGGCTTCCCCAGGGATAACAACGCAACGGGTGGAACTCCATATGATGTTTTAGGTGGTGATACCGCAGCTTGAGAGATTACATTTGATAAGTTCAGGAAACAGTCGAAGGAAATTGTTTGGAGACCGCTTTAATGACATGATTTGATTGAAAATAAATGAGTTTTGTATGTGATTCTACTTCTGATGCCTTTGATCGTTTTATTACAGACTTCATACATTTGCATACCCATCGAATGACCCATATGGTATCACGTGATTCGAAATGCCGAAGAGGAAGTTAGATCAAGCAGTTACTTCCTTTGATTTTCGAAGACTGACAAGACTTCATGGCAGGAGCACTTGTCTCGCTGACTTTAAGACTGAGTATTATTGCTCAGCAAGAGATTGATTGATTCACTGTGTCCATATGATTCAATCAATAGAATGAATGAAAACAACACTCAAAACTGATCTGCTCGGACTTGCCCTACAAGAAAATGTGCCTGAAATTTAAGGGTATGACTGAAAGGATTCGATCAATTCAAGTCAACCATTTCCTATCGGGATCAAGTACTTGTTCTTCCCTTTTTCCATCAAAGAAATTTCTCAAGTCCTCAAATTGTTGTGGTAGAAGAAATAATTTTTCGAGTTCTAGGTCAGAGTCCATTATTTTTGGAAGTGGCGCTAGTACCACCTCGCTTAGGAAAACCTCCCACCACAATTTCTCAAATATTTCCAACCAGCACTGTTACCGTTGCCATTTCGCCCATCCTTCAATTCTCCGTTCACCAGATCAATACTCCAACATGGCGGAACAACTTATCCTCAAGGGCACCCTCGAGGGCCACAGCGGCTGGGTCACCTCTCTCGCAACTTCTCTTGAGAACCCAAATATGCTCTTGTCTGGTTCCCGCGACAAGTCCCTCATCATCTGGAACTTGACCCGGGATGAGACTTCATACGGATACCCAAAGAGATCTCTCCACGGACACTCCCACATTGTTTCTGACTGTGTATGTTAAAACTCACTCAAAAATCGGTGGCTCTGTGAGACGAGCGCAATCTGCAAATTACAATTGAATGCTGAGACTTTGATTTATAGGTGATCTCTTCCGATGGTGCTTACGCTCTTTCCGCATCCTGGGACAAGACTCTCCGCCTTTGGGAGCTTGCCACTGGTACCACCACCCGCCGATTTGTTGGACACACCAACGACGTCCTCTCCGTTTCCTTCTCTGCCGATAACAGACAAATTGTCTCCGGATCCCGCGACCGTACAATTAAGTTGTGGAACACTCTCGGTGACTGCAAGTTCACCATCACTGAGAAGGGACACGCCGATTGGGTTTCATGCGTTAGATTCAGCCCTAACCCACAAAACCCAGTCATTGTCTCCTCTGGATGGGACAAGCTCGTCAAGGTAAGCTACAATCAGTCTTTATGGTACTTCAAATTGAAGTTGTGCGAAGTTTTCATGATGTTCTACAAAGTATTTGCTACTTCAGAGCTTGGGAGACCTTGCCATGAGACAATTAACACTATTTTTCTGAAAATTGTCTTCGCACAATTCATTTGGTACCACAGTCACTTACTCAGAAAATGCTAATATTCAATTCTTCAGGTCTGGGAGCTCAGCTCTTGCAGATTGCAAACCGACCACATCGGACACACCGGTTACATCAACACCGTCACCATCTCCCCAGACGGATCCCTCTGCGCTTCCGGTGGAAAGGACGGAACCACCATGTTGTGGGACTTGAACGAGTCTAAGCACCTCTACTCCTTGAACGCTGGTGATGAGATCCACGCCCTCGTTTTCTCCCCCAACAGATACTGGCTTTGCGCCGCCACCTCCAGCAGCATCATCATCTTCGATTTGGAGAAGAAGAGCAAGGTTGATGAGTTGAAGCCAGAGTTCCAAGCTGTTGGCAAGAAGAGCAGAGAGCCAGAGTGTGTCAGTTTGGCATGGAGCGCGGACGGACAAACTTTGTTCGCAGGTTACACAGATAACATCATTCGGGCTTGGGGTGTTATGTCGAGAGCGTAAGGGGGTGGTTAAACAGGCGTGTGTCAATTCATCTTGAGGTTTTACGGCTTTTCCGGGGTTTGTGGCTCCTTGTCGATTGGCAGGATGTACTTCAAAAACATGGCATAGCAAAAGGCTCATGGACATGAAAAATGCAAACAACGTAAAAAGTAATTTCCATGTGTTATGATTATCTTGCCGTGCGTGTGAAAATGCTATGTTGACCCAGGTATTAATGAGTGATTGTACATGATTCGGTGTGCACAAGCTGCGGGGAACAATAATCTATAGGTAAGCTAGTGCCACTTTAACATAGACTTTCACGGGCGCGTCCCCCAAATTTTAAACGCGTTGTGTTGAAAGCCACTTTGTGTGATGATCATGAACCAAACCTATTACTTAGAGTCAATTCCCACCAATTGCTCAGCATGGTTGCTTGCCCCATTTGCGAAAAGCAAGTGAAAGCTAAAGACATTAATAGTCACATTGATTCGGGATGTGAAGACTTCATTGACACATTCTCTCCTCCACTTACTCAGCAGAATGCATTTGTTTCACAGAAACCAGCCTCCACGCAGAAGCCTTCCGTCTCTAACTTCTTTTCGACACCTGCGACTAAGAAAACAGCATTGCATCCTACCCCAAAGATAGAACCCAATTCGACGCCCAATTTTCAACCGAAAGTGCAGAATGGAAATACAACTGGGAAGCAGCAAGAAGATGGGAGTGCGAGTGGATCCCTGACTGTGCAGCGGAAGAGATCATTTGACGATGCCGAGACAGAGATGCAGTGGGAAAACGAGACTGTTGATCCGCCGGCAAAGAAGACTAAGACCAATGCCTTTCAAAAGGTCGCTCCGCTAGCAGAACGAATGCGTCCGAGAAGTCTAGACGAAGTATGTGGACAAGAGTTAGTTGGGCCACATGGAGTTTTACGCAGTCTCATTGAACAAGATCGTGTCCCATCAATGATACTATGGGGTGGCGCTGGCACGGGTAAAACTACAATTGCACGGTGTGTGGCTGCGATGGTAGGAAGTCGGTTTGTCGAGATCAATAGTACGTCTACTGGGGTGGGGGAGGTGAAGAAGATATTCGCTGAGGCAAGAGGGGAACTGGGGCTTACTGGAAGAAAGACAATAATATTCTGCGATGAGATCCATCGATTTTCGAAGAGTCAGCAGGATGTATTTCTTGGGCCTGTGGAAAGTGGGCAGGTTACTTTAATAGGAGCTACGACCGAGAATCCGTCTTTCAAAGTCCAGAATGCTTTACTGTCTAGATGCCGGACATTCACATTATCGAAGTTGACGGACGATGACATACTGGAGATATTAGAGAGGGCTTTGAAGACCGAGGGGCCAAATTACACCCCTACAGATCTTGTGGATACAGAGCTCTTAAAGTATCTATCTGCCTTTTCTGACGGTGATGCTCGGACGGCCCTGAATCTCCTAGAGCTAGCCATGGGCTTGTCTACAAGACCTAACGTCACCAAGGAAGATATCAAAGCCTCCCTTACCAAGACGCTGGTGTATGATAGAGCTGGCGATCAACACTACGATACTATCTCTGCTTTTCACAAGTCAGTAAGAGGTGGCGACGCAGATGCTGCCCTATACTACCTTGCAAGAATGCTTCAATCCGGAGAAGACCCTCTTTACATAGCTAGGCGGATGGTAGTTATGGCATCAGAGGATATAGGACTGGCAGACAACACCATGCTAACGCTCGCAACAAGCACATACACCGCGTGCGAGAAAATTGGTATGCCTGAATGTCGAATCACAATGGCTCATGCTACTGTGGCTCTGTGTCTAGCCCCAAAAAGTACCAGAGCATATAGAGGATTAAACAACGCATATTCTGCCCTGAGGGAACCTGGGGTAGCTAGTTTAAGCATCCCTATTCATTTAAGAAATGCACCTACGAAATTGATGAAAGAGTTGGGGTATGGAGATCAGTACAAATACAATCCTAATTACAAGGAGGGTAGAGTAGTTCAAGAATACCTACCCGACGAGTTGAGAGGCAGGAAGTTTTTAGAGGACAGGGATTTGGGGACAGAAATTGATCCGGGTGCTTGGCCTTGAGGTCAAATAGATGATTGTATTGGATATACCTGGTGCATTGCGATGGTGTTCAGGTCTATGATTGGCGTTACAACAGGTCCATACTCTTTTATGAGAATTGTTCATTGAAAGTATGTTGTTTTGGTAAGGTGTATGTAAAGTTGCGCATGAACAGCAACGGTTTATGTAGATTTACATATATAAGGAAATACCTCTCGCTCCTGCAAGAGTCCGTCCTTCATTGAGCTACCGGCTCCCAAAATTTGATCCTTTTGATTGATTCAACCCCAGAACTCCTCGCTGATAATGCATTCCACCGCCCATACCTGAGATTCCAACCCCAAATTATTATTCGTATCTTTTTTGTTATAATCCATCTCCCTACGACTCTAATGACACCAAATCCTCATCCATAGGCGAAGGTGGAGGCTGCGGCTGTGGTTGCGTTCTTTTTCTTGCCGGTGCACCTTTTCTGAAATACTGCTTCTCTGCATTAACTACCATACTGCGATCATCTAGCGCCAGCCTTGTATTTGCACTCCCACTTCCACTACCAGAATTTGTAATTCCCAGTTCCAACATGGTACGTTCCCACAACGCATGCCGTTCCTTACTCTTTGGATCTCTACCAGCCATTCGTTTCATTTCCCTATCTTTGCCCACCTTTCCAACCTTCACCAGCCGTCTCAGAGCCTCCTCCCCCATCTTGGCATTCTCCGCAGCCTTCTCCCGGATTTTTCGCGGATCCGTTAAGCGTTCGCTCTCTTTGGGCGTCCATTTAAATGTATGTTTACTAGGAAAGGCGGGGAATCCTTTCGGTATATATGATTTCTGTGCCTTTTCCACCTCACCGTTGAGCTCCACTCCTAATATCTTTATGACATTTTTCGTCGTAGGATTTTCCTTTGGTATAGGTTCCAATTCTAATTCAAGCTTCGGTACGGAGATTGGAGGTCGCAGATGCGGTTCTAACGATGCGAGAGGTAATTGATACCGATTAAACGCGTACGATATATCGAGGGGTATGGGAATATTTCTTCTCGCATTATTCATCGAAGAAGTGACTTGAGCAAGTAAATGCGTCGTATCTTAAATCTCGTCAACAAAAGGCTTCTCAGCCCACAGGTGAGGATATACAAACAAGTATCGACTTCGGCACACATGGCCTCCAACGCTTCTTCCGTCGCCCGGTCAAACCCAACGTGTTCCAATGTCTGACAAATCGTTCGTCGCAATAGCATCCGTACGTCGCTGTCGAAAAGTGAAGACTCCATTTTATCGGGACGCGACAATTCGAGCTCGGGCGGAGGGGTTTGTGGGAGGACGGGCGACATGCGTTGCCTTTTTCGATAAGGCTCCTCCATGTCGTCGTCGCTGGATGTAGGTGTCGATCGTTTTCGTGACACTGGGACCATGATCGCAATGCTTTTCTGGATGGATGTTATTTTTTCGCGCCCACAGCAAGCTTTAAATAAATAAATCGCGGGTATGGGTGTGGAAAGAATGATTCATGACCGTAGTGTGAATTCAATCGAATGAACGTTTCCGCGTTATCGAAAGCGTAAATTACTGCTTGTGAATATCAAAGGTTCAGAAGTATCGATCACGTGGGGCAATCGAGTTGGCAGTTGCGGATTTAGCGTTGCTGCCTCAGGTATTAAGAGTGCGCTAAAATTGGACGCTCGGCGAGCGTGGGATGCATCATGCGATTTTGAATCTGAGCAAGCAAATAAGAGATACAGAACCTGATATTCTTCCCCTCGAAAGAAATATACAAAATGGCTATCAAACCAATTACTGGAGTACGTTTCTCTCTCTGTCTGGGGCGGGAAAAGTGAGGGCTCCGAATTGGAGTTGGAAAGTTGGAAGGACATAATCGAATTAATTGGGTGAATGGAATTGGAGAATGAGCTGACCTTTTGTACTGTAGATGCTCCGAAGAGGGCTCGTCCTTGACCTTAGCGTCGCTTTCGGTATGTGGTGAACGGATGTCTTGTGGAATGCAAAGGGAGTGGGAGGGTGAATGGAGGGAGAGAATCTGGAGATATCGCAGAGGTGAAGCAAAGCAGTCAACTAACACGACCCACCAGGTCTCGGAACCACATTCGGATATGCTTTCTGGTAAAATTCTCCGTTCAAACGGCGTCAAGGCACATGGTATTAACATAGTAACAGGTACGGATACCACGTCCCAGCCGTCCGCAAGCGCGATGCATTCTACGCCAAATTGGAGGATCAGAGAGCTGCCAATGCTGCTGCATAAGGAATGAGGATAGACAAAAGGACATAGATTGGACTAGGTGTCTCGGTATGGTGGATGGTTGAAACAGGCAGAGGTGGAGGGAAGGAATATTGCATGCTGGGAGGCTGGAATGGGTAGGCAAGCTGTACATTACCAATATCGATGATGCTTTGGCAATGCATGCATTTTTTTCTCTTCGGAACTGTGAGAAACTCTTTTGGGAGAGGTATGTGTTTATTTGGAGAAATCATGTGATGGGCAGATGAGACCTTGGATATCTTGCAACGAAAAGCAGAATCTGGGTGCAATGGTTGTCATAAGAAATGCATTGGATATTCTTGGCCTATTTGTTTGTATGGAGGCATCGAGATTAGGAACATGCGCATGAAATATACGCTGTATCGAAACTAAGGTGCTGGGTGGTGAAGCCGTACCATGCCCTTTTTATTGATTACTTCATTCAAGCAAAGCAAAGGTTCGATATTCTTGCAATCCCCATGATATGTCGAACAACATTTATTATTATTACACATACAGCACATAAAAAGCCCTCCGAACTCAAGGCTCTCTCCATGTTCAAATTGATGACACGCATTGCGCATGAGCATGGCATCCTATCACGTGTACCATACTCCGTCTGAACGACCATTGTATGTAGAGCACAAGCCGAAGCCAATTCACCGTCATCAACATTCCCAGTGCGTTTTTCATCTCCTCCTTCTACTCCAACTTCCACACAACCTCCCCACCCTTCTCCCCCAATCCTCTCCATCCCTTCCCCCTAACAACCTCTTCTCTCCTCTCCCTCTCCTCCAACATCTCCTCCACACTACCCCCCCATTCCAAACACCCCAACCTCTTCCCTCTCCACCCTCAACCACCCTCTCCACCCCATCACCACCTCCGGCCTCCCCATCCCCCTCAAACTCCCCATATCTACCCCCTCCCTCCCCTCAACCCCAAAAAGTATCGTCCCTCCAAACTCCCTCCCATAACTATCATGATCCCCATACAACATATACTCTTCCACCCCCTTCAACGTGCTTTCCAGGTTCTGAGCTGAAGGTCTAAAGATATGAAGATGTTTGAGATCCGACTTCTTTAATCTCTCCTCCTGTCCAGCTTCAAGTCTTTCATCACCATCTTCTTTTTCTTCTTCATCTTGAAATGCTAGAAACGAAGGAGAAAATCTCGAATGCACATCGATTAATACAACGCACTTTCCTACCTTTCCATCATCATTACTCAGAAGTGTGGTTAATATATGAATTAGCAGCGGCAACTGTCTCCCCGAAACAGACAGTCTCGGTTGATTTTGATAGGAATGAGACCACAGTTCATCTAGAGAACGTATATGAGTTCTCGACGGACGGGAATCCAATGTATTGGTAACAGTTGTTAGAAGCTCGTGTGATTTATCAGCTTCAATTTCCTGTGTGAATGCAGGTAGGTGCAAGGAAATACAAGGAGGGAGGGGAGATGCGTTATCGATAAGCAATGAGATCGAATATTCTTCCTACATACCGATTCCAAACTCTCTTCGCTCTCATCAACTTCGCGTAATAATCTCCCGCCATATATCTCTTCGCTAGATCTTATATCCATTTTATCCTCACTCTTCCTCTCAATCTTCAATCTTCAACCTTCAACCCTCAACCCTCAACCCTCAATCCTTCCCAAACAAAGAACAAATGACACCACCCCTCCTCCCCTTCCCACCCAGTGCCCTCCCCTTCGAATCAACCCTCACGTCCAAGTCCCAACACCGAAAAGGCTTCGACGGGAATCTCAAAAACTGTGAATTACTGGAATTATGGCAATACAATTGCGATTTGCAAAAGGATAGGGATGGGAAGGTGGGGGAAAATATTGTGTGTAGACCTGTGGAACGGCTTTTTCGTCGGTAGGTTTTTATTCTTTATTTTCCTGGGGAGAGATTGGAAAGTAGTGGATATTGCGTGTTTACCGGAGGATGAGTGATGGATGTTGATCGGTTTGTAGGTGTAAAGATCGAAAGGGAACTTTTATGGTGGAGACGACGGTCTGGGAGGGAGAAGGAAGTGCAAAGTGATAGTCGCGGATTTGGGGTTGGATGCTTATGGTTAGCGTGAACCCTTGCGTGGTGAGAAAATGATACTGCGAAATAAGATTGGTAGACGGAGAGGGCATTACACATAATGAAGTCGATGATAAAATTGATTGAGTTAAGGTTATATAAAGTATTCACATTTTTGCTTTAGATGCTGTGCGTATTTTCAATTCTCTACAGACCGTGAGACATTTGTTTGTCCCCAAATGCTTCCAAACGCCACCATTTCATGACCCATCTTTGATAGCAACTCCTTAAGCATTTCATCATCACGCTCGATACCCAATGTAGAAATCACAACCTCGAAATTGCATCCGATAGCTCTTCGATCTCCTTGCTCTTCCTCTTGCCCTTCTCTTCATCTTCCGCTGCCAAGGAGGAGTGGTCCTCACTGCCCTCTTCTTGCAAAGACTCATTATCCAAGGTATTAAGTTTCTGCCGCACCGCACAAATCTTAGCTTGATCCTGCAGCGCCTCTAGATTCTCGTTTGGGAGAACCTTCCAAAAACTCTCCGTCTGAACCATCATCTTCCAATAAACTGCTAAATTTTCATGTGCCATACGATCACCCCACACCTTACTGACCAACTCAAATACCGGCATTATTGCAAAATCTGCAAGACCAATTTCATCGCCTGCTATGTATTTTGATTCTTTGGCGTAGATATCCCATTTAGCGAGTTCAGCACGGAAAGGCTTCACGCTAAAGGGAACTGTTCTCCAGATCTTGAGTAGAGTGTTGGCTTCTTCGAAACGGGTGTAATGACGGGCGAAATGACCCGGAGATTTACAGTTCTGGGGAGGTTTATAGATAGCTTCAATATAAAACATGATTGGCATGCATCCTTCGACAGTAGTTCTGTCATGGTCGTTATCAATAAACTTGATCACCGGTGTTTCTGGTACAAGCGAATCGTCAACTTCAAGACCTTCTCGTTTCCAGTGGAAAGGTGGCGAAATGGTTGCTTCTATCCAAGGGATTCCGTAGTGATTGAGCATAAACTTCACCCGGTGGTCGGCGACGGGATCTCCCGACAAAAAAAGCTTTTTATGATTCGACATGTGCAGTACGTCGAACCCTTTGCCGTAGATCTCCTGCCAGTCGAAATCGCTGTCATGATTTTCTTTCCCGAAAGCTTGTAGCATTTCTTGGGTTTGCGGTGTATCTCCATTGATGACCTGCACGGCGTCTTCTTTCCTCTTGGCAGTTGCACCTTGACCCCAAATCTTTTGTTGACTTTTATCCAGGTATGTACCAATATGTCTGAATGTTAATGATATACGTCCGCAATCGTAAGCCAATTCAGCCTTGGATTTCTCACTTGCCATTCTCTTATCTGGTCGAATACCATGTAACCACTTCTTATTGGTTTCCAAGCCCATCTTGCACAATGAATTATGTGGAAGAGCTGCCCTGCAAGATTCTCGAGGGGCGCTCTGAGATTCTGCACATACGGCGTTCTTCACGGGTTTCTTTGTACGAAATACCATCGTCCGTTGAGCTCCCAGGCTCACATTAGCAATGAAAGTATTAGGAATGATATCCAATGTTTTGTCACTATGCTCGGAAATATTATCATTCCCATCTCGATAGAATTGGATCAGTACATGGTTTAGAGAATGACCAAGTCTTTTCTCAACTATCTTCTTGACAGTTTCAACTGTGGGTGAAAATGATAGGAGAGCAGGCGATTCATCTGCCGGGTGACGATATATCGGAGTACTGTCATCTTCTTCAATTTGACCCTGAACCGCTACAAGCCTCGGTACCTCACCACCTTGATGGCCCATCTTCTGCCAAAGGACCTCGTCCCGAACTTTCTCGAAAATCCCGCTTGCCAACGTATCGGGCAGAAGGTTTTGGATGACGGTTGTATCACCTTCACAAATGGCAGCCCTATCGGTCAATGCATCGTCTTCGTCTTTTGGCATCTCCTCAAGAGATTTCTTCGTTGATGAAGGTTTTAGTTGGAGTTCCTCCTTCTCGATTGCCGGGAGCTTTGGGCTAGGCAGAGTCACTTCAGCTAGGTTTGGGGAATTTGACGAGTCAGGTGACGGAATTTTTGAAGATGCTAGACTGCGTTGCTTTGATGGGATAGAGGGGTCTTCTACTTCCACAGGCTTTGCAGTGTGTCTACGTGATTTCACTTTCGACTTAACCTTTTCTCTCTTTTTAGCTTCTGCTTCCAGTTCTGCTGGTGGTTTCGCTCGTCGAATTTGTGATCGCAGGAGTTGACTTGTGGTTTCGAAATCGTCTTCGGTGGCTACCGTCGATGGGGCTTTGACGGTGGTGACTTGCGGGTCTTCTGCTTCTAGCTTTAAGTTCCCCATTAGATTTTCAATCCCAGTATTTCGAGATTCTTTTGGCTGTGGCTCTCTAGGTTTAGGACGAGATTTCTTACTGGAAGTCGTTCTCCTTTCAGCGACCTTCTTTTGCTTCTGCAAGCTATCAATGAGGTCCCCGCTGCTTATGACATCGCATCCCGTGTAGGCTCGGAGCTGACGTAAAGCTTCCTCATGTCTAGCTTTACTCCTGTACCCCAGACAATCCTCAATGATGGTTATGGCATAACCGTGGCGGGCAGCGTCCATTGCCGTGGCAAATACACTGACATTCGTAAGAGCCCCAGCAATGTAAATCTCTGTCACAAACTTGCCCCTTAGTTTTTGGACTAGGCTGCCATCCTTGAATGCGGAATAGTATGTTTTGTTGAATACCAAGTCTTTCGTAGAGATGGGCGCAAACGCATCTGAAATGGCTGAACCTCTCGAATTGGGTTTTAGCATGCGTGATTTGCCTTCGCATTGGACTGTCAAAAAAGCTTCTGCTGCATCCCCCTCACTGCTAGCTACCGAAGGCTTGCTTTCTTCATTGGACACGGGCTCACTTTCGGGTGTCACTTTGTCGCGTCGACGTCGTAGAAGCTCGTTATTCGTTATGATGGCCTCGCTATCATTGTGCGGTTGATTGACTATCCTCGAAACCCCCTCCGTGGAAATGCTGCATATCCATATTATGTCCCCAGAAGGACGGAACGGCTCGATGAGATTCTTTATATTGTCGACATAGCTCGGGGGGGTTTCGACCGGCAGCAGGCTCTCTTCTCCTATAAAATCGTTCTGCAGATCTAGGAGTAGTAGGGCCTGGCGCGTTCGTATGAACGGTATGGTTTGTTCGTCAATTTCAAACATTTGGGGCAACCTATGATGGATATCAACCAAAGTGTTTTCAGACGAATCGACTTTGCTGGATATAGAAGATTTAAAGATGGGCACTCTGTGCTACGGGCTGCACGACTCTATATGTGGTGTTTACTAGCTAAGAAATATCCATTGCTTACATTGGTCATTATTCAGAAAGACCACCAAGAGGTAGGAGCAACGTCGATGCGTATGTAGCACCGCATGATGCTGTAAGATTCCGTAGGCAACCGGCACTGCAAATAATATGCACGGATCTGGTTTCAATCGGATAACAGACAATGTGACATTGGGTAGTACATAGGCGAATGCGAGAGACGGAATCCTCTTGATTAGTCGATACGATGGAAAATGTTATTGTTGTATGTGGATGGTTTGGATCTTGACATTTAGAGTTAGAGTGGCTCGAGTGGAAATGGAATGTTTCTGGTCTGATGGAAGAAAAAAGAGGATAAGGAACACGGCCCCCGGCAATGATGACAAGCTAATCCTGTTCCGATCATTTTACCAACATTTTTGGTGAGTGATGAGGATATATATGTAATATTATATACTCGTACTGGGTAGGTGATTGAGACATGATATATCTACTAGGTATCCATCGCACCGACATGGGTGACACATGGTTAGAGTGAAAAGTAGGGAAGAAGGAGTGAGGAAAGAAGTCAATTGATTGGGGTCTTGTCTTATTTTTCCTTCTTGATGGATCGATATTGTCTTGGCGTACGAGCGTCCACAATTAGATGGAATGGATTGACCGTTGAGAAAAGAGTTAACCGTTGATCTTCCCTCCCGGCCCCCTTCTCCCCTCCCCTCCTCCCTTCCCTTCCCTTCCCTTTCCTTCCCTTGAATCCCTTCCCTCCCCTTCTCTTTGACAGTGGGCTAGGAGAATAAGCTAAGAGCCCTATCTACTAGGTCCTATCTACTAGGTCCTATCTACTAGGTCCTATCTAGTCCTATCTGTAGACAGTTAGACACTAGTAAAATGACCTCAAACGCTCAAGTTTCAACCCTCGCAACTTAGCGAGCATAGCCCTTTTCAACAACGGCCTTTTTCTTTGGCTTCTTATTTTTCCTGCAGATCAACGCATATGGAATGGAATCCCATGTTGCATATCAGTATTATCATGCCACTCGCATCTCTCACCTCTAGCCATTGACCAACGGCACGAAGAACGCACACACCGAAACATGTACTACAGCATATAAGCAAGTTACATAACCCGAAACGGTACTCGGTCCACGAATCAAATCGTCTTGTGAATTAATAATCTACACCCTCACTCCGTAAATCCATTCACCGTCATACAGACTTCCATCAAACCGTGGGATTTCACACATTCCTTTGCACGAACGAGCACTGCAGTCTGTCGTACGTTCGTAAGGAATAATCTCGGGGTCCAAGTAGCGGAGATCGCAAGTGAAAATAACGGGGTCTGATTTGATACAACAGGGGGGAATTTGTCCGATGGAATAAAGCGAAGCGCCAAGAGAAACCTTTCGATGATACCGTTCAACCATCCATGTATGATGTATCTGATAGGGGGGCGGGGAGAGGAGACATCAGAGAATAGGTATTGATTGGTTTCGTATTGTGAAGTTTGTGTTTTCTTGCATTGCACCGGAATCCATTTCCTTTGCATTACAATACGCACTTCTCTCGCGCACGTAGCTTGTAGGTACCTACCGAGCTACCTAGGTATAATAGTCACTTTACACGAAAAATCGTCTTCCAAAGCAAGGTGTTTTGTATGTGTGACGGATGTCTAATGGAAAAAGAAACACCCGGTCAACCAACTCTACGTTGTACTCTGTATTTCTCTTCTCCCTCGCCGTTCTCGTTCTTCTGGTCCCACAACTCGATGATACCTACTCCCTAGATAGCTAGGTAGCTAGAGCTTGAGCGTTGATAAACCGTTGAGAGATCAAGAAAATCCCCTTTGACACAGCCATCGGAAGTTTTTAATTAATCATCCAAGACTCATTTGAATGATTTGATAGATGTTAGTTAAAAACCCCCCACAAATTCAAATAAAAAAATAAAAAAATAAAAAAACCTTGCACTTACTGTACCGTCTTACACTGAAGCATCATATGATCAATCATCAAGATTTCATCGAAACAATTTCATTATGATCTTCGCGCTACTGCAGTGCTGTTGTCGATCTACCTGCAGCTTGAGTTACGGGGCTCGAGCGGGGGGGAAAGTGTGGTGTGGATGATACTGTAATACTGGATATAATGGATGTGCATGGTCAATGGTCATTGATATGATTAACTTTTGAACATGCACCATATTGGCTCCTTTGCATGAAGCTTCGACAGGCACAAATGCTTATTATTGCCAACTGTCAAACCTACTCAGCCGTCCACTTGCATATATCTCGTCGGCTATCTTCTGACAATCGATTGATATGGAAATATTTACCTTGTTTAACCATTACTCCATAGACTTGACAAGCGTGAAGGACCAGGATGGTTGGTTGAGTGTGTTACGGGGAAATAAACTATCGCCAACATTCAGAGTTTACAAAGTACCTAGTACCTACCTAGTATTCATCCCAAAAGCCTCACATTCACATGGACAATATTCCTCGCAACTCTTACCTGCAGAGTCGTATTCGGGGACCAACCGGCTCAAAGGGGACCTTGAATAGCCAGATGTGAGGTTGCAGTGGAAGGAAGTTATTATGCTTTAAGTTTGGCACATCACTTGATATCGACATGAATTACATATCAATTATCAATTCTCTTGGCTGAATTTCTCGACTTGAGTTGTCAAACTTCTTCCTCGATACTCGTAAAGAGGGGGACGAGCTTGAAAAGCTACCCCGCGAAAAGACGGAAAGTATGATCACGTGCTATCGAGCTTCGAGATACCGAGGCTCGGTGATGTTGAGGTCAAGTTGGCCGACCATCCATCTCAAGCACTTATCTTTAAAATTCCATACCTAGAAACTTACATCTATCTATACCAATCTTCTCTAGAAGTATATCCTACAAGTTAGTGACTTGATTAGCAATCCAATCAGCAATTCAAAACGCAAGCAAGCCGCAGAAGCCTGTCCATTGCCCTCCCCAAACAAACAAAATGGCCTCTTCCAACCCTACCTACAAATACTTTCTCGTCACATACCCAGCACCATACATAGCACATGTGCAAATCAACCGTCCCGAGAAACTCAATGCGTTTTTCGAAGCAATGGTAAGGCGCCCCTTTTCCACAGCCCGCACTACTACCTTAATCATTCGCTAACCCCTAAATCTAGTGGCTTGAATTCCGCACCATTTTCGACACCCTCTCCTATTCTCCCGATGTCCGCTCCATCATATTATCTGGCGCCGGTGAACGCGCATTCTCAGCTGGTTTGGATGTAGAAGCCGCCGCACAAGATGGCGTTTTAGCCGGAAAAGAAGGAAGATCTACAGATGTAGCGCGAACAGCGCAAGCTTTCAAACGACACGTCGAAGAATTCCAAGCTTGTATAAGCAGTGTTGAGAAATGCGAGAAACGTATGTTTCCCCTCCCCCATTGTCTCCTTTCTTGAGATGAAAGTGGAATCAATCTAATCGCATCAAATAGCCGTGATCTGTGTTCTGCACGGCTACTCCCTCGGTCTCTCAATCGATATATCCACCTGCGCCGATATCCGCATCTGCACCTCGGACGTCAAGATGGCCGTGAAGGAAGTGGACATCGGACTCGCCGCCGATATTGGAACTCTCTCCCGCCTTCCCAAGGTCGTCGGTTCTTTCAGCTGGGTCAAAGACGTATGTCTCTCTGCCCGCGTCTTCGGAGCTGAAGAGGCGCTGCGAGTAGGTTTTGTGACGTACGTTGAGCCTTCGAAGCAAAATGCTATCGACAAAGCGCTCAGTATTGCGAAATTGTTGGCGGAAAAAAGTCCAGTGGCAGTGCAGGGTACGAAGGAACTTTTGAATCACGCGAGGGACAATCGATTGGCGGATAGTCTGAGGTACACGGGGGTTTGGAACAGTGCGGCGATCCAAACGAAGGATGTTAAGGATGCGATGTTGAGTGGATTACAGAAGAGAAAACCTACTTTTGAGAAACTCTGAGAGGGGTTGGAGGACAACGGATCACAATAATTTGAAAATATCAAATTTAGGAACAAGGCGGTTGAAATCTTCCACTTCCGAACTTCCCGTGCGGCGTTGCTACACCAAAAAGATGGACATATAATTCAGCATGCAGCACTCAGACCTGCAAGATAGGACACAGGAAATAAAACTCCAATATATGAGCTCTCAGATGATAGTTCCAAGAAGCAAGCAAGAAAGAAAGAGATATACTCAAAAGCACACTATCTATATAAACTTATCCAATGTCACATTCACATACCACAAAGCTACAATGCTATATAATCTTCCCAAAATCAAATGCATAGATAGCATCACAGTATTGAGACCATTCAATCCATCCATCGCATCCTCTCCTTTCTCCGTTCTCCGGCGGTCAATCACTCTACCCATTTTACCACCGTTTCTTCTCCTATTCCTCTCACACACACAAACTCTCTCTCTCTCTCTCTCTCTTCTCCCCCTCCCCCAAACCCTCACAAGACAAGTTTAAACAAACCTCCTCACCCACTCTCCATATCTTATCACATTCACATTCACATTCACATTCACAATCACATCCCCTTCCCCCATCCCCCATCCTCCATTCACCAGCACCCAAACAATCCAACAAAATCAATCTCATTCATCCATCTCGCTAGTCTCACTAATTTCACTACCTAATCTCTCCCAAACTGGTTCCTTTCCTTATGAGCTCTGATATTAGCTCCAAAATTAACTCTTTCAGCCACTGCAGGTGGTGTTTCAAAGACCTTGGGAACTCTCAGTTTTTCTTTCTCTCTCTCTAATTTCTCAAGAATGATTCCCTTGTACAACTATGACACTCCTTCTTTTGACATGGTTTTACCTACCTGTCTGTTCTTGTTTATCCAGGATATCTTTAGAGATGCCATTATTATCAAACTTCTTTGTTGCTTGCCTGTCTCTTGGTTCATCATTATATTTCCCAAGTTGCTTGTGTCAAGACTCCGGTAATATCGCTCCGTTTTCTATATCCAAGAAAGCCAAGAGCAGATATATATCCTTTTCAAAAAAAGCCCCACAACAAAGTCACCAAGTTTCGAAACTCAACACCCTTATGATATAAATCAGCTTTTGATTTTATCTCAAATATCTAGGTACTAAGTAGCTATCTTGTTTGAAATCCCAAATCGCAGCGACATATTTTTAATTACGTCCTGTCCTATTATAACAACCATGTGCTTTCATCGCTTTTTTGATGGTATCCTTGCCTAATCGAGCACAAGTATCCATGAATGATCGCAACTAATGAAGAAAAAAAGAGAATCTGAGCCAATACTACGGTAGCACCAGCCTATTTACCTGCGTTCAACAACAGAGTGTTCTTGAACTTCTTCGTTGGAAATCCGAAGCTCATCCCACCACGCCAAAGAGTAAGTGAGACAAGCAAGCAGCTTTTCTTGAGAGAAGTTGAACAAACTTGTCATCTACCAGCCGGCGTCGCCTGCAACCTCTTGACCACCGCCAGTAGCCCAGTTGTCATCATCACCACCAGCCGCAGGAGCAGAATAGTCATCGTTAGCTGCATCGCCACCTTCATAGTCACCGCCATCAGCTGTGGCATCACCACCACCGTAGCCGTTGGCATCGTCAGCGTCCTCCTCAGCAATTGGCTCCTTGCAGCGAACCTTGGTGTGGCCCACTAATTTATGTTAGTACATCGCAAAAAACAAAGACCAGAGGGATGCGAAGATTTACTTACTCTGCTTGCAGTTCTGGCATTGAACGCGAGAATAGTCACGAGGCTTTGGGCATTCCTTACCGGTATGTCCCTGTTCATGTCAGTAGGCTTTTCCAAATTAGATAAAAGGTGATTAAAGGTGATTAACGAACCTCTGCGTCACAGTTGCGACAGATCATGACACGCTCATTTGTACAATCCTTGGCTATAAGCAACAAAATCAGCGAATTGGATAACTATTGATAGATTGCTACGTGACTTACCTCTATGACCAGGTTGGTTGCAATTTCTGCAGAGACCGCCATCGCCTCCACCGCCGGTTGGGCAGTCACGAGAGAAATGACCAACTGTGTTTTTTTTTAGTAAGATCAGAATATAAAGAGGTTGAAGTACTTACTCTCATTACAATTCTTGCATTCAACACCCTCGGCGGAGCGTGGCTCTGGGCCTAAGTTCGATGTCAGCCTGCGTTATGAAACCCTAGAATATTGCCGAACTTACACTCCTTGGAACTATGACCAGACTTCTTGCAGTTGCGACAAGCGAACTTATCCTCACGAGGAATTGGGCAATCACGAACACGATGGCCACTACTCCAAAGTTAGTATGCTTAAAGGAATGCCAGTGTAAGAAAACTTGCATTTCATTGCAGTTGAAACACTGAACTTGAACACGTTCACCTTCAACTCGCTCTTCGGTGCAATGCTTTACGGTATGACCAAGCTCATTGCAGCGGGAACAGAGAGGAATGCCACGATCAACAGGCTCTCCAGCATTGGCAAGTCGCTCCAAATTTTCCTCCGGGGTAGCTGGCCAGCTCTCCTTCTCCTTTGGACGACTGTGTTTACTCGACTTGCGCCAAGAAACAGAAAACTTGCGATCAAGGTTGCCCTGCAAGTCCATGTTGGTGTAGGTCTGGTTGAGTTCCTTCTCCATGGCAATGAGATAGATGGGGATGTTTTGAGTACGGAATGCATTCTCCAATTGAACATAGGTAGCATCTGGAGAAGCCTTGATGTATTTCATGACCTCATCCTTCATGTCATCGAAGTCACCTTCTTGAGATTGCTTGATAAGATTTTCCCAAGCAACTTCAGCTGCGACATCTTCGACGTCGTTGCGCTCGATCTTGCGAGGATTCTTGCACTCAATGATTGAATGACCTGCAATAAAATTCAGCCTCGGTGAAAGCATCTAAGAGGTATTAAATTTGAACCTACCTTCCTCCTTACAATTATTGCAAAGCTTGGGTGGAGCAGAAGGGCATTCAGATGCGCGATGACCCGATTGCTCACAGATGCGACAAGTGCCGGTGAACTCACGAGCAACTGCGGGATTAGTGCATTCTGCCTTTGTGTGTCCTTCCTCGCCACAGTTGTAGCATGGACGTGCTTTCGCAGGTTGTGTGCATTCGGCCTTGGAGTGACTGACGGAAAGTGAGTTAGCGGAGTAATGAAAAACTGAAACATTGGAAACAATACCCTTCTTCACCACAGTTGAAGCAGCCTCCACTGCGACCACCACCACCGCCTCCATTTTCCTCACCACCACCATATCCGCCATATTCGTTACCAGCGTCATCATTGAATTCATCTGCTGCATGATGTTCGGAAGAACCAGTTGCAGGAGCGTCATCCCACTCTCCACCTCCTCCGCCATTGACTACTGCAGTGTCTCCCGTGTCCCAATCATTGCCACCGGCAGGAGTTTCCCAAGACATTTTGAAGGACTTGAGTGTTGCAAAGATTTGATTTTGATCTGTGCCAAAAAAAAATTAGTCGTCTGTTGAGAAAGTTGGTAAAAGGTGAAAAAATGCGCAAGATGTACCAATTTAAGTATTGCTCCAGCTCAAAAGCCTTTTTAAAGTTGGTGTCAAGAATTAAATCGAGAGACAAGTAATAAATCAAAGAGCTTAAGAAGTCAAGCTGATAAGCAAGACCACACAAGTGCACGCGAAAGGAGTGTTAATAAGAAGAGAGAGGAGGGAGACGGAAAACTTTGTAGTTGTGAAGGAAAGAAAGATTGAGAGGATGAAGGAAAACACTTAAAAGGTGGGGTCCAACTCAAGTGAATTGGCTCCCAATCAAGAAAGTGCGACTTTGATTTTTCCCCTCTTCCCAATCAATCGATCTTAGGCATCTTCAAGTGAGTACGCACTTAAGAGATCGTCGATTGCGTTGATTGAAAATATAAGAGGGGAATTTCAACAAGTCAAAAGTGGCTTTGAAGTGTGCTTTTGAGTGAATTTGAAAGGAGAAAGGAAGGAAGGAGATGGAGATGGAGATGATGTTGGCGATTGTGGAGTTTTGAGAAAAGGAAAAACTGAGATCGAGAAAAAGATGCTCGCAATGAGAGCAACACATGCTTGAAAGTATATTGGATGTAATAAAAGAAAGGATACATGAAGTTCTTGTATATGTTGTGGGAACGCGACGTGAAAGTTTTCTGTTTAAAGAAGGAAATATTGGAGAGATGATGACTTACTTACAGATTTTGGTATGAATTAACAGATACGAAGATCGTGAAGGACTCTGCGATCTCAATATCAGTTAAGGAAGGAAGTATCTTGATGAATTCCTTTTGTTTGGATGAGAAAAAGAGAAATTTGAAGAAGTTGTTGTTGTGGGAAAGAAGGAAGAAGAAAGTGCAAAGAAGAGAAGCAGATGCTTTACTTAAAAAAGCGGCGGGCATCTAGCGAATGGGATCTCAATCTCTTCCAATCAGAGGTTCAGATGAATATCAGAAATGAAGCTAGTCATGATCTTTCAATTCTTATTTGAAATTACAACAATCAAGAAGTTGATCCCCGCAAGAATATTGACGGGGTATACCCCGAGTCAAAGTTGTGATGAGATTCTACCATACATCATGAGAATGAGACTCAAGAATGACACTTGAAAGTCTTTGTGGCCCCCTTCATTATTGGAAGTCCCCTTACTTTTTCGGTTCGAGAGCCAATGAGCATCTTCGTCAAATGTATGATATATTTTAGACATACCACTTGACCAGCACTGTGTTTGAACACTTATCATTGGATTTTACCTAGATTGTATTGAATGTTTGGACCTCTGCAAAGATACATAGAAGACTTCCTTTTACCTTTCTGTTCTTCCACCCTTCTTCCACCGGTGTAATTAGTCAGATGAAATTGTGTCAACAGACAAGTTTCATTGCTTGAGTCCTTAAAAAGATTGTTTGACAAGACACCTATAAAGTTGTTCTGACCGCAATCTGCATCGTTACAGAACTACAATTGTATTGTACCTTTTAAGACTGCATATCAAGAAGTCTCAACCTTTGATGCCTCCACTTCTCATTATCCTGTCACTTCGCAGGCTTACCTTATCATTCAAGTAGAACAAAGCCTGTCAACAGGATGTCATAGGAATGAGCTATAAGGGATACCGCTGGGATGAGATGAAAGAATCTTCACACTCTAGAACACAGCAAGTATCTTTAAGTTTAGAATGTCAAACAAACGATGCAGTACTTATTACGCGGAAAAGTTTACGTTACAAAATCTGATCCTAGGAACTACCAATTGAATCTAAAGGCTTACCTCTGTACTATTGCTCGAGGTAATTATAAGATTTTAAACGACTCTTCATGATGAATTGACGCCTCATCTGCTTCCTCGCCATTCAAGAAAGAGATTCTAACACTGTCATAGCAGTAGTACGGAAATCACACTAGACTTCAACACTATTTCCTACATCTCTTTGCATACAAATAAGTTCCCTACTGATTCTTCTGAATAGAATGCGCGATGATCGATTTTGCCTGTCTAAAGCTTTCGCATTCCATGAGCGTCGTTGAACTTTTCCTCCTCGCTCCTCGCTTGCTTACGATCTCCGAATGTGGAAACATGAAGGCATGGCGAGGAATTGCGAGGGACTGCGGGGATCTGGAACCTGACTACATCACTAAATACCTAGGTATTATTATATGTGCTCAACAGATACTCGAATTCTTGTCGGCTTATAAAACGAACAATCCGCTGGTGATGTTGTGCAGCAGGTTTCTTTCTGTAGTCTACCCACCATGACAGTTTCCGGTCAGCATAGGGTGCCCATGAGTTGATTGTGAGTTCGTCGGACGTTCATCGAGGTTAAAAGAAGGTTTTCGACCAATTTCGACGCCGTTCCTAAGATATGTGGAGCTCATGACTAAGATTAGTTCTTCTGTCACATTGGCTCGATTGGCTACTTGGTTCAACGGCGTCGGTGCATGTTCATCCGAGCTACCTGACGGCTAAAGCAGAATCTCGACGCCCAAAAACTGACGACCTTCATGAATTGATCAGAATGATATGTAGTATTCTACGTAGCCATTGATAATTACCTAGGCTCGGAGCATCCCACTCTTCGGATAGCGATAAGCAATTGGACCTAGGTAAGTTTTGATATTTAACAATGAGAGAGCCCCGCTTCGACATGCCCCCGCTATATCACGACATCTTCGAAGGGTAAATATTTTCTGCAGATTGGATTCTGTTTCTTCACACCTTGAAGCATCTCCAAAAATCTCTCAATTCCTCTCTCGCACTTTCTATTTGTCCGAAGAAATAACACAATCATCCTTCAAAATGGTGCCAGTTCCAGAAGACCTCCCAGAGATGGAATACAGATACCTAGGCCCATCTGGTCTCCAGGTATCTGCCATCGCTCTTGGTGGTTGGCTCACATATGGTGGCCATGTTGAAAAAGGTATAGCTTCTCAACTTCTTTGGGCCCATTGCAGAATTAACATACATTAGAAAACACATTTGCATGCATGAAAGCTGCCTATGATGCTGGGGTCAACTTCTTTGATTGTGCTGAAGGGTATGCTGGAGGGGAGTCTGAAAGGGTAATGGGTGAGGCCATCAAAAGATTTGGGTGGAAAAGAAATGATCTTGTTATCTCGACAAAAGTACCTCTCCATACCCCTACATTTTTACCCCATAAGCTCACAAGAGGCAAAATAGATTTACTGGGGTCAAGCCAATGGCGAGAAACTTGTCAACAACATCGGTCTCTCCCGCAAACGTATCATCGAAGGCACTCACCTCGCTCTCGAACGCCTCCAATTGGAATATGTAGATCTCATCTATGCTCACCGACCGGACCGTGCTTGTCCTATGGAAGAGACCGTCCGGGCATTCAACCACCTCATCAACACCGGCAAAGCATTCTACTGGGGAACATCCGAAGTAAGCCCCACAACCCCTCAAAGTTAATTTCCATTCCACCCCCAGAACTAACCCCCCCATAGTGGACCGCCGCCGAAATCGCCTCCGCCCACTCCGTCGCCCAACGCCTCAACCTCATCGCCCCCATAATGGAACAACCACAATACAACCTCCTCGCGCGCCAAAAAGTCGAGGGCGAATTCCTCCCCCTCTACAATGAATTCGGTCTCGGTCTAACTACCTTTTCCCCTCTCAAATTCGGATTCTTGACCGGAAAATACAACACCGGTATTCCTTCCGATTCCCGTCTCGGAACATCCAAAGACGCTTTCGCCGACCGCATGAGAGCCAAATCCGGCGACGATTCCTGGAAAGAAGATATTGCCGCCGTCGAAAAGCTCATGCCTATTGCGGAAAAACTCAATATTAGCATGGCTAATTTGGCCATGAGTTGGGTGTTGAAGAATGAGAGGGTTAGTAGTGCGATTACCGGGGCCAGTAAGCCGGAACAGATATTTGAGAGTGTCAGAGCGTTGAAGATCAGAGAGAAATTGACCCCAGAGATTATGAAAGAGATTGATGATGTTTTGGGTAATAAACCAGAGCCATTGGCTAAGAGATACGTTTAGATCTATCCATGGGAAGGTTAGGCTGGGAATTTATAAAAGTTACTAGGTATATAGATGACGATGAAGGTGTGGGAATGATAGATAGCGATATCTGATACTACATATTTTCTCTGTTTCCCGCGTAGACACAAAGCTTTGAATAAACATGAATTGCTCAGATAAAATCAAATAAATCTCTAGGATTTATGGTATTGACTATTTCACATGTCATTCGGCTTGAGTGCCAAAAACTACCCAAATATGTGCAAGAAGTTGCGAATCGACTTAACTGAGCCATCTCCTCCATTTCGACTCCAAATCATGTCGTATTGCTTCATTACTTTCACCAATCTCGCATCCTGCAGATACAATCATACAGATCAATAATTATACACCACCAAAACCTCTCCAGCAAAACTCATCTTTTTTCACCCCCTGAGATAAATCAAAACTCCCCATCAAAATCTTCCATCCACCCATTTATTTCTTGCCCTTCTTTGCACTAGCACTCGCCTTCTTGGCTGGCTTCTTCTTGGGTTTCTCCTCTTCCTCATCTTCGTCATCAATCATACTATCATCTTCATTACTCTTAGCCTTCTTCTTCGCTGGCTTCTTGGCCGGCTTCTTCTTAGGCTGCTTAATGTATTTATCCTTTTTCAAATCGGCCTCTTCATCATCATCGACTGGTTCTGCAATGACTTCTCCGTCATCTTCTTCCTCGAATGCTTCTTCCAAATCTGGTTTTACGGCAGCGACCTTGGCGGGCTGGAAGACATTACTTGCTTTCATAAATGGAACAGGATGAGAACGTGCGTTATAGCTTTGGTATGTTAGTATTGTTAAGTTTGAGAAGGATTAGTGAAGACTTACGATCTTGTAAAATTGGCTTTAGTTTGGGTTTCCAATTTGATACTTTCCATATCTTGTTCTCCAACACCCAGTTCCATGATATAGTCCCAGTCCTCCCTGGTCAAGAAATAACTGTCCATGAGATCGATCACATCTTCCACAGAATCTCTGCCCTCGACATCGAGTCGGCGAATGAGTTTGTCCCAGAGAACGGGTAAATATTGTTGGCGAATTTCATGACGGTCTCCAGAAGATCGCAGGCGCATGTGTGATTGGATTTCTTTCACATAACGAGATAGCTTTCCATACTTGCTATTGTTACCAAGCCAAGATGTAAAGTTGGTTCTTCCGATCATCGAACCAGATATAAAGCTTGATGGTCGAACTGCACTGAAGACTGCGTGTGTAGGCATAAGAGACCATTGTTGTTGGGACCCGTGAATCATTCGATCAACTAAGTCACCATCGCTAATGCTCTCTGCTGCTTGGTCTACAAGTTGAAGTACTTTGAGTCTGTGCTCTTTAGGTGTATCGGAGCTGCCGGCTAGTTGGGGCCTGGTATTCAGGTAGTTTTCTTGAATCATCAAGGGTGTAAATTCATGATCGTTGAAGTAAAGCTCGATCTTGTCGTTTAAGGTAGATTTGCTAGCAGGAGAAAACATATGACCACCGAGGAGCTGACTAGTGATGTCCCATGGCTTAAGAACAACATGCTTTTCCCAAGCTTTTGACATTTCCTTGCCTTGGTCGAAATTCATGGCTGTTTGATCAAGTTTGACTGTAGATATCATATTGATGATCTGTCGGATATCCTTATTGCTGCCCTCGATAAGAGCATCGATGACTTGAACCGGGAGCTTCATACCTTCTCGATGACAGATGGTAGCGATACGTGAACGTACCATATCAACTGTTGGTCTCCTGAATGGCATGTCGAATGTCACGAAATCAAATGGCTTCATTTTCGGAAGCTTGCGGTCATTACAGATCAATATCATGGGGATATCGGTCGTCTTGCAGATTTTGGCAAGAGCCCCTACACCACCTCGATCTCCAGATGACATACCATCAACTTCATCCATGATCAGGACCAATTTCTTCTTAGTCTTATCGACATCTTTCCCGTCGCCTGCGAAATAACCTAGAACGGAAGTGTTGTTCAGTACTTCACTTAGCCCAGTTTCAACAAGTTTTTTGCTTCGAACATCACTAGCGTTTCTCTCTAGTATATCATAACCAGCAAGTTTGGCAGCCAAATGGGCCGCAGTCGTTTTTCCGATGCCTGGCGGACCATGAATAATGATGGCTCTGTAACCTCCAAGCCCATCCGCACCCCTCTTTTGAAAATTATACTTGTGCGCAGTTTCCCAGCCCTTAAGCCAAGCCTGAATCTTCTCAACTTGACCTTTATTACCACAAATTTGATTCATTTGCGTTGGTGCATACTTTGTAGTCCACAATTGCGATGACGTTGGCACTATCGCTTTGCGGGGAGCTGCTGGTATGGATGATTTTCCTTTTGCTGCAGCAAGCTTTTGAGCCTCCTTTTCCGCTTTCTCCATCTCCGCAGCCTTTCTCCGCTCCTCTCTATCCATCTCAGCCGCGTCTTCTCGGATCTTCTTTTCTTCAGCTGCTTTCTTTTCGTTGTTCTTCTCCGCAGCCTTTCCGTCGCCACCATTGGCAGGCAGCGTTCTTAAAAGATGAAATAGACCATCTTCGTCAATGGTCTTAATTTTCAAAGTATGTATCTTTCTAAGTTTACTCGGGCCAGCATCCTTTCCAAGTACGACGAAGTTTGTTTTGCTGCTTGGTGCACCGGTGATTTTGCCTCCATATCGCTTGACGAGCTCTATTCCCTCATCTCTTGAGATTGTCTCAAGCATTCCCGTAAAGACAAATGTCAAACCTACCAGACAGTTTTCAGCACCTTCAGGAATTTCCGCACAACCTGCAGCTGGGCCTGAGTTGCCACCGCCTCCACCAGCTCGCCAGTCAAACTTGGCACTGTCATCTATCGGAGGAGGGGTTGGGGCTCGAATTGTTGGAACGCTGTCTAGTATTGCCTGTATACTTGAGCTCTCTAGAGCAGATGCTTTCTTGGGCGGGGCACGAGGTTTTTTGGCGGGTGGTGGCTTTGAGCTCTTGCTAATAGAGGGTTTCTTAGCAGGAGCAACGTCTTCTTCGTCCTCGGATTCCAAATCAATAGATTTACGCTTCTTGCCATTCACAGCAGAACTCTTCCCTGGCTTTTCAACTATCATCATGTCGTCGTCGTCATCGTCGTCATCAGGCACAACAAAAACGTCTTCATCGCCTACATCTTTCATTTTGATGTCCTTATCCTTTATGGTTGGCGCAGATTTCGACTTTGACACAACTCTCTTGGGTTTTGGTAGGACCTCTTCGTCGCTGTCAATTTCGACATAACCATCATCCTTTCGCTTGCCTGTCTTTTTTGCATCTGCTGCAAATATATCATCGTCTTCATCGAAGTCATCATCATCTTCGATCACTTTGTATGTTGTAGACGCCGTTTTCCGAGTAGAAGATCGAACATTCGCTTCAGCTGGCGGTGGTTTTGACTTGGCAGGAGTCGATTTTACTTGTTTAGCTTTGGGTCTACTGCTCGAAGCAAAGAAGTCATCCGCGGTCGTTTCCTTTCCTTCGGGCTCTTCATTTTTTCTAAATTATCAAGTCAACAATGTAAAAAGAGGAGGAACTGGGCAATCAAACATTGATTTCTTAGGCGCAGCTTTTTTGGGTTCGGGCTTTTTTGGCCTGGAAGACTTTAGTAGGAGCTTAGCAGGATTGCTTTGAGAAGCATACAATGGTTCTTCGTCATCTTCGCTATCTTCAATAACCTTGCGACTTTCTATAGTATATTAGTATCATTCAATGACCCAAGCAATTTGAGCAACTTACTGCTCTTCTTTTTCTTAGAATCTTCCTCCTTCTTGTTCTCCTTTCCTCGAATGGGTGTAGCCGTAGAAGTTCCAGGTTTACCTCCAAAGAAGCTTCTAATATCCGCAGGCATACTGGGCGGATTTAGCAATAGCTCGCCTTGAAAATACTACGAGTTTTACAGAAAACAAATTCGTTGATAGAGGCAATTGCTAGAAGAAAATGATGCTGTGAAGTAGCTTGTATCTTTTTGGTTACCTACAGTACGGAATACGCGACGACCCGACGCGGAAGTAACGCGTTGCCACTTTAAATTGATTTCACCAAAAAATTACTGCTGCCTCAAATATTAGGTAAACACACTGAACCATCGAATTTGAGGATCTAGGATTTCTTTAGATTTGGTCGACAATAACGTCCATAGCCATCCACCATGAAGCCTCAAAGTTTGCAGAGCTTCACGGCTCAACTTGGGAGGCTTTCATTAGCCTCCAATACAATCCGACCTCTTGGTCCCATCCTAGCCCAAGCCTCAGCTTTCTCCGCACCTTCGAACCACACTTCCCCTCAGTCTCATCGCCCGTTTTCTAGCACAGCCGTCAATTCAGGCAATTGGCTTCTGCCTACTATGCCAGAAAAAAAGAGATCACGGAAAGGAAGACCTCGTGTGCCGACAGGAGGATCAGCTAGAGGTACCACTTTAGTATGGGGGGAATATGGTTTGCGAATGTGCGATCATCATCGCCGTGTTAGTGCGCAGCAATTGAAGGTTGGAGAGGATGCTATTAAGGTCAGACTGAAGGGTATGAGATATCGATTGTATAAGAGAGTTGCTGCCCAAATTGGTGTATACAGCAGTGGTAACGAGGTAAGCACATGCGCCAGGGACAATTCTAAGATCACAAGAATAGAGGGCCTAATGGTTTCATAGGTTCGTCAAGGTAAAGGAAAAGGTTCCTTCGATCACTGGGCTTCCAGAATTGCTGTCAGCAAGATTATATTTGAGTTGAAGGGAGATGTACACGAACAGGTCGCGAGAGATGCGTTTCGATTAGCCGGTAATAAAATGCCAGGTCAGTAAACACCACCGCCGTATCCTTCTCATATGCTGATTTGTACGAATATAGGTCAATATGAGTTTGTCAAGAAGGGAGATCCTCCGGTTGTTGGAATCACAAAGTTAGATGGAGTCACCATGGAGGAATTGAAGAGACCAAGAAGAAAGATACCTTTGGACTCGATACCTGTCGGCTCTACTGCAGAAACTTTACCATCTAGTGTGTCGACGTCGACATCACCGGATGCGTAGGACGAGAAAATGTGTATTGTATCATAGAGCGTATCGGCATTTCTAGCCCATAAACGAATGGAGATGTACAAAATCACACTCCAGATTGCAGTAAATGTTTGACCAGAGTAAGGGTAAGCGGTGTCATGTAGAGGTCTCAGTATACCGCCAGTTCCAGATTACTTACAACAGTCGACGTCCTCATTTCTAGATATCTCAAACGCGGCGCGGCCAAGGAGCTTCAGATAACAATATCAATACATATCGGTAACCCAGGGCTTCTCAAGAAATAGAACGACGGATTTGTAACTTCCGTTGTGATCTCAAATGAAGATCATTTTTGACAAAGTAAAATACTCCACCCCAAAAGCAAAAGCATGCTTCAATAATCAATCGCATTGAACGCCACAAATCCCTGTCTGACGCCAGTGCCTTTAACCCAACGCGATTCTCTCCGCTCTATTCAGATTCCGATTCATCTTCAACCTGCGTCTCCTTGAGTGCCTAGGAGTAACCAAGTCAGCCACACCAAATAGACCATAAACGTAAAGGCATACACACCTTTTCCAGAAGTGCCTTCAAATGCACCAACTTGCTTTCTTGGATAAGCAAAGTTTCGTCATCTAGATCCTCAACGATATATTCGTGATGCGACTCTGCATCTATCTTGACAATGAGAGATTTGATAGATGGATCGCACTCCACAAGGGTGCCTTGATTTCTTGTTAGAATGGTTACATTTATGTAATTCTAAGCAAACTTGTACCAGACAACATGCGCACTTGCATCATCTGTCGGTGTATACTCTGAAGTGTTCTAGAACACTGGCTGGATGATCCAGGATCAAAGGGGCAAGCTAGTGAAAGCCAGGTAAATGACATGGTAAGATTTTTGCTGGATACATACCTCTGATAGCTCGTGTCATGATGGATGTATGGAGCGCTTCCTTTTCTTTTGACGTTTGAGACGCCTGAATCCTCGTGATATTTTATGTGCCTCTTTGATAAATGATGAAGGTCTATTGATATAAAGCAAGTCGGCTGTGGATAGTGGCCCGTGCAGATTGAGATGCACCTTTCCTATTACGTATTTTTGGGACCAGAGCGCACCAGGAAGCTCCAGGCACTGCTAGTTTACAATATGAATTTACCAATTTCATAATGAAGTAGAATGAATAAGTAGAATGAATGTCTGTGTAGACAAATCTTTCATCGGATCGCTATTGTACCTACTGTCCTCCGTGGAGTAATTTCGCAAATTCTAGGGTGTTCGAATCCAGGCTACATGGTGGTATTGTACTAACTACCCTTTCACAACGAATAATTTTCTCTATAATCTACTAGATACGGTCTAAAGCATTGAGTACAAAAATCTGTACAAAACGTTTTCAATTTGGCATCAAACACTCCTTACGATTTGGATGACCAGTCTGCTACGAGAATTTAATACCCCAGATCTACAAATCAAAGTATCCTGGGCTGATGAATCTCGGTAATCTTCCCCCTTTTATTATATGGTGTGCCAGTTATACCTACTTATAAAAGCTTGATCATTGCTGTGCATTCTTTCAACCAAAGTCATTGTATGTTTGAGGAATACTTGGGAGGATTTTCCGGTAATCGTTCATATTACCAATGGATAATAATCTTCTGCGTTTTTCTTTTGGCGAGGACGAAAAGGAGGAAGGGTCTTTGGCTTTCTTCTTATGATTATATGTTACTATGGTAATTTGAAACTGCTGCAAAAACTTGTCGGAGCACAAAATCAAAGTTTGATGAGTGCAAGAATTTACACCTCAAAGGAGAGTCAGCTCGCTGCTGGACAAAATGTTTGATCAGTTGACTCAGGCTATGCCAATGGTTATTCGATCTTGCATATTTGCTGAAGTCTGAATGATCAAACACGTCTTCGACATCAGAGTCATATCGAGGCCCGTCCTCCATAGGTATTTTCGCAAAGTATCGCATCTTGTGTGGTCAAAATTATACCTTCTCGGTCACCTAACAATTCTGAAAGCCTTGTTTGAGACACCAGGTCTGCTATTGAATCTCTCATGCGGTCTGACAATCTAGTCTCCCACTGTTGATGTGTTTGTTAAATATGAAATGGTGGATTTGTTGATATAAGGAAGAGTTTCTGCTCTAACATTATCCATCTTGTCACTCAGAGTGTAGGGCACTTGCCAAAGGGTGTACAACATACCCAGGGAAATATAGGTTATGAATGCTCGGCATCAACCTGCATTGGTGATTCCTTGATGAATATTTCTATCGACAATTGAATAATTGATCATCAACAACCGGTCGTCGAAATCCAGCCTCCCAATCAGTACCCACAAAAACATCGACAAAATCTTGAGTATGCCCATTAGCCCCTCCTTGGAATCCTCCAACCCACAATGACCAAACCCCCCATTAGCCCCTCTGTATTCTCTTCACGGCCCCCTTTAGTCGTTTTCTTCTCTTTCCTGCCTTCACCGCGTGCCTAATTCCATGCATATATCCCGGCACTTCATCATCCCCAGCCTCACAACCCCATGTATGCACTGCCTTCACAAATTCACGCCCGACGAGCACAGCAGAGGTATCGCTATGCCAACTTCTTCGATCATTCTTCACCCTTTTCACAACTTCTGTGACTCATTGCTCGAGTTTGTATGTTATCGATCCGCTTTACATCTCTGTGTTTTAGCATTCGATGTTGAAACGTCTGGCTTCGCGATTGCCAAACTAAATGCGTGACGCTTGTCTTCCAATTTGTGGGTTTTGATACTTCTTCCACTTGGAATTCCCATAACAACGAGCCCTAATTTTGAATTTATAACTCCCTACTTATGTTGAAGCGTAGTATAAATTAAGATAATGAATGTTCTTTGCATATTCTATTGTATCTGGAAAAATAAAATCGGCACGGACAGAGCGGAACACGCGCCGAGCCCGTTTATCCGAGAGCTGTTTCCCCAGCTCTCTTCCAATTGGTCGGTTTCAATACAAGCTTCCTAGGCCACCGTCACCGGCTATTTCGGAAAGGGAAAGACCAAGACACAAGGACAAACTGACACACTTGGAATCCATTTTGTCTAGAATGTACGGGGTAGCAACAGCAGAACGAGGCGTAAGTAAAGTGTTAGGATTTCTGGTACATATTGTATTACGTATCCTGGGTATCCGGATATCCTCACTTATTTCTTTATTGTTTATAGGATTCTTCTTGTCCTCCGCCAGAAAAAGTATACAAGCAAGGCTTACTCTCTTATCCATCCTTTGTTTTTACTCACCAGCGTGCTTGTTTGTTGTTGAAATTCGTACTCGTACAAAAGCGCGGGGATACCTTGCTTGCCACTGTTTGCGACTGCGAGAAAATAGCTCATACAATTGCAATTCTTATTAATACAAAAGAAGGTTTTGAATGACGAGTCTACCTTAACAAAGCTATACTCATATTTTTCCATCTTCCAGGGCGACTTGGTTCCTTTCTTATCAAAGATAATCATCAAATATATAGATATGCCATCAAGATATCAGAAAGATGTCTGCCAATGTATCAACCGTCATCGTTTCTCCTCAGTTCTCCTCGTATTTTCGATAATCTTTCCCAAATTTTCCTGCGCACAGATCCCAAACGCAGTGTCAACGACATTCATCACTTCGGCTACCCCTCCTTCATCCACCCCTCACATCTTAAATGTCCGTCAACTTTCCTCCAGTACAGATCCTGACGGGGAAGAAACATCAAGCCATGTCTACAACTACTATTTCGTCATAGTCGCTGTTTTCGTAGTCATCGTTTTCTTCCTTCTCCTGTATATTACCCAGCGACGGAAACGAAAGGCATTACTCATACGACATAATGGTCAGACTGCTTTGGCCCGCGATGTACAATCGTTTGCAGATTTCAGAACGAGATTTGGACCGAGAAGGGCGGGAACGGGGCTGATGGGTATGACGATGGGATCGATGGGCGCAAATAGAGAACGACAAGAGGGCTTGGATGAGAGGGGTGAGGCGCCCCCGGCTTATGTGGAGGGCGATAAACCGCCGAGTTTGAGGAGTGAGGATGGGGTTACTATGGTGGTTTCTCGTGAAGATCATGCCAATGAAAATGGCTCTAGTGTGCCGGCTGTGGGGGCAGAGACTACCAACAATTCTATGGAACGAAATATATCGGATGTAGAGTCGAGACTATCTGCGGAGCTTTCGCGACCTAGCGCTACGACTGCGAGTAATTCGGCAAGACGGACATCGATAGGGGGATCATCAACACCAATCACAAGCGCAGCAGATTCGAATGAAGAGGTGGGATTAAGGCCATTGAGTCGAAGTATATCGGCGCGTCCACCGTTAGGACCACCTACATATTCCGAGACCTATCTGGGCGGGCAACCTGATATAGCGAGACCACCTGCCGCGGTGACCCACAACTGATTTTATTCAGAAAGGAGATTGATGAGTGGGACTAGAACCTCATCTGAAATGCGATGTAGACAGTTTTAGTCGCAGGATGGCCGAATTAACATACGAACGATTTTTATATTGGTCATTTTATATGGGTTAACATTGAACGGCAGGCCGACTAATGAGGATACGGATGGCACGGCTGGATTGGACGAGGTTCTGGGTATGGAATTGTACATGGATATCCACAGGATGTGAGGGCTTTGCGAAGGCGTATCTTTACGATTATGAATATTAGTTATGAAGGATCATTGCGATGTGGTTATTGTGTAATATAGTCGGATCATAATAAATATGTATATCAAGGTCAAATACTTCCTATTCTAAAATTATTTTATGGTTATCGTAGAAGCCTAATAGTTGATGGTGATTTCATTCGCATATTCTAAATCCGCTTCATCTTCCTTCCTCTTTTGAGAATCTAACATCTAACATCTCACATCTCACCTCCCACATCTTACAGCCCCAACAAAACAAACAACTAACTCCCACGCCAGTCCCCACAATCCAAAATTCAAACCCCAACACACACTACAGTAAGAAATACATTCGACCCCCATACATAATTTCACAGTGCCTCCCATACTCCCATACTCCCATACTCCTATAATTCTAAACAAAAACGCTTGAAGGATCCGTCAAACATGGATTGTGGAGATTGAAACCCAGTGGAATAGATGGGATAGGTTGACTTGGGTTGAAAAGGGGCAAAGACCAGATAGGCGAATTAAGGAGGCGGGGAAGTGGATCTTTTCGGGTGTGTGTTTGGAAATGGATTTGGGAATTGTGGGTTGGTTTGGAAAGCTGGATGGATGGATGATGGGTTAGATGGGGAGGTTTGTGGGATATATATTGGGTATGTGAAGTAAGTGAAGTGAGGAGAATGTGGAAGTGGAAAGTAAGGGGTTGATTATTTTGTTGGCTGTTGGTTTTTAGAGAGGTAGGTTTTGGGTTTGGGGTTTTGGAGACGGATTGGATTAGAAGAGCGCGGTTGGGTGGAGTAGATGGGATGGGTAGATGTTTATCGGAGTTGTGGGAAGAGAATCGTTGGTAGTAAGGAGGAGGGGTGTGTGTAGAGTGTATTTTTAATGTGTTTTTTGTTTAGATAGGGGAGATGGGGGGGAGGGGGGGTTGAGAAGTGGTCAATGATGAAGAATGTTGGTAGGATTTTGCACCTAAGATAGGTTATTTTTCAGATAAAGGAATGGTGGTGGATTTGTGAATATTAGTAAGTTCAAATATATATAGCAAGGAGAAGTGATGCTGAAGAAATCGTGCATGGTTGTTGTATCCATGGATGGCTATTTTGTGGGCTGAGGTTATATGCCTTTCAGTTTGGTTCAATCAAGTGGGAACTATATGCATGTAAAATCATAGGTAAATTCATTGAAGGTTATGGAACTGGCTAATTCCTGGAAACGATTCGGTAGTTAGAGAAGAGTATGTGTTGGACATAGAGATTATAGATGATGCTTCGCTACACCCGTATCATGAACCCAAAGAGTCGCTTGTCCTCGTCATTTTCAAAGTCCCACGTAAGATCTTGTGACTCAAGTTCTGCCAGCCTTGCCATTGCCTTTGGTTTCTCTGTTTTCAGATAGAGGATATAGTTCTGCCATAGTTCGCTCGGTGAGAGAGATAACTCTTTAGCAAAGAGATTCTTGCGAATAAGACAATCTTCGAGTAGTAAGTGAAAGTTATTGCCATGGTAAACGTGTTCCAAACGGACCTCTTTGTCAAAATCGTGCTGGTCTTCGGGCAAAAGACATCCCAACCAGCAGAAATGCACTTCCTTAAGGGTCAAGTCACTCTTTATTACATCAAAAACTTCTCCCCAGTCGAGAATGGATTCTTTCAAGGAACAAAACCGGAGCTTTAGAATTCTTAGAGTTTTGGCATGTCTTTGAAGAAATTCGGTAAGCGATGATTTACTGGCCACCATAGACCAGAAATCCACGCTTTTCAGACGTGGCATTGTTAGACCCACTATGATTTCATCCCAGTCTATTTTCGTCAATTCCGTGTCATCGAATTGTTCTGTGATGGCGAGATATTCGAGATTGGATGTAGCTTGTAGGAGTTGCTTCAATCTATGATTAGACTTGGAAGTAGGACTCATCATTCTCCAGAGATAAAGATGGCGAAGATACCGAGCATCCGGCCCATATGGAAGTGTGGTATTCGTGCCAATGGAAGCGCCAAATAGCGTATTCAGATTAAACCTTTCAAGGTAGAGGTACTCCAATTTTGTACCAGCGTTAGCAGCAGCGGCAAGAAATATCGAAGCTTCTTTGTGATACCTCGCATTATGACCCATACTGTTACAGAAAGTTGGTGTAGGCTTGACATCCAACCGTAAATGATTAGATTGTTTGGGTTTATACTCTACCATGGTGAAACTTTTCAAGAAGCTGAGCTTTGGCAGCACTTGTGAAAATACGAAGCTACTGAATTCGCTCTTCACCATAAAATCTTGTTCTTCACAAATCTTATTGCGAGCTTCAAAACCACGAGCCATCTTGGTCAGGGACTCCGATCCTGGCTGTAATTCCATGTCTCTCAGGAGATGGTTGTAATCATCTTCACCAACTGCTCTCATTCTCAACGGGTCGTAGTGTATAGCCAGGACACGTTTCGACATCCTGGGATGTTTTGAGATATTAAGAAGTTTTTCGAAACTCTCTCTGGTGAATATAACATATATATTTTCGGCGAGACGATCGATACCAGCTGCGGCACAAATATTGCTCATTAATCGAAAATTAAGTATATCTTTTATGTGGAGGTATTTGCAGACGGTCTGGATCATTTCGATGGGTAGAATTTCAGTAAGTGAAGGCCCAAACCCATCTTTCGCATCTGTGCTCATTGTGGCCCCTAGAAAAGGATCAGTCAAAGCAAGCACTAAGGTGGGTAGGAATATATTACCATTAGACATAGTTTCTAACTGTCTGCTTGTTGACAGAACATCCATCCCTTGAACAGACATTGTGCGTATGTTCAATTGCCGTTTTTAACTCGAATATCTGTTAGACCTCAGGATAAGAGATGAGAAATGTGAAGTTTGATATGGGAGACAACAGAATCTTAATCGGAGTGTATACAATAGGCAAATATCCCCCAAAAGTTTTCTTAGTTGGGTAGATCGTAAGAGAACGATACTCATGTTCTTGTGACGATGTTTTAGTTGTAGAGGAGGATGTAGTCTGTCTACTTTCGAAAGACTTATCCACAGGAAGAAAATTCGCCTACAAGTTCCTACCATGGTGCAATGTGAGACCATGTGAGTGGAGTGAATACTTCATTCGACTTCTTTTGAGTACCTATTCAATCACCAGCAACATTTGGTTTTATTATCGGGAGGCTTAGACGCCTTTGGGGGGAACCAAGTCGATCCTCAAATCCCAAAATATCATGTTACTTCTGTCCGTCAGACTATTGTTTGTATCTGATACTATTCAGAGATTCATTCTCGTAGTTCTATCTGTATTGAATGGTTTTACCAAGGCTTTAGTCCAATCAACAGACATCAAGTATGTGAATGTCGTGTGTCCATCTTGAAGCCATTTCATGAGTCCAAGTACCCATTGATCGATGCTGCAATCTTGGTATTGCAAACTTCAGCAATTCGCATTGCTAGGAAATGCGAGTATGAGCATTTGCAAAGAGTTAAACCACACAGATCCCAATCTTGCCTAAACTTCATCGAAAGCACATTCCCACGATTCAGCATATCGATGAAATTTATGTAGTATAGACCGTCGTCGCGAACGAGAGAGCAAGATTAATATTAATCGACACCGCTTTCCGTAAGCATATTCTGCCACTTGATCAAAACATGTGGAGGGACGTGAAATGTTGTGTAACCAGAAGTCATTGTTTCTCAGAGTGACTCACCCTCACTCACTCTCATTCGCGTATCCTCTTTCGACCGCCATCTCCGCCGAATCTAGTTATTTGTTTACCATTCTCTCCTGCCGCATTTCGGCGGAGAATCGACAATGACATAAAACTTATCATATTATATCCCATTCAACTCATGATCCTTTCCTTTTTAATAAATACCCAAATATGCAAGCATGCTGACTACACGTAAATCAGATAAGGTTCCTTTGATGAGAGCGGTAAGTTGAGGGCTGACAGATGTAAGCGCTTGAAACTTGGCCCAACGGGTAAAGCATTCGTCGGGGTATGGAATGCAGTTTCGAAGGTTCTACAAGATATTGCAATATCTTTGATGAAGTTTGGTTAAAGTTTCGTTGTGATTCATCGGCGGAAGTATTGCAAAATGTATTGCAGAATATGTCGGCGCATATATCGACTACCCTGCGTGATTAGGATGAGGTCCAAGCCGTCTCCGTCACACCATCTCCGCAAGGCGGTCTTATGAAAGGGGTTGACGTCTAATACCCGAGTGTGAGTGCGTTCGAGTGAGATGAGGAAAGAGGCTTCTATAAAGGGATCCCGTTTTTGCTATGACGAAAGAAAACAATTTTGAACATTAATCGGATTCACTTTTATACTTTCTCGTTACCTCTTCGAATTTTGAATACAATTGCTTTGCGATTGTTTATTCTACTTTGATCAAGATAATAAAATAACAAGTTTGATGTCTCGAGACGACCGAGCAAAAATGGAAACCTCAAGGCCAACAACAGTGGTCTCTGATACCGATTTGGAAAAGAGTACTGCGCCTTCGATTCGTGATTCGATATCGAGAGAGAAAAAAAACAGCACAGATGGTGCGGATTTAGAAAGTGGAGAGATAAACAATAATGGCCCAGGGGAAGATGGTTTAGAGTATCCAAAGGCTTTTGCAATGGTGATGATAGTGATTGCTTTATCACTCAGCATCTTTCTTGTCTCTTTAGACATGACGATTGTGGTATGTATACCTTCTCTCCCTTTTGCTGTGCGATCAGGAATCACAATATATCATCATACAATAGAGTGCAAAGCTAATATAATCTCAGGCTACAGCAATTCCAAAAATTACCGACCAGTTCCACGGCTTAGATCTTGTCGGCTGGTATGGTTCTGCATTCTTTCTCACAGTCGGTTCCTTTCAATCAACATGGGGAAAGGCCTACAAATACTTTCCGCTAAAGATAACTTTCCTCATTGCCATTTTCATCTTCGAACTCGGGAGTTTAATCTGCGGTAAGTTGTCTCAAAGTTCGAAGTGTAGCACAAACACTAATTCGAAAACACATAGGCGTTGCTCCGAATAGTACCGCTTTAATAGTAGGCCGAGCCATTGCAGGACTTGGTGGTGCTGGAATTGCCTCCGGAGCATATACGATTATTGCATTCGCAGCACCTCCCTCTCAACGCGCAGCTTATACAGGTATCTTAGGTGCATCTTATGGAGTGGCCTCTGTAGTAGGGCCACTTCTCGGAGGTGTGTTTGCAGATAAATTGACATGGCGTTGGTGTTTCTACATCAATCTTCCGATTGGTGGACTCGCAGGAGCTATCATCCTATTTCGTGAGTATTTGACCAATTCTCATACTCTATATCTTAAACATACAAGTGCTAATATATCGACTTCCTAGTGTTCACTACACCTAAAAATGCAGTACCAACTCCTGCTACCCTCAAGGAAAAGATCTTACAAATGGATTTCCCAGGAACATTTACAATCATGGCCAGTCTCGTCTGTTTCTTCCTGGCTCTTCAATGGGGTGGCCAAACGAAAGCCTGGAAATCTGCCGATGTCATCGGTACTCTCATCGGCTTCGTCCTTCTCCTCATTCTCTTCATTGTAATCCAATATTTCCAAGGCGAGCGTGGAGTTATCGTCGGCCGTTTGTTGAAAGAACGTACAGTTTCTGTAGGAATGGTATATGTATTCTTCCTCTGCGGCGGATGGTTCCTTCTACTCTACTATCTCCCCTATTACTTTCAAGTCGTCTCTGGAGTTTCGGCTTCTCAATCTGGTGTGCGAAATCTGCCAATGATTATCGGTACCACCATCGCAACCATCATTTCTGGAGGATTGATCTCTGCATTTGGCCATTTGTAAGTTTCAACTCAGCACACCATCTTCCTATACTCCCAACTCTACTAACACTTTCTCCCAGCGTTCCATTCATGATCATCGGCGCAGCCGGCGCAACAATCGGATGCGGACTCCTCTACACGCTCGGCGTCGATTCCACCTCGGCACAATGGATAGGCTACCAAGCCCTCGCCGGCCTCTCCACGGGCTTTGTTTTCCAAATCCCCGTCATCTCCGCCCAAGCTACCGTCTCCCAAGCCGATCTTTCTTCCGCGACGGCAATGGTGTTGTTCGCCCAAACAATCGGTGGTGCATTCTTCATCTCCATCGCAGAAGCGGCTTTCGCAAACCGTATCTTGCACGTTCTTCCTCACTACGCACCTTCGGTATCCCCAGCCCAGGTATTATCAGTAGGGGTTAGCGAATTGCGAAATGTGTTTGGAAAAGAGGGAGAGTTGATCGAGGGCATCATAGAGAGTTATTTGCAGGGATTAAAAGTTACATATGCGTTGGCAATCACCTGTTGCGGAATCGCATTGTTTGTAGCTTTCGGAAGTCACTGGCCGTGGAAGAACTTGAAAGGGAAGGCATCCATGGGTGGAGCTGCCTAGTTTGAGAGCTGCTGAGTAGATTGTACGCAGGGGCGTACTTACTCGAGGAATTTTTTTTATGAAGGGTAATAGACAAATTAATGACGAGGACTGGGAAATATAGAATTGGGCATACATAGACTGCTATCAAGTAATAAATGGGTAACTCTTCTTAATTGAAATGATATGTTGTTTTCTCCTCTCAAAATTCATCTATACACAATCTATAACTACTAGGTAACTACCAGGTACCTACTGATGGGTATTTATCCACTGCTTTCTACCCCTGAAGAATTCCTGAAAGCTCATCATGTACTCATCAAAGCAAATTCGCCGAGAGATGTCAGACATCAGACGTCCGACTAACCGTCAAACAAGACGTTAGACTCTACTAGGTAGATAGCACGGAACTAGTAAAAATAGCTCCAACGTCATTACGACCATTACTTTTCTTCCATGAGCAACCAAATCTAGAAATTTATTTCTCGGTTCCATCTATTCGTTCCTTTCCATATCAGAAATCTCTTGAGCAAGTAAAACTTTTCTTACCAGTTCGATTTCTTCATACATCTTGATATTTGGTATCCATCTTCGACGATCACATAAACTCGACATACAACCCGGTATAGAAAATCAACCTATCTCGAATACGGAGGACTGTTGAGACATCGAAATTCGACGTCATATCATATACGTCATCCAAAGTTCGAAAAACCATCCATAAATATAACCGACGACAAATAACCCTCCCAGCCGAGCCGACGAGAATTCCACCCCTTTCGAATCCTCATCTCGAAACCGAAAAAAATGAGCGAAACAAACCTTTCCATTCCGGTGAACAACCCGGATAACTCTATCCGCGCGGCGTCGCCCATCCGATTCGACCCCCTCAACGAAGTAGCCGCCTTCGAAATCTCGCCTCCCAACTCCCCTCCTCCACCCTACTCCCGCGTTCCCCCACCTGACGCACCCACTCTTCCCCCGTACATCATCTGCACCTGCAGCTCGTACGAGGACCCCACGATCCTCGAGGATCTCGGTTTCCACAGCGAACTCTCCGACGAAATTTGGGACAAATGGCAGCTGCACAAACGCCAACACCCAGAGGTCTATCAGAATGGGAATTCGCTGTCGCTTCTCTATTTCTTTTTCTCCTTCGTCTTCCAAGCCACACAACTCCCGTTCGCATTCCCCGGGTACGACCCTCGTTATTTTCATCCGGAAATGTGTGTGTATTTGTCTGGGTGGGGGATACCTCATAATGAGTATCTCACACGAGAATGGGACGAGGCGCAGAGAATTGAGAGGTGTGCTGTTGCAGCGGCAGAATGGACGGCTCTGATCTTGAGCAAAGACTGCGGGAACCACCCTCCATTGACATATGATTTGGCTGGGTGGGATGGACTCCGAATGTCTGAATTGCGGAGGATGGCGATGGCTGCGACATCAGTAATTTGAGGACATGTCGACCAGCTTTCGCATACTCGTGAGATAATTCACCACCTCATCAACGGCAAATATATCTAATACCTGGGTAGTGATAGTTGTTGTAATACTGTAGATCTCCTGCGAGCACTGGCACTGTAAAGGTTCAAGCTATTGGTCGCTTAACATACAAGCCAGTATCGTACTTTGCAGTCAGAGCCGCTACACCTTATCATATTAGCGACGGTTCAATTTGGAATCGGGTCAACCAGAGACCCATATATTCACCAATCCAAAGCAGGATTAGATATCAGATTAAAGCATACCCGTTGGTATGTGGAGACTGCGTCGCTCATCAACAAAGACTCTTCCGCGAAGGAGAACATAATTCTCGCCTCTCCGCTCCGTCCCGGCACAGGCGACACCAGCGTCACGGCCCATAGTCTCAACCATCAACCGACAATCAAAGCCTCTCAATCCTCGAATCCAATCCAAAACCTCAAACAATCCAAAAGATCGAATACATCTCGAACATCGATCCCTTTTCAAATTTTCAAATACTCTCAAACATTACCAGCTCCTGAATATCAGACTGCGATACGGACTATCGCAAGCAGACACCCATAATCATAATACTATTTATATTTGGAGATGTCAAGGATCTTGTGGACCAGAGTATTTAAGAGGGATCCATGTTGTTGTATATATGGATGAAGATATATATAATCGATATCCCGGGATGAAAACAATATAAGAGGAGAGAAGGGTGGATCTTGTGAGGTAGACCCCTCGAGAATCATATGTCGGATGAATCTGGACTATTGGAACTATATCTGCGAGAGAGGGGAGAGGGTTGAAAGTTCTGCTTTATTGTACACCCACTACTTGTTTTTTAAAGGTATTAGGTAGTAGAGTACAATGAAGCAAGACACAGGGAAGGAGAAATAGAAAGGAGGGAGATGATTGAAAGTTCTGCTTCACTATACATCCACTACTTGTTTTTTAAAGGTATTAGGTAGTGGAATACAACGAAGAAGAGAGGAACGAAGAGAAGGAAAGAAAGAGAGAAAAATACAATCAACAGATTCCTACTTCATTATACATCCACTACTTGTTTTTTAAAGGTATTAGGTAGTTGGATATAATAAAGAAAGATACAAAGAAGAGAAGGAGAGAGAGAAGGAACGAAGAATATAATTGGCAGATTTGCGGACAGAGAAATGGGTTAAGACAGATGAGAATGGCATAGAATACAAGAATAAAACCAAGACATTTAAAAAAGAGGTTGATAGTATCTCCCAAAACGCTTTTTGAAAGAGAAATGCGCCGTGTAGCCCATGCTAGATTCTCAATGTCACTCGACAAAGAGTACCTAGATATGCGTATCTACATTTCCTTGCCGAAAGATGAATGAATCACAACTCATCTCATCTCATACTCAAAGTATCCAATTCGTCTTTCACTTTATTCAATTCATCATCATTATATCATGTACCCCAATCCCCCAATGTCCCTCCTCAAGGGTCAAAAGTCAAGAAACGCCAGGTATAAACAATCTTTTCCCCCCACCTCTCCTCACCCCCTAACTCTCGACACTTAACGCCTTCGCTCCAACCAATCTCCCTCCCTCAACCCCCACAACCCAATACTCAACTCTCGCTCCCTCCCCCGACACCCTATAAACCCTCACATCACTCCCCTTACTAGCATCTCTCACTGCTTGCACAATCTGCTTATACTGTCCCTGCGGATCCCACTCCCCAATATCCATAATCTGTATTTCTTCCGCTGCGTCTGCGGGAGCAGGATGGGCTATGAGCCTCGCGAATGTTTCTATTCTTCGTTAGCACAGATACCAATGATTTCCCAAACCTCTCAAAAAAGAGCGAGAAACAAACCTTCATCCGGCATTCCTCCTTCACATTTCAGCGCCACAACAACAAATGGTTCATCGGCATCACTGGTGTACCACGCATCCTTGGTTGCTCTAACCAGCACGCTAGGTACATCCACATCATCATCCATCGTCTTGAACTCGGCTTTTTTATTACTGCTCGTAGCCTTTGATGTGCCAGCACTGGGATCCTCGTTGGCTTTGTCGAGGAACGCCATGTAATCTTCGTCTGATCCCATTTTGTCTGTGTAGTTGTTCGTTCGTTCGGATAGTGTTCGAGGTTGTGTACTTGTGTTTACTTCCTCCGGACTTCTATTATCCTTCGTATATTTGAAGATCGCAGAGCTATGCAAGAAACGCTGCTCAATTCTAGATCTCCTCTCAAACCCAGCCTCTCCAATTCGTCCTTGTCGAGAAAACAAAGCAGTAGGAATCGCAAGCTTAAAATTTCCGTCTATGCAATGACCTCTACTTGCGTTATAGCGTCCAACGCAAAATCTCTCTGCGACGTCGTCCTTAACACCGTTGACAATTTCTGCAGCGAAGCCCCTTCGATTTCCTTTCCCTTTCCCTTTCCCTTGTTTACTCCCTCGCCCAAATCTGCCTCCAATTCTGCCCGAGGCGTCTCGAACGATGGTAAATAACCTAATGATTGCGATCTTCCCTTCTCTGGACTAACTCTTCCTTCTAATCTCTCTGTTCTCTGTGTTCTTCCTCCCGTCTCACGATAAACACTCGGCGTGCGACTTCCCGGTGCAGATATTGTTTGTTTGTTTACTTTTTTATTTTTGTTCTTCTGTTTGCGACTTCTTTCAATAGATTCTTTGATGCTTCGATAAGGGATGGCGAGGACGGCGGAAAGTGCACCCATTGATATTGACAATGTAGTGAAACTAGTAAATAAAGCTAAGAAGAGAGGGGTTAAGGAAGGACCAGAGGATGTTGTGTGACTTCGGTGACGTGGGGTAATGGGGAATCTCTCTTTTTCTTGTTTGTGCAACTTAAGAATCTATATACAGGGGTGTTTGGTGGGATGACGATTTTTACAATTGAAGAAAGATAGAGGAGATAGGAGAGAAGGGAAAAAAGAGAAAATTACTCAAGGGATCACTGGTAGATTGAAGAATGCAAAACAAAGTTCACTATCCTGCAAAGAGAAATTATATAAGATCAAGTTATAGAAAGTTTGATTCAAGTGATTGCTAATAAAGCCAACTCGTAAGTTGTTCCTAGGGTCTCAGTGAAAGGTCTGTTAAAATTTGTTGGAAAATACAAGGAAAAAAGAGGTCAAGAGGTCGAGAACGAGGTCCGTCAAGTGCTAGCCGTAAATATAATACGATAAAAACCATCTTGTCAAATTCTTTCACGGTATTGAAACCAACATGGCCTGGATCAAAGTTCTCAGTTCTCACAATTGGCTGGGCCCGCCAAAACATCATCATAAGTTGAATCATTATTGAAATTATTGGATATCATTGACATTTCTTCATTGATGGAATGCTAGTATATCCATAGGTAATCATGGACTGCTTTATTGCACATATGATACCCCCACCGACTACACCTATCGAAACGTAAGAAACCCGAAATGCGAAACCAATTTTTAAATTTATGAGGATTGAGCAATGTCCTTCTTGAGGGTACCCAAGAATTGGTGCTTCTCCTCGGCGGTTTGGTAAGCACCGTGACCGAACTTGGAGGATGTATCGATCCATTTCAACTCAACCTTCTCCAAGGCCTTTCTTGAGGTGTGAACGAACATGGATTTTCTGAGAGTCATGACACGCTTCTTAACACCTGGAACGGAACCCTTGAGCATGATGAAGTCGTTCTTGACCTCACCATATCTGACAAAGCCACCCATACTGAAATTATGTTAGTCAATGTGATACTGAAAGTGACATACTGTTAAAACTTACGGGGTAATGGCCTTCTTGGAGACATCGAACTCGGTGGCGGCGTTGTTGGGGTCGTCACCACGTCCGATACGGTAGACCTTGTGGTTGCAAGAGGTACGATGATGGTATCCATCTTGACCAGCACGGGCAACAGTCCATTGGACGTGGGCTGGATGCCAGGCACCGATACAGGCGACCTTACGGAGACCCTTGTGTGTCTTTCTGGGAAGCTTCTTGGTTCCCCATCTGCTGGTGACACCAGAGAAACCGTGACCCTTGGTGACAGCGATGACATCAATCATCTCATCTTGCTCGAAGATGGAGCTGATCTCAACTGGCTTCTCGAAGAGACCGCTGGCGAAGTCAACCTTCTCAGCGACGCTACCTCCGTTAACTTGAATCTCCATCAAATGAGCCTTCTTTTGCTTGAGAGGAGTCTTTCTGATTTGAGTGTGGGCGAGGACACGGACGACGGTGCAGTACTTCTTGATACGCTCGAGTTCACGGGTGATGGAAGATCCGCTGTTCTCGGAGTGCTTCTTGGCGTACTTGGTGAAAGCCTTCTTCTTGCTCTTGTACCAGTTCTTGTAGAATCTGCGCTTAACTTCGTCGCTCAAATGTTCGGCCCAGACGGTTGTAAGGGATCTGAGACCACGAGGAGTCTCAATGTAACCCACTAGACCAACAACGATAACCTAAAAAGATATTAGCCATTGGCTTAAGCCAAGCGGGCTGCGTTGCTCGTACCGGTGGTGTCTCAATGACAGTCACTGCCTCAACGACCTCCTTCTTGTGTGTCTTCGCACCAGGACGGTCGAGGTCGCGGACAATGGTAGTCATACCAGCCTTATAACCAAGAGTGGCAGTAAGGTGGACTGGCTTGGTCTTATCATCCTTGGGGAAACTGTTTGTAATTGAAAAGTTAGTAAATGTGATCTTCCTTCAAAAAATTGATTTGCAGACGGATATCGATAAATTCGTAGAATCCTCAAAAGTCGCAAAAGAATGGAAATTGGGGTAAATGCTTCACCTCTTGACCTTTCCGCGGTGACGGCTTGCTCTCTTTCTTGGGAGATAAGCAAGGGATCCGTGACGGGGAGCTTCGAATTTACGGTGCGACATGTTGGCGGTGGTCGACTTCTTTAGGTGTTGAGGTTCAAAAGTTCAGAAGAATTCAATGAGAAAAGTTCACGAATATTGAGAGTGTGCGATTTCTCGGTTAGAATTATCTTAGTGTCCCAAAAGTGGCTTAGCGTTCAATTGAAAAAAAGTTCTGAATACTTGCCCCATCAAGTCTTGGCATCAATAATCGAGACCCTTCGCTACACGTGATCCAAATTATCGCGGCTTTCTAAACCTCTTGTCTCATGAAGCCTTGGAGAAGTCTTTGTACAGGTCTATTATTATTATTAGTACGATTGGCCGTTTATATTGTTTATATTGTACTATGAAGTTGTAGAGTGAAATCGCGGCCATTGTATATATAGATCGTGTTTCTGTGTCTGTTATGTTCATCGTCTGCCTGTCTTGACTTTCCACACTCCGAAAATTGCAATCATATGTAACAGTTGAGTTATGTAACATCAGAAACACGTGAAGAGGCCCAGTGAAATATTATTGAAGTCTCTTTACTATCATGACATTTGGTATCGGTATTGGTATGGGTACACCCTCTAAAGGTTTCGACACCTCGCTCCTCAAATTCGCTCATTGCCTCGCGAACTCTCAACCCCAATTTCCACCTCTCTTTCGAGTTTCTCTTAAACACCCATTCATTTAAATTCAGCCCAGTCATTCCAAACTATTCATATCAAAGCCGATCAAAGGATCCCACCCACATTGCAAAATCCAATCAAATACAATATCAAACCAGAGACCAAGCCAGCCAAGCCAAACCAATTGATCCAATCCAATCAGTTAAGTCAGTTAGTCAATAAGGTCAATCCATTCATTCGTTTATCCTCACTTCCACTCCCCCAACTTCCCCCTGCCTATTTTTTTTAATTTTTGTTTTTGGTAAAGATACCCATCTAGAGCTCCGTTATCTCTCTTTCTAAATTAAACACAATAATCGAGTTGTGAAGGTCACTCCATCTGTCAACTCAAAAACTTAAACCGAAAACTGAAAACTTGTAAAATATGAACCAGTGGTATTGTTGTACAACAGCGATAGCACAAAGGCTTCAAAATGCACTTTGAACATAACCAACAACAGTTGGTGTGAAGCTAGAAAGGCAAATCAATAAACGTGCTTGATGCTGAAAAGTATAAAACGCCGACGCCGCTATGCAATTGTGTATTTGTAGGCGAAGAAAACAAGATTAATAACAAAAACGCGCGCTCTTTTGTAATATTCGGTGAAAGAAAAGATGAATCGAAATCGCCAGGCGCCGCCATGTCCGACCGCCTTCTATATGTCCTTTGGCGCGTGAATATTCGTGCCACGTCTCGAGGGGTATATGATTCGCTTTTGCGCTTTTGCAAAGCAAAGTACGTCCTTTATACAAAAAGTTTGTGAATGAAATGAAGAGTCTTTAGCATTTGTCGACATATTTTGTAGCTGGCTACTTGCATTTGTCGACAAATTGATTTGTAGCTGGCTAGTCGCACTTGTTGACAAATTGATTTGTAGGCCACGAGTAGCCAGCGTCTGACCAAGACGTATGATTTTGATTTTTCTAAATTCATTAGCATGGTGCTCTGAGCAATTGAAGAAAGTGATAAATCAACTTACATATGCCTTCGGGAACTTTTCGATGTATTCGGTGGTTGGGTATCCTTCAGGGTCACAAGTGACCGATTCGGATCCTTCTTCTTGATATATCCGGATGTAATCAAAACGCATGGTAGCGGGGAATAGAGTGTTCAAATTAGGCATCATAACTTGGGAGAAACTGGTGCCCATTCCCAAATTCATGATAAGAGCCATAGGCTCCTCCGGCATCGTTCGTTGGCCGACGTTTCCGTTTGGCCTCAATGCACGGGCATCCATTTTCCAAGTGTACTGATCACCAACGAACCATGTCACCTGTCCCTCGGATCCAGGAGTGTATTCAAATCCATACGTTTGATATCCGTTGCCATCATACCAATCATTGTTGAGCCAAGTCACTGAAGACATAGCTTGTTGATAATTTCCACCTCGGTAGGCGTTCACAGAAGTCTGTTCGTTGTCATAAACCTCAACATAGTTGTAATCGGGCGTGTAGAATATGTCGAATGGGGCAATCTGGTAAGATTGAGATGCGGAACCTGTAGCGGTTCCCCAGTTCTCCGTCATGAATCCAATGCTGGCTTCTATTCCATCAATTTCAGGTGCTGATCGAGAATTACCTTTTGAAGGATGCGTTTGGCCCTCGCACGTACAAGCTGGCAGCTTCATACCGGGTAACCAATTGATACCATCCGGTGAACTTTGATTTGCCGTGATTCCGTAATCGCAATGATCCCAATAACTGTAGGGCCACATGCCCTCTGTGGTAGCTAGGTAACCGGGTCGTCCCAAATTGCCCATACTCCAGAAACCGGGCCAGAAACCGGGCCAATCTCCTCGGCCAGGTAATGAAATGCTAGCTTCCACACGACCACCCTTAAAGCACAACTTATTCCACGATTGGACCATCCCAGAGCGATAATTCAAGTTGTGACTTTGAAAAGCGTCGAACTTGATGTTCATAGTGCCGTTTCCGGTCGTTACAGCATCGGGATCGTACCATTCCAAATCCTGAGTAGCACCATACCAGATATCCACGGCTTGAAAGAATGGATCATCGCCATCGTAGAAAGTTCGTCCATCGGTATTGAATTCGTCAGAAAACTAAGATCATTTAGCATTAAACCAAACTCCATGATGTAGAAAACCCTACCACAAGCTTCAATTTGGTGCCATCGTGAGCGGTCTTGCTCTTGACGGAGTCTGGAGTATCCGGATCTATGAGACCCGTTCTCACATTCTTGAGAAGGGAAACTTTATCTGATAAACAATCTGCTGCTGATGCACAGGCACCATGAGTAGGATCGATTTTGTCTTTCACGAATGTACTAGACAATAGTTAGCAGAAGTTTTCCCGGCGATCGATTAATAACATACACAACTGGATATGCAACGAACAAGGCCAGTACGCCCAAGACGATGAAGATCAATCCTCCAACGTTTGTAAGACCTCTCCGATTCCATATATCGCACTTATCCAGGTCTTTATCACTTGGATCCGGGTTGTGAAGGTAATCGTCTTTCTCAACATCTTCTGGGAAAAGTAATAATCCTGCCGATGGCATGATGTTATATTTTTCGGAAACAGTTTGTGTATTGATATTCTCATCATCGCTGTCGCCGGCTCTCGAAGAAGCTCTCGAGTCATCAAAAGGTGAGCCAAATGGACCTGCTCGACTGTCTCGACTTCCCGCCTCTGAGCTCCAACTTGTTCTGCGTGACGAAAACCCTGATACTGAGGGAGAAGGTAAAGGATAGTCGGAGTATGATGATGATTGATTGTTCGCTGCAGGCCGTGATCTCGAAGGAGGAAGTAGCATTTCATTTGACTGAGCCACATCGGGTGAGCCATATACTTGAGGGGCAGCCATGCGTGACTGTTGCGAGCCTGAAGTCGGTGGTCGCGGCGGCGGGATCAACTGCCTCGATTGACCAGGAGTTCCTGCAGTAGAAGGAGAGGTAGTAGATGAATTGAGCAGATCTCCACCACTGCCCGAATTGACTGTTATGTGAGGGGGCCTTCGCCCGGAGCCACTGTAGGAGTGGTCCATATCGACGATAAAAACGAGCCCAAATTAGAATCTTATGAGTGCGATGGCATATGCTACGTCAGCCAAGGCGGTTGTGGTTGATGTTCTGGAATGTGGAATTCGTAACGGGTTCGTCAAATGGAAGAGTGAAAGTAGATCAAGAACACGCTCAATTCCTCTCAAAGTTCTCGGGCGGCAATCAACAGCAAGCTCGGATCAAATCGTGACGTTCGAAATTCATAGAATATTATCGTAAAAGGTATCGAGTGTCGTTAGTTTTAACAGCTGAGAAGTGAAGGATGAAGATTGAGGTCTTCCAGATGGCCAGCAGAATTTACAAAGAAACGAGGTGTATCCAAGAATCCTTCTTGATCGAAATGAGAAGGGAGTGTGTACAAACGAATGTCGGGATTAGAATCAAGGTCGAAGTCGAAGTCGATTGTTGGATTGGAGTTTCTTGAGATCCTTTGGAGAATATCTCAAGTATCGTGTTTCTTGTGTAAAAAAAAAGGGTGTTTTTGTTGTCAATGGTTGGTTGAGATTGAGATTGCGGTTGTGGTTGTGGTTGACAAACTAGGGCGTTCAATTCAACATGAAGTAGAAATCTTTTGGCGTCAGATGAATGAATGAATGCTGGTTGGGTGGGTGGATGGATAGATGGACGGATGGATGGTGGCGCGGATGAAAAGGAAATCAGCAGGCTTTCGGCTTTGAATCAAGTTTGCTTTCTTTAGAACATGCAGAAGTAGAAAATGCGCAAGGCAAGTTGACCGGGAAGGTTCAAATGCAGATTGCTAAGGGTTTGTTTGAGACTTTTGAGATGTTCTTGGGTTGTTCTTTTCCTCGCACGTTGTTATTTTGGAATCGTTCAATCTTTCAATCTTTCAATCTCGCAATCGTTCAATCTTTCTTTCCTAGCACCGCCTGGGTATGTAGGTATAGTATGTACCTGGGTAGATAAAGTCAATGAATGGATAAGGTTGGTTGGTTGATTGTCGAGTCGAGTCGAGTCGATGTGATCTGATTTTGATTGAGTGATTGATTGATTGATTCAGATGCAAAGTGCCCAGGTGGTTTAAGCAATCCTGTTTCCCCTCCCAAATTCACTCACACTCATACCTTTTGATAATTTCTCTCAATCAAGGACCAGCTCTCGCCGCTAAACAGCATTGGGTATGTTACCCAGGCGGTATCAATTTATTAGCTGCAATTAAAGATTAATACCTGGTAATCAAAAAGAGGGCGGAAGCACATTCAAATTTCAATGGCACATTGCACATTGCACATTGCACACGACCAGTACACATTGCACATTGCACACGCAAGATTGCTGATTGCCAAAGATTAGCTAGGGTGGCTATGGTAGGTTGTTACCATATCCCTAAAAGGGGGTCTCTCCCTAGAAGAAAAAAAAGGAAAGTCCAAGGGTTTTTT